ACACATTAAATTGTCTACGGATTTTTCCGTTTGCCAAATGACAAGGAACACACGCAGTCGTGACCGAAAGAGGATACTTGTTCCTCCATGGCACCTGATCCTGTCACTGGTGTTAATTAAGAGGTCTGCGTTTGTTCTGCTCCCAATTTAAAAGAGTTTCAAAGCATCTTTGAGCTTCATAAATTACAGTTCGTTACCTTTATATTTCATTTTAAAGAAAAAATAAGGTGTTTAACCCCTTCATTATGAGTATATTCCAAGAAATGAATGATAGATTTCGTGATATGCGTTTCCTTTTATTTTCATCCCTGTCAAGTAATAAATTAATGAAAATGACGCTTATTGAGGATTTATTTCCTTATAGCTGATAAATATGTATATATATTAGAAAGTTTATTTGCTTTTACAATGAATTAAAAAATTGTCGACTTATGATTTTGGTTAAAATTGTATAACTAAAGAAGACACGAAACGTCATTATGTGATTCTGGTCATGAATGTAATCAGGAAAAACATTTAATTTATGGGCTATTAGGTTATGTACAAGAAAAATTGTCAATCCTACAAATATTTCAACTGCTAGAAGGATAGGTTGTTTCTTTAAGAAAGTGTTTTGACACCAGAAAAGAAAGCCAAAAATGAATATTAATATTAAGAAATATACAATATTATGTTCACCTCATATTTGTCACTTTGTATATGCATGTATTAATCGTATTAATTTGTGTTATGTTATTAATGTTTATGACTGTATGCCAACATGGTAATTGACAATAAGTGAATTGAATTGATTGAATTATACAATAACTTTCATATTTTGTGTAAATTGTAGAATATGAGGAATTAAACATTGGACATAATTAAAAGACATTCTGGATAGGGGATGCCCTTCAAGTTCAAAAGATGATTTAAATATCCGGTAAGTCTTTTTTGTCTCTTTATTCTTTTTAAATAGTGGCATGGGATTATAAAAATATTTTTTCCTGAATTTTTACGATATTGTTTAATCGTAGCCAATGTTATGAATTATATCACTTAGATTCCCCAATCGTTTTCTTTTCATCTTATTAATCATGACCCTCATGACATATATATTTAACTTTTTATTAGAATACCTTCAGTTTTAGAAAATAAGGGTTTAATTGTATATTTTTAGGCTGACTTGTTTCATACCAATTGTTAATTAAACCTTCGTTTTATACCATATTTGACTTGAATTGTCCGTGTACTTTATCAATAAATAGGCCCACGGCGGGTGTGACCGATCAACAGGAGATGCTTACCTGTCATAGACACCTGATCCCTTCTCTGGGGTTTACGGGAGTCCGCGTCAATGCCTTGTTCACAGAATTTAATGTGAATCATTTTATGAGATCGATCGTTATTCGTAATCATCACCTTTAGTCAAAATCAAAATATCGTTAATATTTTTTCACCTTCTTTAACAAATTGTATGAATCTATGTTTTTCTCCGTTCTTTCCACTCTTCTTCGTCCGTTCCCTATCCAGAATGTCTTCCAGCTCTATCAATACATCGTCGTGTCTTCACTTGAACCTGCGTTTTGTTAAAGCAACATTGCAAGTTGATAAAACAGGTTTATCAACAGTCTTGCTTATTTAAAAGTCATTATTTACAAGTTCTGTGGTGGATGCAATGACCTTGTCAGCTTGTATCAAACCATTTTCCAAGACACTAAACAGGTTCGTCCACTTATATATATGGTACAGTGGTACTTCTGTATCATCAGTATCAAAATGAACTTTATTGTGGGTTTTCCTTTCTTTATTGAACTTTTTTGAATGTGGTTTGAACTTCTTTCTTGACCAGCTTACTCTGGCATCAAGAACTTCATGACCCCTCGTGCTGCAGTGGGCGTGTCTAAATTGTTGGGCACTGTGTGAAGTTTTTAAAGCCAGTTTGGATGAAGGATTCCGGATATGATATGGGAAAAACAGATGGACGGACTGACCTATCACTAACTTTGTAGGGAAAAGAATGGACAAAAAACCATGCAATGGCTTGCGATGATGAGCAGACACTTATTCTTTATTCACTAAACGTTTTGTTAAAACGTTCTCAATCTAATTAAAAGGGTAATTGATATACTCGAGATACCATGTGTTAGAAGAACGACAACTCGTGATATGTCTTGCATATATTGTAAACTCCATACTTCGAAAACTGCGATTTTCTGGATTTTTAGGAAAGAAAAATACCCTGTTATAAAAATCCACATCACCTGTGTTCAATGTTTATTTCCTAAAATTGTACAATTTACACAATACATATCTGCAAGCAGCATATACATTAGCTGCAGAACTGTAGCTCTCCGAAAAATATATATTGACTACGGAAGCGTATTAGTGCAACTTGAACACTTTACTTTTTTTAATTTCTACACTTTAAAGTGTAAATTTTACACTTTAATCTGTAAAATTTACACATTAATCTGTAAATTTTACACTTTAAAGTGTAAATTTTACACATTAATCTGTAAATTTTACACTTTAATCTGTAAAATTTACACTTTAGTCTGTAAATTTTACACTTTAAAGTGTAAATTTTACACATTAATCTGTAAATTTTACACTTTAATCTGTAAATTTTACACTTTCTTTTGAACAACCTGAACTGCAATAGGTTATGATCGAACGGTCGATTTGTGATGTTTGACCTCTGACACTTGAGAAAAAGTATTAAACTGAGATGTTTACAAATTGATTGTATATATTTATTTTACATGTACTCGTACTTGTTTATTAGTATATGATAAACAAGGATGGACTATTTCCTCATGGGTCTCGTAATTTTCCCCAGCATAAGAAATCAGGGATCTGCTTTTGTTTAAGTATATATATACTTGTGTTTCTTTAGTTTTACTATAGTGTAACAAAGGGTAAAAATATATATCTCAAAAGATTTTTTTTCATTTGCAGTTCAGATTGATATTACGCTTCCATGATTATCTTGCATGATTAACGGTCTGTTGGCTTTAAAATTTACTGGGAATGTATGAAGTTGCTAAATTGACTATGTGAATAAACAAAGAAAGTGTAAAAATTACAGATTAATGTGTAAAATTTACAGATTAAAGTGTAAAATTTACAGATTAAAGTGTAAATTTTTCACTTTTAAGTGTAAATTTTACAGATTAAAGTGTAAATTTTACAGATTAAAGTGTAAAATTTACAGATTAATGTGTAAAATTTACAGATTAAAGTGTTAATTTTACAGATTAAAGTATAAAATTTACAGATTAAAGTGTAAAATTTACAGATTAAAGTGTTAATTTTACAGATTAAAGTGTAAAATTTACACTTTAAAGTGTAAAATTTACAGATTAATGTGTAAAATTTACAGATTAAAGTGTAAAATTTACAGATTAAAGTGTAAAATTTACAGATTAAAGTGTTAATTTTACAGATTAAAGTGTAAAATTTACAGATTAAAGTGTACATTTTACAGATTAAAGTGTAAATTTTACAGATTAAAGTGTAAATTTTACAGATTAAAGTGTAAAATTTACAAATTAAAGTGTAAAATTTACACTTTAAAGTGTAAAATTTACAGATTGAAGTATAAAATTTACAGATTAAAGTGTAAATTTTACAGATTAAAGTGTAAATTTTACAGATTAAAGTGTAAAATTTACAGATTAAAGTGTACAAATTAAAAAGAAGTGAAGTGTCCAAGTGGCACTAATACGCTTCCGTAATTTCCTCATGGGTCTCGAAATTTTCCCCAGAATAAGAAATCAGGTATCTGCTTTTGTTTCAGTATATATACATGTGTTTCTTTAGTTTTACTATAGTGTAAAGAAGAGTAAAAATATATATCTCAAAGATTTTTATTATTTGCAGTTCAGATTGATATTACGCTTCCGTAATTATCTTGCATGATTAACGGTCTAATGGCTTTAAAATGCGTTACTGGGAATGTGTGAAGTTGCTAAATTGACTATGTGAATAAACAAATAAAGTGTAAAATTTACAGATTAAAGTGTAAATTTTACAGATTAAAGTATAAAATTTATAGATTAAAGTGTAAAATTTACAGATTAAAGTGTAAATTTTACAGATTAATGTGTAAAATTAACAGATTAAAGTGTAAATTTTACAGATTAAAGTATAAAATTTACAGATTAAAGTGTAAAATTTACAGATTAATGTGTAAAATTTACAGATTAAAGTGTAAAATTTATAGATTAAAGTGTAAAATTTACACTTTACAGTGGAAAATTTACAGATTAATGTGTAAAATTTACAGATTAAAGTGTAAAATTTACAGATTAAAGTGTAAAATTTATAGATTAAAGTGTAAAATTTATACTTTAAAGTGTAAAATTTACAGATTAATGTGTAAAATTTACAGATTAATGTGTAAAATTTACAGATTAAAGTGTAAAATTTACAGATTAAAGTGTAAAATTTACACTTTAAAGTGTAAATTTTACAGAATAAAGTGTAGAAATTACAAAAAAGTGAAGTGTTCAAGTGGCACTAATACGCTTCCGTAATTGACAGACTGGAGAACGTCTATCAATATTTTTTTTTTCGGAGAGCTACAGTATATATATACATCAAACCGGAATTATAAAATTCTTTGTGGCCATTTCAGGCATTTTGTGTTTTATTGTTATTTGAAGATATCCGGTTGTTGTATCCTCTCTTAGATTCGAATTTTCTCGATATTTAGGCAATGTGTTTATGTAAAAGATTTATAATTTCAAATAGATCCTAAAGTACCGCCTTGGTGATTTCTTCATCTATGTTTTGAAGATATAGACAATGGGATTATAGGGATATTCTGGTCAGAATCAATGTGGGAGTGCTGTATGTATTGCCATTGGTAAGAAAGTTTTTTTTTCAAGAAACATGTCAGACAAAACATACCATCGGCTCATAAATTTACCTCTGCCAAGTGGTTTCTAATAATATTTAGATAAAGCAGCACAGCAATGAATATGGCCGGGGCATATAGAATTGTAATGTCCATCTTCCGTCTGTCGATCCCTCCGTCCTGCTTTGAGTGTAGCTCAGGGTTTTTTAAGCTGTTTCCAAAAGATAAAGGAAAGTATGCAAGGTTTTTTTTATCAGACTTCATAATATGTTGATACGTATTGATGAGAGCTATTCAACTTCAAATCAACAATTTTTTTTAACTTGACCTTTTATTTGTCCTTGACCTCATTTTTCTTAAATTAGGCCTAGTGCTTAGTTTCAGGATAGTGTTATCAAACTTCATTTATGCTGATACATACTAATGAACCACTTAAAGATTCCTTACTCATCTGGTAATGAAATGCACCCTTTTATTGTTACAGAAACATTCTTGAGCATGTTTTTTTTCCCCATTTCAGTTATGGTATTCTTATTAGTAAGCAATAACTAGAGAGCATAGTTAGTGATTTGATGATAAATGGTAGGGTATACCCCCGAGAAGGAGACCCAGCTCTCTGCTCCTGAACAAGCCTTGGCAGGGGCTATAACGGGGGTGGTCAGTCGGGCACTGTTTCAACCCTTAGATGTACTCAAAATACGTTTTCAGGTAAATTTTTACTGTTGTCATGTCATGAGAAAGATAAATCTTTTAATGAATAATGTGCGTTTGACTTTAAAGTCTAAGATAAATTCAAATATAATTTGAGAGTTTTCTACTTTACTTAAACGAAACCCAACAAAACAACACTCATTAAAAATGTTTATTAAGTTTCTTATTTGTACATTGTGTTTGCTGTAATAATTTTACATGTTGATAATCTTTCTTTCAGCTTCAGATTGAACCATTAAAAAAATGTGAAACATCAAAGTACTGGAGCATTAGTCAAGCTATTCGGTCAATCATCTTAGAGGAAGGTATCACCGCTCTGTGGAAAGGTCATGTTCCGGCTCAGATTCTCTCTGTCTTATATGGAATTGTACAGGTAAACTGTGTCTTTTTGTTTGTTAATTTTACATATTTGGGAAAGAAGAATATTAAGGTAAAAAAAAGTATTGTTACAGTAGCATTTATTGTTTTTAGTGACTTCCAGATAACATAGAATTTTAATACATTTTCTCCAAAATGTGTGATTTCCCTCGAGTAGTCATCTTTAGAAACCCATGGTCAGTGTTGCTTCTCTTACTTTTTGGATAAGAAAAGCAAGACTGACTGTGGGTTTCTGAAAATGCTATTGATCACATAGGAAAATTCTTTTTCTTTGAAAGAAGTTATTTCCCTTTGAATATTCATCTGTAGATGAAAATTTATCACTTGATCACTAAAAAATATTTCTTACACCAGTTGAATAAAAAATAAGAATTTTTAATGTATAGTACAAAAAAAAATGATTTGCATAACACTGGTAAAGAAGTTTTTTTAAATTCTTTATTTTCCACCAACAGTTTGTCTCTTTTGAGGCAGCGACTAAGGTGGCATGGCGGGTCCTTCCAGAAGGTGTGTACACGGACCACAAGGCTCTGACCCACCTGGTGTGTGGGAGTATAGCAGGCTGTGTATCCACTGTAGTGGTACAACCAGTTGACGTCATGAGAACAAGGCTCATAGCTCAGGGAAAACACAAAGTAAGTTATAGGCACCATGGGGTTGTGTGAGGAGGGAGGGTTGAGAAGGGGGATCCTTTCTTGAAAGGAAAAAACTACACTACAAGTTTTCAATACATGAGAATAAAAAGCTCTGAGACTATACAGCCATTTGGAAGCAATTTCAGAGTGTTAATTAATGTTCAGCCAAGTTAAAGGTTAAGCTCAATGCCAAATTAAAGTCATGCATCTATGTCATTCAGGTCAAAGACTGAAAAGGTCAATTAAAACCTAACCACCTGTTTCTCAGTAGATAAATAAGTACACCATATGAAATATTGTATTCTTTTCCTTACCAACATTTAATCTCTATGCACATATACAATTATAGCATATCACTGTAGATGTATACCTCCATGATGAATGGGATGCTTGCCACGACTCGGGCTGAGGGGATCCTGGGATTGTACCGTGGTCTCCTGCCAGCCATGTCACAAATTGCTCCTCAGATAGGACTACAGTTTGGTTTCTACACACTCTTAAAGGACCTCTGGAAAAAATATGTACACAGAGATGGTGAAAAAATACTTGGTAAATTTGATTTTTTTTTTCACCCATATTTTAAATCAGAATGAAATATTGAAAATGAAGAGGAATTTGAAATGTTTTTAACTGTTATTGTACTCAACTCTCAAAACAGAAAAAAAAAACTACCTTAGAGAATGACTGAAAGAATTGATTTGACTTAGGCACAGTTTATAGTCCACAACAAATCTCCATTCCCACTACCAACAATGTTTGATTTATAATTATCAATATCTGAAATTTTTGCTCTTCTGCAGAAACACAAGGAAGTCTTATCTGCGGGTCTGGTGCTGGGATTATTTCTAAAATCCTCATCTACCCTCTAGATGTAGTAAAGAAGCGGTTACAAATTCAAGGCTTTGAAGAAGCACGTTCAGAGTTTGGCAGCACCCGACATTACAGAGGAATGAGGCATTGTTTATATTTGGTTGCCAAGGAAGAGGGCATCATCAGGGGATTTTATAAAGGACTAACACCGAGTCTCTGGAAAGCTGCCCTTGTATCAGGGTCAAGTTTTTATGTGTATGAAAAAGTCTGCCAGTTATTAGAATTCAGAAAGAAAAAGAAATCAATATAGATATGGATGATAATAAGATTTTATACACACATTTCTTTGTTAACTGTGATATTTATACATTTTGTTTTACTTTTTCAGTTGTGTGTTTGTGTGTGTAGTGGACTTTTCATTATAGGTCAGGTACATTCACTCACTTTGACGCCAAGTGTAGAATAACTTGTATAAAAGTTTTGTTGTTTTTTTTATCTAAACTATGAGCTCAATATCTTTATAGTGCACCCGAGTGACCAATTTGATCTATTGTTATGTGTTTTTGTCCATTGTCATTCTTTCTTCATCAACATTTGAATATTTTCAGCTTGTTCTCTTAAACTACTGCACCAATTTCAACCAATTTTGGCTTATTGCATTTAGAACCATTTTCACCTTAGTTTGGACTTTCAGTAAGGCATGGCATTCTCATTGTTACATAATGAGCTTCTGAAATTTACACATCTTTCCTTCACAGTTGAAATATACATGGGATAGAAATTCGGGCAAATGCCAAGTAGTGTATCGAATAACCAATAACGTTTTCTCATCCGGCAAAGAGACGGAGCTTAAGTCATCTCATCGTTGTCAACAACAATTTAAAGTTCCTGATGTTATTAATTTCTTAATCAATGAGAACCTATTTGCCATTTGTCAGACGCTAATTACACAGCGCAGAGAATACCACGCCTTACTGAAGTCTAAACTAACCTTGAAATGGTTCTATAAGCAGGGGACAGGAAAATATTCAGGTCAGGGGTTACTGTGTAAGGGTGGGTCTCTAATGATCATTTGGTGAAAAGCATTAATTCCCTGAGAATATTCTCCTTGGCACCTGAGTACATGATTTAGCGGTCAACCTACTGGTAATAGTGTATAATGCATGGTTATGAAGCTTCTTTAAAAATTGTGACATTCATGGCCCGTAGGTTAGCAGAGCTATTAAACGTTAGGATGGGGCTTTAATATAATAATGTGTTAAAATTTTATTCTGCATTAAAAGAAATTATTCCCCTCTGTTATTCATCCATGATAATTAATCTTTGTATATCATGTATTGTATTATAAACTTAAGAAATGGCAATATAAGGAATTGTATAATACTCAGTTCAGGCCCTTTGGTCTCGTTAATTTAGCATTACCATAATAGTAACATGTGTCTTTTCTATGAGTTTTATTTTATATTTTAGCTGAATCTCATGTGAGTGAATATCCAAGTTTACGGTTATAGTTGATACTTTGTCTAGCAGGGTCTGCAGAGTGTATTGCTTGATTAATTTTCAGGTTAAGCAGCAACATTTTGTTGATAGGATTCATTTTGTTCTTCTTCCATTTACTTATGTGTATCTAGACAAGAGCAGCTTTACAATTATCCCCTGACCAGTTTCATATACATGTACATGTCAGGTTACAACTCAAACAGTCGTAATTTCTTGAAGAGTACTTTGAAAAATACATAATGACCAATAAAGCTGGTATAAATACATACTTACTTGTTTTTCCAAATTGTCATTGCTAAAACAAAGGCATACTGATCAGTTAATCAGTTCAACTATGAATCTGTTCATATTAGTTTTCTTATTTATGTCAGTCCAAGTTTTTTTTCTTCTTAAAAGCTTCTGTCGACGATTTGGTTTGGGGTTATAAATTGTAAGACAAACTCACAGAAAAATGAACGAGTACAAACATTTGCAACACAGTTTTCTCTTTTGAGTGCGGTATTGCATTATTTTTAAGTTGTGTAGGAAATTTTTTTTAATTTTATTAAAGTAGAAATGTATCTTTGTTAATATGTGAGTATCATAATTTTGGGATATGATGAGAAATTCTGCAATTAATCCTGGGAAGGAATTTCCCCCCCCCCCCTTTTTTTGTTTTTTGTTTTTTTGTTTTTTTTGTTTTTTTTGTTTTGTTTTTTTTGTTTTTTTGTTTTTGCGGATAAAGATTGTTTTTATTTAAGAGTAAATGTTAAACAAAGAAAAAGCTTGGAATGGTCTTATTAATTTTTATGCCCCAAGATTGAAAGATCCCAGGGGTATATAGTCTGTTTGTCCGTCTGTCTGTTGTCAACTTTAACTCAGCCGATAACTATTGTGCTTTCAAGGGTAAGTGTATACCACTTCAGTCTATGTCCCACTCCAGAATTTTGTTACCATCAGGGGCATCATAGTGTTTCACAAACACATTTTGATCAATATTTATTTTCTTTGCTTTTGAACCTGATCTCAAAGGTATGCGGGAAAAGGATAAGCTTATCCCTTTTTATGGCTCATGGTTTGAGATGTATATTAGAATGGTGCAATATTACAGTATAAATAAATAAAAGCACTCCTGGCTCCAACCATTCAAAAGGAATGACAAAGTTATTTTTCAAAATTAGGCCAAACTCAAAGGGTCAAGAACATAAGGTCAACATTGTTGGTTCCGAGGGAAAGGTCTTGTCCCAAGACACACTTTCAAATAAACTTGTGAAAAATAAAAGTCCTAGCACCAACATTCAAAATCTGTTGCCAAGGTTAGGGCCATTTAAAAATGTGTAAAACTCAGGTCAAGGTGAGGATAAAATATAGGTACTCAAAGAAAGGTCTTGTAACAAGGAATACAGCCGTGAAATACGAAAATCGTAGCTTCAATCAATCAAAAGTGATGGACAAGGTTAAATTTTTTGCGGACAAACTCAGACCTACGGATGGGAATGGTAAAAACTATGTTTCTTTATACATGGTAGTTTCTCCAATCTACTAAGCTACAAAAAACCTGCTGCAGCCTACCAATACATGTATTATTCATGCGCTTACTAGTATTCCTTATCATCTCCAAATAGTAAAAAATAATAAACTGCAATTCTGGGGAGGTTACAGTGATTTTATTCTGGCACAATGATGTTAAATAAATAGAACAGAAGATTATATCTTGAGACATTAGGCTACTAAGATCTTCCTCGCACCCCAGAATATTCCTAGACCTTGAGAATATTCACTCAACACTAGAAAAAATGTGGAGTATTTAGGCAAACAATCTGCCAAATCCTCTCTTTTTACATTCTGTATGTTGAAGATTTGGATGAATGACATAGACACTGTGCATATTAAATTTCCAACTTTAATATTTTTTTCAGATATAAAATTTCCGAAAATTTCAAAACGAAGGCGTGGCTTTTTCTGTCCGAGTGGTATGGTGCTCCATGTAAAAACCGGTTTTTATAAAAACCTCAAGAAAGTAAATATACTCAGTTCAACAAGAGTTATGATAAAGATTTAATCCTTCACAGTCCTCACCATGAATCAGATTTTAAAGATTTGCTATAGACAGCAAATTTTCGGCATTTAAACATTCTACTCCTGCCTTAGGACATTGGTATTGTTTATTTCCCCGAGTTTGTTTGACAAAAAAACACGACTAAGCCAACCTCAATGAACTTAGGGGGTAATACATTGTAAGAAATCATTATACTAAACTCAACATGAATGATTATAAAGGGAAATGGATGACTTAGCCTCATCTTTGCTCATTTTTTTTTAATTCTAACATTTTTAGATATTTAATGGGCAAATAAGTTTGCTATACAAAAAGAAGTTTTTAAAAAGGAATTCAGTATTTACACAGTCGTTTCCATTATCATGATTATAGGTGTAATTTAATGATCCTGTGCATCAGTAACCAAACAGGGGCTTTACTTATGTTAATGTATTATATTCAATTCAATTCGTTTCGTTTATTGACCAATTAAGGGCCCTCATGGGGCAAAAAGAAGGTACATTGTTAAAATGTATATAATAATTATGATCATACACATGAAATACAATTCATAAGAGGGAAAGGGTTGCTTGATTGATATATGAATTTACTGATCAAGCAGTGGGTTAAATGTTCTTCTTCGTGTGATCTTGATCGTGTGAAAATGATCTTCAGTCAGGGTCATGATCTATAGACACCTCATTGGTTTCAAGTATCATTATTGTTAAAAGTTTCAGACAGACAAACGTACTGAAAAAAATATGACTACTATATTTGAGGGAGAGAGGGGGTGGGGTGGTCTGATTTTATTTTAAATAAAATGCAAATCTTCCTTCTCAAATCCCTACATCTACCGATATTACCTTCTAATTTACAAAAATATGGATTAACAACGGCTGTCATAATCACCCGAAGATTTGTTAAGGTTATTTGATGTATTTTTTCTCCTTGCATTTTCAAACCACTAAACTGACTCTATTTTATCAGAAGTTTGATTTCAAATTCCGAAAATATCAGGAGTATAGTAAGTGTTTTATATTTTATGTTCTAAAATCTGTTATGTTTTAAAATTCTTCTTAAAAAATTGGAGGTTGCATCCCAGTTCTATTTTTGCGGCATTAAAACCCACACTCCCGTTAGAGTAAGTACAGGGTGGCTTGTAACAAGTTAATTCTAACCATCAATATTTACTGTTCTCCTCATTCACGGACCAGATTAAATATCGGATGACATTTCAGGTTTTTACTTGTTTCCACTTTTTCTGATCCGTAAATTGCTTGTAAAAATGTATTGAATGTATAAAATAATGCTGAGAGAAAAACGATTACGAGTAATTTTGATTTTTTAAAAATCGTTTCTTTAAATAATAATGATTATTAAATATATAGGATACGAATTGTTACAATGAAATTCAACAAGGTAGATTGCTTACCATTATACCCTATCATGTTATAAGCATGTTATATTGCCGAACGATGTATGCGATATTAGGCTTCTTTAATAAGATCAAAGTGCAAGGGTAACTTGGTAAGTAGAGCGATTTGTCTCCTTAAATTACCATATTCAAGGAAAGAATTGAGCCAGAGTATTAGAATTCTGTTGCGATTCCGATTTGAAAGCGACATTTGGATTCCAAAACACCCACATGACTTTTAAAAAGAAGGCTTATACAAACATGTACTATTTAAACATATTTTTCCTGTCTATTTTTTGAAGGTAAATATGCATTATCATTTAAAATCAAGAGAAAAGTAGTAGAAATGAGCACATCAACAAACACCTACTACATAAAGAACCTAGAACTCTGAACATGACCGTTTGTCCGATCACGACAAGGAACACACGGGGTGTGACAGGTCGACAGGGGGTGCTTACTCCTCAATGGTACCTGATCCCAACTCTGATGTTTAAGAAGCCTATGGCTGCTCTGGTCCCGATGCTTCAATAGACTATAGTAGACATAGCTACGATATACTTGTGTCCGCTATAAAATACCGTCCTCTAATGACTTTTTGTTTGTTTGTTTGATTTTTGCTTGTAAAGGAATTTTTGGAAGTCCCCCGAGCTGAAAAATGTAGGGTTGCTTCCTACGGACATGATACACAAGAGAGTGCTCTACTAGGGAACAATGTCTAAGACGAGACCAGCTGTTGGTAAACAAGTAGGATACCAACAGTCTCGTTTAAAGTAACATTTCGCAAGCTTTAACTTCCATGGTCGATATAGTGACTTTGATGGTAATAAGAACTTATTATAAAGTCGAATTTTAGGTCTTTTTTACACACTGATTTTATGGATTTTTCCTTTTGTCCGAGCACAACAAGTAACGCAAGGCGGGGTGGGTGGGGTGACAAGGGATGTTTACTCCTCAATGATACCTGATCCCAACTCTGGTGTTTTAAGAGGTCTGTGGTTGCTCTGCTCCCGATGCTTCAATAGACGTTTAAGCTTGATTACTGTACGTTTTCTCAATATTTCATTCCGGAGTTTATGTTAATTTTGCACTTAATACGAGTGACTGACTCCACGTGACACAATTCGGATTTTCTTCAAACCTTTAAACGGTCCTGTGTCCTTGGTTAAGGTTTCGTCCTTAAGTGCTGAACTGAATTTTTATAAGCTTAATTTCCTCCTTTTCCCATGAGATTTGGGTTATCATTACATTTTGTATTTATCTAAATGACTATAGATTTAACTAAAAAGAAAAAAAATCTGTTGTGGGTGGTATTTTTTTCTCAACTCAAATATATGAAGGGTTACGGTGCATGCCACTCTAGAGGGTGTTAAAACTAATATCGAGAGCAGTGGTTTTATGAAAGCCTTGACCTTCAATGAGTAAAAAAATAATAACCATGAATTATTAAAAAATGATTTTGAATTAGCCAGAGAGTGGATATAAATTAATGTAAATAAAACCGGTTTGAATGTGGAATACATGTACTGCGAGAGGATGCTTCAACCGTTCACCTATTATTGCTTCATTGTTAACAAAAAAAATATCAATTGAAGTTTTGTTGAACTGGGTTTTATGATGTAATAATTATAATAGAACATGCAATGCAATATCAATTATATAAGAATGGTAGGAAAGTTTTCAATAGAATTTGATGTTAGATAATATGTATATAATGCATTTCCACGAAACCAAAGTCGCTCTCGAGTTAGGGCTGGCTGATTTGGAAAGGTGGTTTTCTTTCGTACCAGATTTTTTCTCCCGATGAAAGTTTTACCATGGATGTTTACCTGTGTTGGCGTATGTTTAAACTACAAGGACCCTTCAAAATGTTCAGTTAATTTTCAAACTAAATTTTAACATGTTTCCGACGCTGTCATTTTCATGAGCAACCCTCTTCACTTTTCAATTCCATAAAGGAGTAGAGAAAAATTCTGTTAAACTTTGTATTCTAAAGTTTCACTCAAAATTTAGATTTTGGGTGGAATTAATGTATCTTGATATTGATTAGCAAATATGTTTAAAAAGTTGAGAGTCTTTATACTAAATTACTATACTATATTAAAGTACAAAAATAAGACAAAAAAAATTATTTTCAAAATAAATTTAAAGTTATACTTTTTTTTTTTAAATTATCTTGACTTATGTCTGCTCTTAATTTATCGTCATAAGACATGTTCTAAAAGTAACTCGTCTCTTTGGAAATAGAACATTATATAAAGCAGACTTAAAACATTACTGACCAGTATTGTTATTCATAGATATGTAAATGTCTACAATTTCAAATTTTTACCACTTGCTTTATTTTTTAAGTAGCTCACAAAATCATAAATGAATCTAGAAAATTTATTGAATACATGTATTTCAATATAATGAACGTCTATTTATTATGTACATGTAATTGTCATTATTATAACAACTGTTTTATTTTTTCCCCTTACATCTGAAGAGGGATAAGTAAATTGTCAGGACTTTTTCTGATATTCTTGTGTAAGTAGTTACTCATTCAAATATATTGAAAATTAAATCGGCACTTTATCAGTTTATTGAACTAGTTGAGACTGAAACAGTTACCGTTCTGTAATATTCATCAAATACAAACATTGTCGATTTATTGTTAGAGTTTTCATTGCGTGTTTTTTAAGTTGTAAGAATGAAATTAAATTAAGTTTAATTTCACCCTTTTCAACTATCGTTCATTCAGTTCACTTGTCCACTTTTCTGAGATTATTTTTTGTAAATTTTAACCCACTGAGTTGTAATTATGTCTTATACAAAGGGTTTTTAAAACCGTATCCTGAAAATCTATACCCTGGATGTCTATAGAAGAGAATTGGTTTGCCATATATGGAAATAACCGGTTTTTCTGGTCTTAAACGGGTACTGATTCGCTGTCACTATTGATTTCCCATACGGGAAAAACTCGTGCTGGTAAAGTTTAAATCTATCGGACAGTTGGGGTGCAGACTTTGTACTGGACAGCACTGACCGCTCCTAACTACTGACAAAACAAGGTGAGGTCCACTTATTTCTAAAACTTCCTCGTTATTTTTTAAAAGCTTTAATTATAATTAAAAAAGTAAGATTGCTTAAATGTATTTGGTTTTGCGGCGAAAGATTTAACCTCGACCCGGTTTAGGGACTTTTCATTCATAACGAAACGTTGACTGACCGGTTAATGAGTGGATTATTATAAGTATCTTAGAATTGCGTTATTTACGCCTGGGTTTTATTTCTTCAAATTTCTCCAAAACTTTTTTGTAACTGTTGAACGTTTTTGCATTCTTGCATGGTTAAAAGATTATCTTACAAGTCGATCACAACAGGTTAAAATAAAATCATCAAGTTCTTCTGTTGGAAGAACCAAAGCAGGAGTTCCCCAGGGTTCTGTTCTGGGGCCTTTACTTTTTCTAATTTATATTAATGATCTGCCATGTGGACTCCACGGTCTCTCTAGACTATTTGCTGATGATACATCTGTGTCAAATACTTCTAAAAATATACAGGACTTAGAAAGATTTACTAATTATGATTTAGAAAAAATTAATGAATGGTCAAAAAACTGGCTTGTAAAATTTAATCCTAGTAAGACCAAAATATTAATGTTTGGTTGTAAAGAAAATGAGGTATCTAATTTACATTTTAAGTTTGACAATCAAGAGATAATTCCATCTTCCACTCACTGTCATCTTGGACTTACGTTCTCAAATTCTGGTAAATGGACAAATCACATCGATAATATTATTAAAAAGACCTCAAAAGAAATTGCAGTTCTCCGTAAATTGAAATTATCATTGAATCGAGACTTTTTAACTAAGATGTATATTACATTTATTAGGCCACTTTTTGAATATGCATCAGAAGTATGGGATAATATTTCCGCAACTGACTGTGACAGACTGGAGAAATTACAATTAGAAGCTGCGCGAATTGTCACTGGCCTACCTATTTATGCTCCTCGCAATTCTCTTTATTATGAAACAGGGTGGGAAACACTAGCCTATAGACGGGAAAAGAGAAAGTTATGCTTAATGTATAAAATAAAACATGGTATCGCACCAGAATATCTATTAAATCTATTACCTCCTGATGTCTCACAAACTACCCATTATGATTTACGCAATTTCAACAATATTTCTATTCCTCAATGTAAAACAAACTTATTACAAAATTTTCTTTCCATCTACAATATCACTATGGAATGCTTTGCCTATAGAGATTAGAAACATCGATACTGTGAATGCTTTCACAAAAAGACTCTTTAAAAGTGAACCTCCCCCAAAATATTTTTCTTATGGTGATAAAAAAACAAACTCAATTTTAACAAGATTAAGACACAATGTAAGTATTCTTAAGTCTGATTTATTTAAAGTTAAACTTTCAGATAACACTCGGTGTTCATGTGGATATATATATGAAAATACTGAACACTTCTTCTTGTACTGTAAAAATTATGCCGAAATTAGAACGGAATTATTCCACACTATACAGAATAACAATGGAGCAATAGACCTTGACATTATCTTATTTGGTGACCCAGAATTGGGTCAACAAAATAATATCAATATTGTTAAAGCTGTGCATAAATATATTAAAAAATCGAAAAGATTTTATGAATAACCAGCGTAACCATTTTGTATCCTTTATAATCCCCCCTTTATTTCTTCTTCCATGCACTCCCATTCCCTTCCTTTCTTATCTCTCTGCACCACTTTTCTTCTTCTTCCTCTTTTTTATATTATTGTATTTTTTTTTTTTTGCTTGTACATCACGTGTATATATTCTTGTTATTTTTGTTTGTGTTGGAGAGGACAATCTAAGTTGGAATAACTTGTGTCCAATCCCATTGATTGTGTTCAATAAAATATGTTTAAATCAACGTTTTTGCATTTATTTTTTCTTGCGAAAAACAGCTGAAAAGGATTACATAACTTCAGTTCTTCTAGAAAGAATTACTGGGCAACGTTTACAATGCTATTTATGCATACAGAAATGGTGAATAGGGTATATATATTGTGGAAATTAATTTATGTGGACGGAGTTATAGAATTAACTTGGCAATAAAAAATCTCCATTTTCCAGTAAAAGTTCAAAATTATTTTAAGACAAAGCTTAAACTATCTTTATATTGCAAATGAGCATAGTGTTTATATAAATTTTTTAAAGTGATATTTTTTCACAAGACAATTTCTATCCCTTCATCCCTTTCTTTAAGTTATGTAAAGGTGTTCTTGCAAAACTTTAAACCTGTTCACAGCAGGTGTAGAACGTCCCCTTGGCATAATATAAAGTTTCAAATCTTAAAAAATTTCTGAGTTCAGACGAACGATTTAGAAATTTCAAGCGCATCTTTCTGAAATGTTAAAAATGGTCATTAATGCACAGGTTTCAGAAACCGGTTCTTTGATGACCGTGGTCTGAATGCTCATACCTGACTAGGACATGCTAAACGATCTGATAAATGTCCCGTCTCCACAATCGCTCAGTAAAAGCAATGATGAAAAAGTTCTTCAAATGAAATAAATGTTCGCTGAAAGCTTTTAACGTTAGGGGCGTTCATTTAATTGTGAAAATTGACTCTCCTGTAATTCGTATGTGTATTCAATAAGCCTTCATAAACGGGCAATAGCTAAATCCTCCCGGGAATTTCATTCAGTTTGTATCAATGATCAGCGAAGCAGAAAATATTATTTTGAACAAGTGTACGGGTATGCTAATTCTATTAGAGAAAGTCTGATTAAGTACTTGGCGTGTTAGGAAGGTTAGCATTTCCCTTTTTTGTTTGTTTTAAATCTTCGTCGGTGGTATTTTGCAGAGATTGAAGCATTATTTGTTTGCATACCATTTTAAGATAAATATGACACAGAACTAAGTATAAACGCAGTTTATGGTCAAGTAATTTTTATATATATATAGTCGTATACTTGTAGTACACCTCCCTATCATTACGAAAAATTGCTTAAGCATGAGACGAAAAGCCATTAAGAACGAAGATTTTTACAAATATTCTATATCATTAACTGTAAGATTTGCAAAAATAAAATCAAATTTATGTAATTAAAAAGTGTATACCTATTTCTTTCAAAAGGCGTAAACGGTATGATAACTCAATTTTGAGGAAATTTCTTTTACAATTTTTAGCATAGAACAATACATGTTGGTTATATGTAGGTGTTCATGCTCTATGATAGAGTCACTGATATTGTACATACCATCACTCTAATGGGAGGTAGTCTGTCGTGTACACGTGCAAGAATGAGAGAGAGAGAAAGAGAGAGAGAGAGCTGTCGTAAAAAGTTGAAAAGAAATGAACAACCTATTTTCTGTAACCTAAATTTGATGATAGTCAAAATTATCAGAAGCAATAGATTCATTGCAGTTTCTTATATCTTTTTGATGTACAATCAGAGGTGAAATACTGTGATGACGTTTCTTAAATGTTCGCATCGGACTTGCAATGTATTTTTATGGCTTTGATAATGAATATTTTCTTAAAAAAGATAAATGTTTTTTTACATGCATTTACGAAAAATTCTTAAGAACTTTGAATCTTTACGATATCAAAAGAGAAATGAAAAACGAGACGAGAGCTGTCACAGCATTCTGGATATGAAAGAGGCCAGCAATTATCTAGATTTGAATCTTAAAAGCAGGAAAGTGTTTCACAATCTCGTTAAAGTAAGGTAGGGCATGCGATGTCCCACTAAAAGATATCTGTTTAAGAAATGAACCATCGACACATAATTCACCACGATGGAAAAAGTGAAAACGGAATTTTATGCATGTGTTTGTCCGTAACCAAATTTGTGATGACAGTAAATTGGTTACACCTATAATCGAATGAACCTTTTAGTAACAATGTGTTTGTCCGCCAGGTGGAACCAGGTGGGGGGAGGGGGTACGAGGAAGGTTCCTACAGTTTTCAGCGTCATAGTATCTAAAATTATAAGATCACTCGATTAGATTAATTATTATGTTCATTTAACATTAATCATTCGTTAAATTTATGTTTTGTATAAATTAGAAAGAGGTCAATAAAGAAATTAAAAGATTCTGAGGTCAACTATCTTAAAACTTTACAGTCGACCATTGTAATAATTGAAATTACAAGTCATGCAAAATTTAGAAATTTTGAAAACTGCAAGTCCAGTTAACAGCATTACTTGTATGGGAGAGATGTAAATAGATTTGAGTATTGTCAAAGGTCAAGACTTTCTGAATAATCATTGCGATACAAAATATTTTTGCTATTTTAAAGTTTTTTAAACTGGATAAATAATGGTTTAAAAAATAAATCATTTTGTGTCATGAACAAACAATTGATATTGTATTATATATTTTCATACAGTGCAACCATAATTTTAATTACATAAAAGGAATTTGGGTGAATGGGTAAAATTGTTTAATAATATTTAATTTACACCCAAAAACACCCATTCTCAACCCCCCTCCTTGATTTTGAGTTTGTGTTCAAAATTGTTTAATAATATTTGATTTACACATGGATTTTGTATATTCACTACAAATTTTGAATAGACATTAATAGATTCCGAAGTTATTTCTAAAGAACAGGTGAAGAAATCAGGTCGGCATGCAAACTTTAAGATCCAAAAGACTTTCATTCTCAATGTTCTAGTTTTTAAATAAAAACTAATGTAGGGTCATGTTTTCATTTCAGATTGATAAAATTATTAATTTGTTCGGCATTTCATATTGAAACGATAATTTCTAAAAAATTTTAAAAAATCTTACGGACAAGTACTGAATAATTTGATAGGAATATCTTGGGGAAAAGGCAATGGCATTTTGTGATTCATAATCCAGAACCGTGTATAATGAACAAAAGTTCAAACTATATGAATTATAGAGTGCGCGCGATATCAACCCCCTCATACAGGTTATAGATTTAATCTTTTGTGTTCTTTTTTCACAAACCTGCATGATACCTGACCTCATTAACAGTGAATTTGAGGTCCATGAATAGAATTTCGAAATCAAAATCTTTTCATAGTACACAATTTGTCACTTGAATGTGGTTCAGTATTTTCCAGCACATACAGTGAGCGCTCTGGAATTTAACATGCATTCAAAGCGTGACCATGTCTACATACTTCAACTGAAATAAGAGCTTATATCCATTGAATACTGAGTATTCTAAATAAAGATGAATAGATTTATGAAAATATTCTTTTGAGCTCTGAAAACATTTTTCCAATTAGCTAAAGTGAAACAAAATTGTTGTAACACTAAGGATACATATCTGCAGAATCGTGATTTCTGTTAAATTTGGCATCACAAAACATTTTAGATCTACATGGTTTTGATTTGTTGTAGAAAATTATTTCTCTGAAATCATAAGGGATAAAGATGATAGGAGGACATAGAAATTTATAATTTCATTCTTAAAATATTATTTCAGCAAAGAGCGAGTCTACATAGCCGCACCATGGAAGGCGGTGCGACAATGAGGGGCCTTTTCGTCATATGTATTCTATGGACGGTCGCAAAAGCTCAAGGTACTTTAATATGAATTAACCTCGGGATCGGAAAGCGTTTAATTTTGCCGCCATATTTGAAGATACGTAACATCATTTCTTTGATAAATTTCATAAAGATGCTTTGGTTCCTATATTTACAGCGATGTAATTATCATCTGGTTGTCTTAATGATTTTCAGACTGCCAACCATTGGATGTAATCAATGGCAATACGTTGACAATTCAAGTCCCGGAAGCAGACGATCAAAGTAAGAATATTTGTCCATGCAAGGATATGACCTGAAGGACTGACGTAATGAATAATACTGTCTGTACATAAGGAATTAAGTTTTTGCATTTATTCATTTCAGATCTTTTAACTAACAATCCAGAATTTTACACAAAGCAAGTTAGAATTGGTGGAACATTTAACCAAGGAGGGCTGAATGTGCAGCTGTCTCAAGGGACTGCATCATTTAATCCGAATACATATTTTGTTTTCACGACAGCACCAAATAGCTTCAATGGAATTTATCTTCGTCTAAATCAACCTGTTGATAGAGATGTATGTTTATATGGAACATTAGGAAGCCATGTTTCTTCTTCTTCTTCTTCTTCTTTTTTTTTTGCTTAGTCCAGCTAAATTTTTAAATTTGATAGTTGAGCACTTTAAACAACAGCTGGCTCTTGCTAACCAAAAATGGGTTTTCAATTAAAAATATTTATAAAATGTAAAAATGAAAAGAAAATTATGGCCATTTATGGTGTATATATATTTTGATATGTTTTTTTTTTTTTTTACAGGGAAATACTTTTTCTGTACGGAGTGTTGGGGACAGTGAAACATTCACACTCACATGTACTACAGGGACAGGAACTACGGTACAATATTCATAAATCAACTTATGAACATAACAGCTATAGCTATGCCTGATGAATTGCTTGAAGAAAGTTTTGTCATAATTAAGTCAAATTTTCTTTGAATTTCTTCAACTGTATTAGAAGATAAATTAAGATAATGAATTTATTTTATTTATACAGCACATATGTACCAGTAATTGTGTATATATACATGTCTATCCTTTTAACCCACAGAGAACCTATTCCTTGGTGGTACAGTTTGTTGATCAGAATGATAATAGTCCTATTTTCCAAAACACTCCATATGCTGTGTCTGTGAATGAGGTTTGTTTTACTGTCTCCATGTCCTAGGTTTAAATAAAAGAACACTCTTAGAAATGAAATGAAAGTAATATCAAGACAAATTACACATATTTCAAAAATCTTTCTTTTCTTGATACACCAAAATGAAGTTCCATTGTATAAAAAAAGTATAAGTTCTTTCATTATATGAACAGTATGCAAAAGAATATGTATTACTGGCTCATGCAATTGAAAAAATTGCTATTGAAATTGTACTTTGATTGAGGATTATTCTCATTTAAGTTGACACCTATTGGACAGACAGTCTTCCAACAGATCACTGCTACAGATGCTGATCAGACGGTCAACAATAAACGAATCTCCTATAGTTTTGTCTCTGGAGATGGCACAATTGTGAGTTCTTGTATGAATATTTTAAATGCTAAATTACATATGTTGAGGCTAACTGATAACTATTCTTATAGAGAAAAAAGTAAAGCAAACTTTTTTCTAGTCTTTAAATACTTTTTAATTTTTTCCCTATGCACATGTATCACAGAAAATCTTCAAGAATATTTACAACACAGTAACTGAAGTTTTCTTTGGCATTTAATGTAAATGCACGGAACATGCACTTGGGATATTATAAAGTTAGATTTGCTGCTTGTTAATACAGGCTGATGGTAGTAGATTTTTTGCCATTAACCCAACAACTGGAGTTGTGACTGTTAAAGAAACGTTGGATTATGAAGGTTTAACTAACCAGAATAAGCAGTACACCATTCAAGTTCAAGCAACAGTAAGTAAAAAATTACTTAATGCCATATTTTGTTAAGAATCGTGCAGAAAATTTTCATTTTATATGAAGTTCAGTGGTCATTTCCAGGCATAGAGGAAATAATTTTTGATAATTATCAAATCACTGAATTATAATTTGTAAAATATTGTACATCATAACATTTTACTAGATATAAACTTTTGCGGAATCTGAGTTATGGAACTTGTAAAGTCCAATCCCAGTTGTTCCTTGATACATGATAAAAATGAATATTAATGTTTATGCAAATAACGAAGAAAAAATTGAATTTTGCAGTAATGATTGAACTGCAGTTAGAAGACAGATTATAAAACTAATTGCTGATTTGTTTGTGTTTAGGATAATCCTGCGAATTCAGCTGAACGGAGGACCACCACACAGTTCTTCTCAGTGACCATTATAGATGGGGATGATTTGGGTCCAGCCTTTGAATATTCAACCTGTTTTAGATACACTGGTTATTGTTTCGATCCTCGCTACACAAGTAGTGTAACATCGACAACACTGGTATGATCTGTTGAATGTTACTAAGTGATTTCTAAATGTTTATTAAAGTAGCACAGTTTTATTTTGACAGTAATATCATGGCAAACATACAATTTCATGCCTTTCATATAAAATTTTTTATATGTATATGTACATGTACATGTGCATTATGTTTTATTATATTATTTGATTCATTATTGGTGAGAAGATGGATTTTGAATAATACATGTACATGGAATTTTTTTTTTCAGAATAGCCAGTTAGTTGTCTTCCCCTACCCTCCACAGACTCCATTTAACCAGGCAGTGACAATTCAGGCCAGGGACAAGGACACACTAAATGCTCCTATTGTATTTGATATTGAGACAAGTTAGTGTTTCTGTGAAACAGAAAGTTTTCTATAAGTTAATCATAAGAAACGAAATCTGAATTGTTTGTCTGTGAAAACATTTCTATATGATTTTCTTTTTCTTTTTTTACATAGCTGTACCCAGTGGATATACATCATTCTTTAGCGTGCAAACTCAGCAACAGACAGGGTCAAATTTCTACTCTGCATTCATTACTCAGACCCAGAGCATTAACAGGGCTAGTGTTGGTGGATCCCTGAAGCTGGTTTTACGGGTGAGAGGAGACTTAAAAATTCAAATATGTTTAACAATATTCATTTTACATAACATTAAAATGATATTCATTGATATGAGAAAACTTTATGTTTAAATTAGAAATCAAAGAACAAGGTACAGTTTCAATACAAATTAAGCCCTGTTCAAAAGCCATATTAAAAAATATGGAAGTAATATAAGAAATTTAAATTCACTCTTTCTGAATCACAGGAATTCCATGCAGTAAGAATAAACAAATTGTTTTTCTCATATGACCTCCTAAATGCTAATAGTGACGTCATTAATTTGTGCATTTTCCCGTATTTTCTCAAAAAGTTGCAGAAGACGTCAATTTTCAGTAGAAATATCTTTCAGAAAACATACTTTGCCACCGTCGTCCACAAAGATTTTGAGATATGTGATATTTCAAAGCAGTTTACATAATATATCCAAAACTTGAAGCGGGCGAGGGTGGCAGCCACTATTTTCTAAAGGAAAATAAGCACAGAAATGAGTCATTCTGAGGCTTTCCTGCATTAAACTTAGAAATGTACCAAATTAGTGACGTCATATTTCCACAATAGTCATCCTTCATGCCATATTCTTTAATGATTTATCATATTCATCTACTCATCTATGGTTATAGCCAATTTCATAACTTTTTAAGAACATTAAATTTTTAGGGCACATTAAAGCCAAAACTGTACCTTCTTCTTTTACATTTATACAGGTGATTGCTAATGATTATCTTTTTCTACTCTACAACAGGCCTCTGAAGAGACTGGTCACAGACGTAGTACTCGTGCTATAATTGATGTTACCGTCTCGGGAACCAATGACTTTGACCCAGTTGTAACAAGTTCCAGTGGTAGCTTTATTGGTACAATCAGTGAAGACGCTGATGCAGGGACACCCTTAAGAGCCCAGGGCAGCACAGATGCACTACAACTGGTCGTCACAGACCAAGATGTGGTATAGTTATCCTTTTTTTTCTTTTAAACTGTAAATATGTCTGTCTGTTTGGGAGGGGTGTGATGGACTTTTATTTGGATTAATGATTAGAAAAATTGTACATTTACATGCATATGAAATGAAAACTCTTATCATGAATATTGTTTATTTAATTACAGCTTCCTGGAGACCCAGATCCAACCTATTTTTTCGTGCCTTCCTCCAATGTATTTACAGTGAACAGTAAGGGGTTCATTTCCCTGATCAGTGCTGGGAGTCTGGACTTTGAGACAGATTCACAGTTTACATTCACGGTAAATATTTCTTACCTATCTAAATCCTTCCCATATTGAGTTTATAAATTATATTTTTTCACCAGCTATACATCAAGATAAAGAAAATTTTGAGAAAGATAGTATGTTTAAATCTGTAAAATATTAGGAAGACTATTTAACTACTGCATTTATTCAAACCAACTAGATATGAAACACAACTAAATATAAATCATATTCATTTCATATACCGATAAAAAAAATGTCTGTTTGGGAAAGACCATGATTTATTGTACTTTCGTAGGAATTATGAACATTGAAAAGGTTTGTAATAAAAAACAATTAAGAATTATCTCTACAGGTATGAAGGTAAATAAGAATTTATTTAATGCATGTTTTATCTACCAATGTAAGCCCTTTGTCCGTCATTTTAGGTCCTTGTGAGGGAAGCTAACACGATAGAGAGACGCAGTGCCACTGCTACAGTGACAGTGAATGTACTCAATGCTAATGACAATGCTCCATTATTCCCAGCCGCTGCCTACCAGGCCACCATCAGTGCAGGAGGCTACACACCCAGTAATGCAGTCACTGTGGCCACGGTAAGGCTATAAGTGAGATTGAAATATCTAAATAAAATAAATGAAAGGGATCTGTAGAAGTGATTTCAAAATAACTTATTTTGTGAATGATTTCAGGTACAAGCAACAGATGCTGATACAGGAATATTTGGCCAGATTTCTTACTCTATAACTGCTGTCAGTAACTCTAAGAATGCCAATGATAACGCCATCAGTAAGTTCCGAATCAGTGGTTCTCTGGGATTAGTGGACTGTATTGGAAGTGTATCTGGAGATGAACAGTATACCATCACAGTCAGGGCCGCTGACGGGGGAACAGGGCTCGACCAAAGGTATCCTCAGCTGGAACTGAACTATGTTTTATCTATAAATTAGAATTTGGAAAATAAATGATTTTTTAACAATTTAATTTTTTGTTAGCTCACCTCGACGAAGTCGAGATGAGCTTATGCTATACCCTTGGCGTCGGCGTCCCAGGTTAAAGTTTTAGGAGCAAGTCCATTCCTAAGTAACTATAAGCCCTACTTGAACCAAACTTGCATGGATGATGCATCTAGGGATGTACACTACCAGACTTGCTTCGGATGCTGGATCTGACCTACATTTTCAGATGAATAACCAGGGTAATGTTTTAGAAGTAGCTCTGTAATTTTATGGCCTGTTGTGATACAACTTGCATGGATGATGCATCTAGGGATGGACACTACCATACTTGCTTCAGATGCTGGATCTGACTTACATTTTCCAGATGAGTGACCAGGTTAAAGTTTTTGGAGCAGGTCCATTCCCAAGATGAGTGACCAGGTTAAAGTTTTTGGAGCAGGTCCATTCCCAAGTAACTATAAGCCCTACCCGGATCAAACTTGCATGGATGATGCATCTAGGGATGGACACTACCAGACTTGCTTCGGATGCTGGATCTGACCTACATTTTCCAGATGAGTGACCAGGTTAAAGTTTTTGGAGCAAGTCCATTCCCAAGGAACTATAAGCCATACCCTGACCAAACTTGCATGGATGAGGCATCTTGGGATGGACACTATCAGACTTGCTTCGGATGCTGGATCTGACCTACATTTTCATTCCCAAGTAACTATAAGACCTAGCCGAACCAAACTTGCATGGATTATGCATCTAGGGATGGACACTACAAGACTTGCTTCGGATACTGGATCTGACCTACATTTTCATTCCCAAGTAACTACAGTATAAGACCTACCTGAACCAAACTTGCATGGATGATGCATCTAGGGATGGACACTACCAGACTTGCTTCGGATACTGGATCTGACCTACATTTTCATTCCCAAGTAACTATAAGACCTACCCGAACCAAACTTGCATGGATGATGCATCTAGGGATGGACACTACAAGACTTGCTTCGGATGCTGGATCTGACCTACATTTTCATTCCCAAGTAACTATAAGACCTACCTGAACCAAACTTGCATGGATGATGCATCTAGGGATGGACACTATCAGACTTGCTTTGGATGCTGAATCTGACCTATATTTTCCATACAAGAGACCAGGTTAAAGTTTTGGGAACAGATTAATCCCAATGAACTTGTCCTTGATATCTGCAGTATTAACAAATTTATGAATATTTGTTTACACTATACATGTGTTTCACGCTACATGCATAGAAATGTGTATATGCCATGTAAGGGGTTAAACACAACTTGCAAGAATGTTGTTGGGATAAATACTAGACATTAAGAAAATATGATGTGAGATTTGCATTACTTACACTGATAACATTCGTCGAGGTGAGCTTCGTAATCTTTGATTACCTATGTTTCAGGTTTGCTACAACTGTGATAGTGGTAGATGTGACAGGGACTGCTGTGAACCAGGGTCCCTCATTCACGGCCGGTACATACAACATCCGAGTCAGTGAGGGGGTACCTGTAGGAGCCTCAGTGTTTGCTTCTCCTGTAAGATTTATATTGCTACCCTGTATTTAGAACAGTCCAATTTTTTTTAAATAAAGTGCAACATTTAATTAAAAAAAATTGTTTGCAATGAATGAAGATACATTAAATATGCAGCTAATGCAGGATAATTTATTAGTATTAATGCTTGCAGGCCTCCGACCCAGAGGGAAACACGATAACATTCAGCATGCAAGATATTACCTTCAACAACATCCAGATTTCTGACTTTGTCATGAATTCAACAAAGTATGTACAATTATGTTTATGTATTATTGATATTTAAAGGTTTGCAGCTTGGAACAAACTGATGCAATGCATAAATTTGTATTTTTTCTTCAGTGGGATCCTTTCAACAAGAAATACTCTAGACAGAGAAGGAAGACCCAACTATGTCCTGATTTTGTTTGCCAGAGAAACATCTACAAGCAGAGTAAGATTTAAACATTAAAAGATTTCATATTTCTATTACATTTAGTTGTACAATTGTATATTTTTATTTCAACTATTATAAAAGATCTAGTTTTAAATTGTGTTTCATTGGTATTTCAGAGTGCCACAGCAACCTTGTCAATTTCTATCATGGACATTAATGACAACAACCCAACATTCCTGAATAATCAGATCTATTCATTCAGTGTTCAAGAAGGTCAATCTAGCCAGGTGGCTGTTGGAACCGTTACTGTAAGTTGTTTGTCTTGACCTGTACTCATTTAATTGGTTTGTTAAACAAAAAAAAAACGTTTTGAATGTTTGAATATATTGGAATGTAAGGGGAAAAACTCACAAAATGACATTATATGAGTATTAAAATACATTATAATGAGTATGCCACTAAAGCATATTTCTATTAAATGTTTAGGCAACTGATATTGATGAACAAGGAACTCCTAATTCTGCTATTTCATACTCCATTCAACCACTTCCACCCAGCACCTTCCAAAACCTGTAAGTAACAACTTCTTACTTCCAATTAATCTTTAATCAAATTGGAATTTTATGAAATAGATTTTTTATACATAAAAATTCTGTATTGTTGTATGAATCTAAAATGCATGTTAAAAATTTCTTTGCAGGTTTACAATTAACAGCAATACTGGGGCAATAACAACTCTACAGCCTCTGGATTATGAAACTCAGAGAACCCATTACTTCCTGGTGTTGGCCAGAGATGGTGCCATCGCTAGTCGAACTGGCACTGCTACCGTCACTGTTAATGTTCAGGACACCCAGGATAGTGTTCCAATCTTCACAGAGACAAGTTACGCAGTGTCTGTCCCTGAGAACAATGTTGTTAGCCAGAGCATCCTCCGAGTTGTGGTATGGTGCCATCCTCCATAAAAATAGCTCTTTATTTATTTACAGAAAAAGTCTTGTAGAAATCTCCTGAAAGAAAAACTAATTCTCATTTACCAAAGGTAGCAACAACAAGCAATAAACAATTCACTTAAAAAATTTTCAGCAGCCCTTCATAAATAAGACTTAATTTTTTTGTATTAAAATGAGATTACATGTATCTTCATTCAGATGTTAATGACATTGACTCCATTATTTTTAGGCTGCTGATGCTGATGCAATCCCTAACATTCAGTATGTCATCATTAACGGAAATACCCAGGGTTCCGATGGATTTGCCTTTACAGTAGATGGAACAGGTCGCATTTTCTCTAAGAATTCTTTGGACTTTGAGACTAAGCAGTTTTACCAGTTCCTGGTGACCACCACAGATGGCCAGAACACTGCTATTAGTAGTGCAACTGCCACGGTCCAGATCACTGTATTGGTATGTGTCTGTCTACTTGCATCTGCACTTTTATTCAAAAAAGTTTTCATATGTACTATTTGATGTAAGTTAATCATTGTTGGAGTTGGGAAAAGTTTGATATTTTGAAATAGAAAGCAGATCAATTCTTAAATAATATTTATATTTCCTTGTAAAAATTATTATTCAGTTGAATGAATGCATGAGTTGACTACAGATGAAGCAATTTGTTGTTTGTTCTACATTTATTAATGAGGTGCTGTTTATTTGATTTTCAGGATAGGAATGACTTCCGACCACAAATTTCTGTCACACCATCTACAACAATAACTGTACCTGAAACAGCCAGCATTAACACTGAAATCGCAAACTTTGATGCCACTGACAATGACACTCCTGTAAGTTCTTGTAAAACATTCCTAAAATGTTCAGGCTGTAAATTGATTTATAAAATGGATTTAAACAAACTAATAACTAATTTTTTTTCAGTGACTAAACACTATACTATTTTCTGTCTTTTAGAACACAGATAACAGTCGAGTGGACTTTGCCATTGCTGGTGTAAATCCAGGCACAGGCAATGATTTGTTCTACATTAATCCATTCAATGGTGTGTTATACCTACAAAATCTCTTCACTTCAGATGTTAACAGACCATCATCATACCAGGTAAAAATTAATAATGCTCAAGCTTCCTCCTTGTGAAGATGAAGTAAATTTTAAATCGAGTGTTAAAAACAAATTGAACGCTTCTTTCCTTCAATGTCCATTAAGGTGACATTACCCTAGTATACCTAGCAACACCTTTTCTTTAAAAAAAAATCTACAATCAACATTTATCCATTTATGTAATGATTACCTAAACCTGGTAATATCCTTTCTTGAGACAACATTTTTACAACAATATATATTTATTTAGGTGACAGTAACAGCTACAGATAGAGGCACACCTCAGCAGAGTGACTCGGCTACAATCACTATTAGTATTACCAGGAACACACAGAGCCCTGTATTCACCAACTCTGGCCAGTATGCCACCACTATAGCCCAGAGTCTCAACGTGGGCGCCAGTGTGTTCACTGTTACTGCAACAGATGGGGATACAGTGGTCAGTTTTATCAAATTATTATATTATTGTGAATTTACTTTTGGTTACACAAATTTCTTGTAAAAGAACACAAAAAATATCAGTCATGGTGATATTTCGAGTTATTCCCATCAGAAACTTCCAATTTTTTATTGTTGCTCATTCTTATATGTTGAATTATTTGTTTGACAGTCACCATACAACACAGTTAAATACTCAGTCATTGGAGATGGACTTGCTATTTCATACTTCAACATCAACCCTGACAGTGGCCTTATTACTGTTAGAGACACACTGACAAAGGATAACTCAGCTGCATATACTGTTGAATTATGCTTTTGTTTGAAGTTTTACAGTATATCTTCATGTGTTTTATTAACACAGTTTGATGTATTTTACTTATTGATTGGGGATGACAGGAGATGCCACAGTGTTTATATCTGTCACCAGAAACTTACAGAGCCCTGAGTGGTTACAGACATCGTATGTTCAGTCCATTGCTGAGAACTACCCTCTTGGACAAGCCATTGTCAACCTTCAGTGGCACAGATGCTTACTGATATTTATTGAGACAACACTTCATTGTTGGAGAATTGTGTAAATTTTTCTTATATGTTGCAATTAGCTATTATGTTATTAAGTTTTCTGCTGTTTATCACTTTATTTCATATTTTCACTGAAAGCCAGCATGGTAATGTTATATTGAATGGAATGAAAAAAAGTTATCAAATTCTAGTGGTTTTGATAGTTTGTGAAATTTTACACTGTATTTCTTCTTAGATACATGTATGTTTTATTAAGACATACTTTGATGTACTTTGTTTGTGAAATTTTACACTGTATTTTCAAAATTGGCAAAATTATACATCTTATGTGTGTTATTAAGGTCACTGTGACCTTTAATTTAAATGAATTTTTTTTTAAAAACTAAGTCTTTAAAATTTTAAATTTCATAATCCTAAAAAATGTAAAAATATAGTTGTATCCTTATTTAAAAATGTTAAATCAAGTAAAAAATTATTTTTTCATCATATACTTTACAGCAGTCTGTAACAAATGTTAATGTTTTGAGAGGAATTCAGTTTGTCCCATGGGCATAATTATCAAGCACTGGTCAAGAAGAATTTTGATAGCAGAAATTTGCATGTCAAATTCGAGAGAAATTTAGTTTATTGTCAGTCAAACTGGTAGAGCAGATCTCTGATAATGCAGCTGTTATCTTTATCTTTAATCTCTTGGTTACATAGTTGCTTGTGTTAATTAAGAGTTCTTGATGGCTAGTTCAGATCTTTCAATTGGTGTAATGTAATTAAAACAAATTGATGCTTTAAAATACAGTGTATGATAAAAACTTAATTAATATTGTATAATATAATTAAAAGTAAACATTATTAAAAAATGTTGAATTAAGTAAAAACTTATTTTTTCATCATATACTTTAACAGCAATCTGTAACAAATGTTGATGTTTTGAGAGGAATTCAGTTTGTCCCATGGGCATAATTATCAAGCACTGGTAAGAAGAATTTTAATAGCAGAAATTTGCATGTCAAATTAGAGAAAAATCAATGAGTTTATTGTCAGGAGCTAACTGGTAGTCTGGTATTGTATAATATAATTAAAACTAATTATAATGTGTTTATTGAAAAAAAATTACATTTCAATTTTTATATAATTGCAACAAATTGCAGTCATGTCTCACTTAGAATTTTATAGTCTAAAGAATAATTTATTTTTGATTTTTTTTATTAGACTGTAGCATTTCCATTATTCCATAAAATATGCAATTAACAATTTAAAGCTGCAGATGGATATTTGTTAAGTTCTAACACAGCCAGTTTAGAATTATATGATGTATTATTTGTTATGATTAATCCCTACACTGTAAGTCTTTTAATGTTATATTTTAAACATGATAAGAAATGGAAATTAGATCATTGAAATTTGTGTCAGTCTGTTAATCAAGGTTATCTGATTTTCTTGCACCTTAACCAATTTATGATTATTTAACAATATATTTGACGGGCGTATCATGCTGTGGCGGGGCACTTTATGTAGAATTAATTTACATAAGTTATTGTTATTGGTAATGAATATGTGGTGCCAATTTTTTCAATGAAATTCCCTGTTTGCAGGCTCCCTACAACCAGCTGACATTTTCCATTACTGGAGACAGTCAGGCTATACAGTTCTTCCAGGTGTCCAGTGGTGGAGCGGTTTCTCTACGTCAGTCTCCAACACAGACCAGCCAGTCTCTATTCTCAGTAAGTCTCCTGTCTCAAGACCACTCTTTATCTCAGTAACAGTAAGCATTGTCAAAATCTATAATTCAGTTTAGTTATGCATGACTGAAAAGATTTAAGCACATGTAATTTTTAACAATAAGAAATTTTGAATTTGTTTTTACAGATAAGAATAAGTGTATCTGATCAAGGTCAACCACCAAGGACAGCAGTTAACCAGGCAGTGGTGAATATCACCATTATCAGAAATCAGCAGTCTCCCATCTTCTTCAGTACTGAGTATCGAGTGACCATTCAGGAGACCGCCTCCATTGGCAGCAGTGTACAGTCTGTCTCCGCTACTGATGGCGACACAAGTGTAAGAAAAAATTAATGTTTTCAGGAAATTTTATAGTGACTCTTTAGTCGAAGCAAGTGAATTTTAAAAAGAAAATTTGTGTGTGATTAAGATGTGTTTGAATTCTTTTCAGTCCCAGTTTAACCAGATCTCCTACAGTATCATTGGAGATGACACCGCTCCCAACTTCTTCCAGATCGGAACCAGCACCAGTTCTGGAACAGGATTCTCTGCTCTGATTACAATCAAAGCTAGTTTACAGTCTGAGCCAACAGATTTTTACAGGGTAATATTATCTCAAATGTTGAAGATAATGTACATGTTCATGTATAGATTTCCTATCTCAAATAAATGGAAAATTTTAACTTATAAGACATGTTTTCTTGAATGAATTTCTGCTCTTGGTGTAAGTTAATTACAGATCAGAAAATAAAATTAATGATGGTATTTAGTTCTAATAAGGCTAATATAGCTTTGAAAATAGATGCAGGAAAATTACAAAAAAAAAAAACTTGGTTTCCACAGATAAGAGTGGTGGCATCAGATAATGGTTCCCCGTCCAGATCTGCCACAGCTATTGTGTATGTGACAGTCCGTAGGAACTTCTTCCCACCTACGTGGACCCAGCCCAGTTTTTCAGGAAGTGTCCTGGAAACTCAGCCATTGGGTGTCAGTATTTTACAGGTCACGGCCACAGATGCTGACTCTCAGGTACAGAATACATCATATTAAAAAAAAAAATAATTCTTTCATAGGGCAAGTTATCCTGTGGAATAGAGTTGCAAGTTGTCCCTACTAAAACTTTGTATTGTTATTTTTCAGCCTCCAAACAATGAGGTGGTCTATGCCCTGAATGCTTCCAGCACCTATTTCCAAATCGACCCCAGCTCTGGATCCATCTCTGTCAAAGTACCACTGTACACAGATAATACAGACAGGAATCAATACAATGTAAGGACAGCACCAAATCTCATTTTATATAGATTTATTTTCAAAATCTCAATGTTTCTTGATACAAAAAAAAATATCCAGATGTGATCCATAAAAGGATTTGAAAGTTTTACTTTGGAAACTGAAGACATATCGTACTTAGTTTATGAATACTTGATTTCATTATTTTAATTTGTTTTTCAAGTGATCAATTCTCATCAATTCTTATCATTAACCATATGATATGTGTTTATTTTTAGTTGTTTGTGAGAGCCTATGACAGAGGAATACCCTCACTCACAGCAACGACCCTGGTGCCTGTGTTTATCAGTGTCTTCCGCAACAACAATCCACCCAGATTTGTTAATACTCCGTACGCAAGAACCATCTCCAGGGATGCAGTAGTAAACAGCAATGTTTACCAAGTGTCCGCTGTGGATAATGATAATAATGTAAGTTGAATTCTTACAAATTTGAAATATAAAAGTGTTTTTTTGTTGTTGTTGTTTTTTTTTTTTTTTTTTTAAATTTCAGCTTTTATTAAAAAAATTTATAGAATGATTTTATTTCATGATTGACAGGCCTTTGCAAAAATATGAAATGTTACCTGAATTGAAATGTACTTTTTTCAGCAATTTGGAACTGTGTCATATGCTTTAGTGGGAGCAGATGCTGGAAGTAACTTCTTCACAATTAACCAAAACACTGGACAGATCACTCTATCTGCAAGCATCTCCTCAGATGTGAACACAGTGTACAGGGTATGGTATTCTTCACAATTATTATTTGAATTCAATTTTTTTCACTTGAAAAATCTTTGTACAAAAGGGACATAAATCTTTACACGGAATATTTGATTTGTTATTGCAGCTTTTGGTACAAGCCTATGACAACGGATATCCTGCCCTGTATGATACTACCGTTGTCACGGTTACTGTAAACAGAAATCTCCAGCCTCCGGTCTTTAATCAGCCAAATTACAATGTGACCATCCTGGAATCTCAAACCCTGGGGGACACAATTGTTACAGTGGTCGCTACAGATCCTGACTCACTGGTAAGATAAAGAAATAAGTAATGATGTTTTTCAAATTATGAAAATAGTAATGAAATTTTGAATTTACTTTAATTATTTCTGGACTTTTCTCCTAATCAAATCAATAATAACACTTTCAAAGAAAAACTTAATGATTATGGAGGATTTTTTTAAAAGTTAAATTTATATGAGACATGTCAGTTGAAAACTTTTTAAATCTGCATTTGCACTTGATCAAGACTATCATTTTTGTCCAAAGTTTGGAAACAAGATGTGTTTTACTTTCATTCCACATATTTCTTACTTTTCAGACTGGTACCAATGATGTTGAGTACATAGCTACTGGTACAACGCAGGCTTTGAACTACTTCTTTTTGAATCCCACTACTGGACAGGTGTCTGCCAGAAGACCTCTGACAGAGGACACCAACACATTTACCAATAACCAGTACCAGGTATAATAAGTCTGTTTACTTTGTTGAATCTAGAGTGTATTTTATGGTAACTTAATATATGAAGATATCAGTGCTATCTGTGGACTTGATTAATTGTGCAGAATTTCTTGGTGTTTCGTAAAACTGTATACTTTGGGCTATACCTAGCTGTTAAAAATCTAAAATTTCTTCTGAAGATAACTGTACTTGCAAGAGACAATGGATCTCCGAGATTACAGACACAGAACCCAATTACAGTATTCATCAATGTCATAAGGAATCAGTTCAGCCCAGTCTTCCAGAATCTGCCCTACGCCAGGAATATGCAGCAGACCGTGTCTGCAGGAACTAGTGTGTTCCAGGTCACTGCGACGGATGCTGACACAAGGGTAAGCAACTCTCTAGATGAGATTTAAACAAAAGCATAACTTCAATGTCAAAGAATTGTTTTAAAACTGAAATTTTATGATTTTTGCAGACTCCTTACAACCAGGTGACTTACAGCATTGTGTCCCAAAGTAACAATGTCAACCTGTTCAGCATCCAACAGGATGGAGTGATTAGGATCACCAATACGGTGACCTCCAGCTCGGATGCCCAGTACACGGTGAGTCAGCTGTAAACTTGTTCAGTATCAAGTCTGTAACACAATTTCAATACTGTAGATCACTAAATTTTCGCGACACCTTATTTTCGCGAGATAGTCATTGACCCTTTATTGGCGAGACTTAATTTTCACGAATTGTTGTTTTACCTCTATATAAACGTAAGAAATACTTTTAAATGCGAGAATGAAATTTTCGCGAGCTCATTGTCTACCGTAATTACGCGAAAATAAAGTTCTCACGAATAAAACGTGATTTACAGTAGTTAAGAAATCAGATTCTCATCAATGCAAGTAAATTCATTGATACAAAGAAAAAAATTCTCAGTCATTGACCCTTTATTGGCGAGACTTAATTTTCACGAATTGTTGTTTTACCTCTATATAAACGTAAGAAATACTTTTAAATGCGAGAATGAAATTTTCGCGAGCTCATTGTCTACCGTAATTACGCGAAAATAAAGTTCTCACGAATAAAACGTGATTTACAGTAGTTAAGAAATCAGATTCTCATCAATGCAAGTAAATTCATTGATACAAAGAAAAAAATTCTCTGTCCTTTATAAATTTTTGACATTGTAATCAATCCATGAAGCTTTGTTATTTTATGAACTTTGACCTGTGTTCTAGATCCTGGTAATGGCAGCTGATGGAGGGTCTCCCAGTCGTGTTGCCTATGCTACAGTGGTGCTGACTGTGGACAGGAACCTTAACACCCCATTCTGGGTTAACCCTGGCCAGGGGGCTAACTACCAAGCTACTACCCAGGTGTTGGAGACCCAGGGCTTTGGCAGCACCATTTACCAGCTGACTGCTTCTGATCAGGACTTTGCTGTAAGTGTTGAATTTTAAAGTTTTTTTTGGTTTGATTTTTCTAAATTTCATCAATCTTCATTTATATTTTAAAGTGTACCTGTGTCCTACGTTGTTTGTTAACTGCAAGTTTAGAGGATTTTGTGATTTTTTTGCAGGCCCCATACAACACCATCGTATACACTCTTGTTGGAGAGGACCCAGGTCCACTCTACTTCCAAGTGGGAGTTAATGATGGCAGAATTACTCTGAGATCCTCTTTATACCAAGATACAGTCAACAACCAGTACAGGGTAAATTTCAGAAAGGAATAAGAAAAGCTCAATGGATCATTTTAATGTCTGGAAATTGAGCATTTGGGAACCACTTGCTAAATGATAGTAGGAAAATTCTGATCATTCATGCTTGTAAAATGTTACATGTAGATAAATCAGAAAGAAAAATGTTATAGCTTACAGGGAAGTTGAGAAATGCTTTTGACTTTTTCAGTTGATTGTGAGACTTAGTGACGGAGCTGGTCGTGTGGCTGCACAGAGTGCTACTGTTACTATCAATGTCATCCGCAATCAGAACACACCTTTCTTCATCAACGAGCCATACTCCCGTCTCATTCAGGAGAACCTGCCTACTGGGACATCAATCTATCAAGTCACAGCTCGGGATAATGATGCTGCCGTGAGTTTTCATCTCTTTTTATTACCTCTACCTTGTGTGTCATGTTATGAAAGAGCTTGAAAGTGATACAATTGTAAAATTTTGTGTTTCTTCTTTTTTTCTCTCTGTCAGTTGCATCCTTGTTTAAAAACTTTTAATTGAATATTTGCCTTACAGAATACCTTTGAACAAGTTCGTTATGAAGTAATTGGAGATGGATCAGCCCCTGTATACTTCGATGTCAATTCCATCACAGGAGCAATCTCCACAAAGCAGTCTCTCTCCAGCCAATCAGCTGCTATCTATTATGTAGGACAGTTTTATATTTTAAGCTACAAAATTGAGTTTTTGTAATATACATGTAATTAGCTTTATTGGACTTGCTTCATTTTTTTGCTTTATTTCAGCTGCGTATCCGAGCCTATGACAATGGAATACCAAGCCGAAGCAACACGAGTTTGGTTGTGATTACAATTAATCGTAACCTGAATGCCCCCGTGTTTGTACAGACCTCACTCTCGGCTAATTTACCTGATAACAATGCTCTAGGACAGACACTGATTACTGTCACAGCTAATGATGCTGATACAGCTGTAAGTATATTGTTCAGCTTACCAAGAACATTTCTTAATTCCTAAATTATATTTGTTTTTTTCTGTCCTGCATTTTGTTGAAGTTTAAGAAAAGAATATAGATATGGTTTAAATTGCTATTTGCTTTTAACACAGGCTCCATACAATACTGTGCGCTACACCCTGAAAGGAAATGCTGTTGCCCAGGAATTTTTCTTCGTTGACTCGATATCAGGTGCTGTGTCTCTCAGGAAGGCCTTGTCTTTTGATACACAGCAAAATCAGTTCTATCAGGTAGATATTTCTTTAATCCAATATTCTTAGTGCTTTGATTCCATTTCCTCAAAATTCAGACTTTTAATTCTAATTTCTGCTTTGTAGCTGACTATTGGAGCCAATGATCTGGGAACCCCTAGCCTAACTGCTAACATTGATGCCACAGTAACCATTAATGTTGTGAGGAATTTGCAGACGCCCTACTTCTTACAATCCAATTACGTTACCACCATTCAGGAGAATCGGGCTATTGGAACCTCTGTTCTGCAGGTGTCTGCAAGGGATGATGACACTACGGTATGTGGAACTGATCAAAGTATCTAAAAACAGTGTAAATCAACTAAGAAAACCTAGTTTATGGTTTGCTCTTATAAAAAAATTCTTATATTACTTGCAGTCTGCTTTATAATGGTCTGTACTTGTTTCAGTCTCCTTTCAATCTGGTGACTCTGCGAGCTGTTGGTGATGACAGTGGACCGACCTACTTTAACTTTGACACAACATCAGGTGTGATCAGTGTCCGCCAGGATCTGAGACTTGACACAGCCACTAAGTACAGGGTAGGCTGAACACTGTCTGTTTAATATGATCTTTTTCTGCGTGGAAAACAACATGTTAAATTTCCTCATGATAAATTTATAAATAATTATCTCCTCTTCAATGTTTAAGATAATTTTGCTGATTTTGAAAAATTCTATGAGGTTTTTTCCCAAGTTTTACACCTTATTATCCCATTTTGATGAAGGATTTGAATTTATAAGATAATTACACAGTTCTTTATTTACATGTAGGTACAGGTACATGTAATAGATGACAATCACATATTTGTTTTTTTTTTGCAGTTGAGAATTGAAGCCAGAGATGGAGGTATTCCAGCACTGAGTGCAACAGTACTTGCCGACATTAATGTCAGAAGGAATTTGTTTGCCCCAGCATTCTTAAACTTAAGCTATGAAGTGACGATTCCAGAGACCACGAATGTAGGAAGTTCTATTGTCCAAGTTCGGGCCACGGATCAGGACATTAGAACTCCACACAATATAACTGTGTACTCCCTGGCTACCGACTCTGTGAACCAGTTTGCCAATCAGTACTTTGATATTGACCACAACACTGGGTTTGTCTTCCTCAGACAGTCTCTCCTGAATGATAACCTCAACACCAATCGCTTCACAGTAAGTACGGCTTGACAGTTCAGATCACTGTCCATAGCTAGAAGTTTGGGATACTTAAGTTGAAATTCATTGATCTTGTTTTGAAAATTGTAACTTTTTAAACTAAATATTTGAACGGTATCAAATGTACATGTAAATTAAAAAAAAAATTATTCTATGTACCATGAAAAAATAAAAAATTTTTATTAGAGGCAGTGATACATTATAAAACATTCTATTGTATTATTTCATTTTTTCCCCATCAGCTCAGTGTAATAGTGTCAGACACTGGAGTGCCACCTCTTACAAGTTCTCAGAGAGCCTCAGTCATCGTCAATGTGATTCGTAACCAGTTCCCGCCTACTTTTATCAACACACCGTACGCCACCACCATCAATCGTACCGTCATACAAGGAACCACCATCTACACCGTGTCTGCCAGGGATCAGGACACACAGGTATAAAATAAAATCTTAACTGAGAAATAGAATGGAAAACTTCTGCATAACAACTGTGTGAGAAAATACATTGTACACCAATAAACAGCTTTTTCTTTTACTTAAGTTATGACGTTTGATTTCATTCCAATTGCGATTTTGTTTCAGGCTCCATTCAACACTGTGGAGTATGATATCGTTGGGGATGACAACAGTGTAGTGTTTTTCAACATTGACAGAAATACAGGATTGATCCGACTGACACAGACACTATTCAGTGAATCACAGACCGTGTATAATGTAAGTAGGATGGTATTGGTTAGTTTAAAACATCATTAATACAACTTTTCAAAGAAATGATTGCATCTTGTTAATGACCATTTTTTTTTTATTTGAAAATGGGCGAATGGATTGGAATAGGTTAGAATTATAACTATAATAGTCATATTGTTTATAATACTAGATTGCATAAATGGGACTGCATATTATAAATTTTATCAAAGTCTTTTAATTCATAGATCAATGAATTGTAATTGTGAAACTGTAAGATTTGGAATGAAGAAACATGTACATAATAAATTGTTTAAAGGCTTTAGTCACGGAATCTTTGTATGTTTGTAGGTGCGAGTTAGAGCGATGGATGGAGGAAATCCTAGGTTGTCCTCCACTGCTGTCGTGGTTGTCACTGTCCAGAGAAATCTAGCAGCACCTGTCTTCAGACAGAACAGCTATGAAATCACCATCCCCGAGACTCAGTCCCCAGGATCTCTTGTTCTTACCATTCAAGCTGACGACAGTGATATCAATGTAAGTTTAAAATAAGAGTAATACAGAAAATGTCAATATAAATTTTGAAATATTTGGTTGATCATGTGATGAAAATTTGACAATTAAATAAAGTCCATTAGACACTTGCATTTGAATTAGTTGAAAAGCTCTATAACTCCTGTTTTGATGTGACTTGTTTGAATTGCAGGCTCCACACAACACCTTTAACTATTTCTTCTCCGGAGTGAACACTCAGAGTGACAGGTTCTGGCTGGACTCTAACACAGGACAGATCTTTGTCAGGAGAATCCTGTCTGGAGAAACACAGAGCACATTCACAGTGAGTAAAATGTTTGTCAGAGTTTGGAAGATTATCTGCATTTTTCTTTTTACTAAATGTCTAAATTGTTGTGGATTAACTTTCCTTGATTTATTTTTTTTTGCTTTTCATGAACATTATGGTCTTCATAGTAAATGCGTGAGCATTTATTGGTTTGAGGGTATTTATTGTCATCCATTGCATCAACCACTTATATTCATTTATTTTCTTTTAAACAGTATAATGCCTTTGCCCGAGACAATGGTGTCCCACAGCTAACCAGTACCACCATACCAGTGACAATCAACGTGAGACGGAACCAGTTCCCCCCAGTGTTCCAGAACGAGCCTTACTCTCGTGCTATCACCTCAAGTGTTGGGTCCGGTACCTCTATCGTAACGGTCACTGCCACAGATCAAGATAACTTTGTAAGTCTCCTGGTCATGGAGTTGAAATTTTAAAAACTCAGCTTACAATCTCAAAAAAAATTGACATTTTACTCTTTTGATGTTTTCTGTTGAAAAGGAATTGCAAGAAGACTTTTTGAAGTAGAACAATTTATGTTTACTTGAATTACTTGATATATTTTCTTTTGCAGTCTCCATTCAATGTTGTGACTTACTCTATCATTGGTGATGACCAAGCACCAACATTGTTCAACATTAATCCAACTACTGGCTTCATCACCATGAGTAGTAACATCAATAATGATGGCACAAGCTTTTACCAGGTAATCAAGGGTGAAAACTTTTAACTAGATATAAGACAAGACTTTTTTAAAATTGTACATAGAGAAGTTTATGTTTGAAAAATCACTAAGATAAAATTATGCATTTTTTAAAATGATTTTATTCACTTTTTCCTACTATAATTTCCTTTATAGATCCGCGTGCTGGCCTCAGATGGAGGTTTTCCACCACTGACCGATACAACAGTTGTGTACGTCAATGTCACCAGGAACTTGTTTTCACCCGTCTTCCAGCCTGACCAGTACAGCATCGCTATCCCCGAGTCGGAGCCCCTGGGAGAGACCATCACCACGGTTACTGCCATTGACAGTGATGCCACTGTAAGTGATTCTTCTTGATAATTTTTCTGTTTCATGAAAAATTGATTTAGGGAATGTGCACATGAGATCCTTTTTTTTTTCCATGACATTTTTACATTTTAAAATTGATTTTTGAATGTTCTGCTTTTTCCTACACATTATTGCAATATTTGGGTACATATATAACTTCAAAAATATGTGTAAAATGTCCTATTTTCAGTCTCCAAACAACGTGGTTGAATATGCTCTGTCTGGAAATGCTAATGCTCTCAATTACTTCCGTGTGGACTCGAGATCAGGCCAGATTTCACTGATTCGCCCTGTGTCTGCAGACACCAGCAACCCATCTGGTTACACTGTAAGTCAGATTACGGTCACAAGAATTTTAAAAATCCTGTACTTTATTAATGTGTTTTTATATGGTATGAGCCATAATATCTTGAAATTACTTATTTTCATTATATCCTCTGATGATATGCCTGGAATATTTCAGCTGATTGTTACTGGACGAGATCTTGGTGTTCCATCAAGGGCAGCTACAAACACTGCCACTGTGCAGGTGTCTGTGTTCAGGAACAATAACGCTCCTCAGTTCATCCAGACCCCCTACGTTACAACTGTGGACAAGAATACTGTTGACAACAGTAATATCTACACTGTCAGTGCTGTGGATGCAGATCTTCAGGTAATTACCACTTTCAAAATTATGATCTCATTTTGTAGTTTCTTCTACTTTGGTTCAGAGCAAGCATCTTATTTTATACTTGAGCAAAATCGTGCATGTTTTTTTTATTGATTTTACAGGCTCCATACAACACACTGACATTGTCTGTGATTGGAGATGACAATGCACCTTCCCTGTTCTCATTGACCCAGAGTGGAAATAATGGTATCATTCGAGTCAGGTCCAGTCAGAATCTGGCCTCAGATACCGCCAATTCCTACAAGGTACAGTGACCTCCTTCAACTTCCTCTACTTACTTAACTATCATATATTTGACTCTCAAGTCATACCTTTTACTCTCTAATTTTACTTTCTTGGTTTTTAGCTGAGGGTGCTTGTGGCAGATGGTGGCTTCCCATCTAGGACAGCCACAGCTACGGTTGACATTACTGTCAGGAGAAACTTGTTTGCACCACAGTTCCAGAACAGCTTTATCAGGGTGACGATAAGTGAAAACACAGTTGTAGGCAGCAGTATCACACAGGTCTCAGCCACAGATCAGGATGTTGATGTAAGTATTTATACACTTTACTATGAAAGGAATCAATACACATTATAATATGTAATCTTTTTTCATTCATGATGTTTGTCTCAATTCAAAAGATTAATAATAGTTTATATGGACATGCTGGTAGTTTCTTAATTTAATTTAAGAATAACAATCATACTATGGAATGATTGAAAAAACCCTTTGATTTCTTTATATAGTCCCCCAACAACGTGTTCCGCTATGAGCTGTTTGGAGAGGGAGAAGCCCCTACCTATTTCTTTGTCAATCAGAACGATGGATCAGTAACGCTCATCAGGAGTGTTCTCAATACAGGAGCAAGTGGATATAATGTGAGAACAAAAATACACTTATTTTTTAAAATACAGTCAATTCTCGAATTATCGCCATTCGATTCATCGCCATTTTCGCAATACCGCCATGATTTCCCAAGAACGTTTTTCCTGCTATATAAAATTCTCTTTATAACGCCAAATTCGCATACCGCCATCCGCCACCCTGTTTTCACAACAAACGTCCATTTTTAAGTGTCAATTATCTCGATAATACCGCCACAGGTGTATGTGGTCAGTGAAGCGCGTCTAATTGGTTGACGCTATCATGGAAAGCCAGTCAAGGTACATGCAATTAAGTAAACAATGATTTTAACATGAACTGTTAGAATAATTTTGTTTTCTGTTTAATAAAATCATTTAGTCAAAGCTTCGCCACGAAAGCGGTCATTGTAAAGTTCGCCGATAACGATATTATTTGGATTATCTCTGCTTTTAAAAGCAATTCAAGGTTTGCTTAAAAAATAATTATAAGTTAGAAATTGTGAACGTTTCATTAACAATGATCTCATAAACAATGAATTTATTCAAGAACTTATTTTACGTACTTTAGGCAATATATCACGACGATCGACCCAGCATTCTTTTTTTCAATATCAGACGTGCAGATTTACATACATACACATATACTTGTCTTAATTTCATAACTGAATACTTTGTTTTAGCGAAATTGTACATAAAAAATTACTTGAAGTATTTTCAAATTTAGAAATATGTTTATATATACATGTACATGTGATAATAAGAATAGGAACGCTAAATGGTATTTCTAAGAACGATAACGCTACGTCTTATTTCCTAAAGATGGAAAATTCAATTCATCGCCAAATTCGTTATACCGCCATGATTTCTAAATTACAAAAGGTGGCGGTTTATCGAGAATTAACTGTACATCTATATGTAATAATATATATATAAAGTACATCTCTTTTAAAAAGCTTAATTATAGCATGTTCAAAACTTGCCCTCTTGCATACAATAGCTTCTGTATTTGATTTGAATAACTGGTAAATTTTCTAATCATTTGAATTTATTTACAGTTGAGAATCCGTGCAATCGACCAAGGATTCCCGCAGCTGTCCTCTATTGCCACTGTGGAGGTGGTAATCACACGTGTGACAGAAGTCCTCAACTTTATCCTGCCATCCTACACCAGGGTCATCTCAGAAAATACAGCAGTGGCACTTACACAAGTGACTCAAGTATCAGCGCAACCAGGGGTAAGACATTTATGACACAGTAGTAGTTTTGCTGAGACATATGTTGATATTCATGTTTTGATGAGGAATTGATGTCTATGAAGTTTTTTGCTGAATAGGTATATAAATGAAGTAATGTGAACAATTTTATTTTCCAGCCTGATGTTTTTTATGAACTGACAGGATTCAGTGATGGTCCTGATTACTTTAACATTAGTTCCGTGTCTGGAGGCATTTTCGTCAGGAAAGACCTGAGACTAGATCTAAATAAGAAGAGCCTGTATTATGTAAGTTTTATGTAACACTGTTGTCATTCATAACAAGTTTGAAAGTTAATGCTTTATTTCCATGATGTATTTGGTAACTCATAACTACTATGATTTCAGCTCCAAGTGAGAGCCACAAAGACAATTTCAGGACAGGTGCAGACTGCCTTTGCTACAGTGAACATTACGGTGACTCGTAATGAGAATGCTCCAGTCTTCTCACAGAGTGTCTATGAGGTTACAATTCCAGAGACCGCTATTCTTGGTTCCAATGTGGTACAGCTTACTGCAACAGATCAGGATGCTTTGGTAAGTTTGAAAAAACAATAGTTATGATTAATGTTGATTTTTTTTATTGATTTCACAGTGTGAAAAAAGAAAATGATAAGGAATCTAATTATGCAGGCCTGTTTACGTTTAACAATTTCTCTGTAATAGGATGTCATACGCTATGACATGGTAGCTGCTGTGGGACAGACAGAGAAGTTCTATCTGGGACCATTCACGGGTTTAATCACTCTCCGAGCAGTACTGACAAACGATGCCACAAACAGATATCAGGTACATTTCTCCAAAAATACAAAAGCTTTACAGATATGAATGTTTTGCAAAGCAGTGAAAAACAGTGATTGATTATGAAACATCAAGATTAGGTTAATACTTTTTGTAGGTAGTGCTTTTAAAAGATGATATTTATGCATAATCTTTTTAGTTCAATGTGCTGGCACGTGATCAATCCTCACCAGAAAGGACTGCTACTGCAACAGTGATAGTAAATATCAGACGCAGTAACTTCCCTCCTGTTTTTGTCAACACTCCGTACTTCACCGGTGTCAATGTTGGAACCTCCCTTGGATCGTCCATCTACACCGTTACTGCGACTGATTCAGACCTCCTGGTATGTGTCAGTTTGTAAAATAGGAGCATTTCTTGTTGCCCAGCATTTGATTTTCAATCTTCTTGCATGGTATGAACAATAATATATTCTCTCTGTTTTCAGGGCTCCATTGTTTATGAAGTAGATGGGTACTTATCTGCCCCAGCTTATTTTGATGTGGAGAGAACCACAGGAAGAATTGTCATTCGTAATGACTTCAGTCTGGATGTAACCACCACTTATCTTGTGAGTGGACATTTTCCACCACTAATGTAGAGCAGACATCTTCCAGAAATGTTAAACATTTTACAGTGCCTTATCTGATGAAGTTCTGAAATAAAACCAACCTCCTCTGTAAAGGATTTATAACAAAAACTGAACTGTTTCAAGTTTTAGCTTTGTGTTAATTTACAGTATTTCATATAAGGATTAGTAATAAAACCTGAACTCTGTGTTTTAGCTTGGTGTGAGAGCCTATGATACAGGTGCCCCGGCACAGTTTGCTCATGAGAATGTGACCATCACTGTCAACAGGAACCCTAACGCTCCAGTATTCAATCCAGCCAGCTACAGTAGAACCATAGAGGAGACACTGGCTCCTGGCAGCAGCCTGGTGCAGCTGTCAGCCACCGATGCTGATGGAGTATGTACAATTAAAATGTTTTACATAGTCAAACAAATGTTAGAAAGTATTGAATATTTTATGTTCACAAACATGAGTCAGTTGTCAAAATTCTAATGTAGAGGCTTTTTGAGAGTGATCAGTGAATTGGGAAAAGATTTTAATATTGTGCATAAATGTTGACTTTATTTGTTACAGCACAATTTGCGATATGCAAGGCTTTCTATTACTCCAACTGGATTAGAAGACTTCTTCTACGTGAACTTTGACACTGGTTTGATCACAGTAGCTAGGATGCTGACCCAGACTCAGGTGAACTCTATACAGATGACCTTTACCGTGACAGACAATGGTATTCCTGCTCGATCAAGTAACACTCCCGCCATTGTCAGCATTCAGATCCTCAGGAACCAGTTTGATCCATTCTTTATCAATACACCATACATTACAACCATTCAAGAGACTACCCCTATCGGTACAAGTGTCCTTAGAGTTACTGCATCTGATCAGGACCAGGTAAGTCTATACATTTATAAATGTATAATATCCAAGGATAACATTTATTGAAAACATTTTTTTTTTTGAGATTGTGCTCTGTTTCATATAAGCATAATATTTTATCTTGAAAAATGATGTATTTCAGAACACTGTTTTCTCCAACATCACATATTCACTGATCGGAGATGACACCATGCCGTCGTACTTTACTCTGAATTCAAACACTGGTCAGATAAGTGTCAGGGCATCACTAACAGCTGAAATCCGGGACAGTTACCAGGGTAGAATCGTGGCCTTTGATGGTGGATCACCCCCTCGCAGTGCTACAGCTATTGCCACAATTAACATTCAGAGAAACTTGAACTCTCCAATCTTTAACCCATCAAGCTATGAAGAAACTGTTCTGGAGACCTTGCAAGTGGGAACCAGCATTCTTCGTGTAACTGCCACAGATGCTGACAGGAGTGTGAGTATTTTTAGGACCCATTTGTCACTTTTGTTAGTTTTTTTGTCTGAAAATTCTAGTAACCATCAATTTTTTATTGTGGAAGCAAGGCTGTTATAGTTTTTTAAAAAGTTTTGAATTTTAATGAATGATGCTATCTGTTTTGCATGTTAAAAAAATTGTGGCCTGAAAATTTGTCTTATTTTTAAGATGGATTTTTTTATTGTTTTCAGTCTCCCTACAATGTTGTTCGGTACACAATGTCCAATATCAACTCTGTTGCCTCTACCTACTTCACAGTAGACAGTGTAACAGGCTGGGTTACTGTGCGAGTACCACTCAACCTGGACCTAGCAGTCAACAACAACCAGTATATTGTAAGATTAACCATTTTGTCTTCAATAATCATTGATTAATAAAAGTATTTAGATCAAGAGCATAAGAATAAGATTGAGTAGACATACATATAGTGTATAATGGCTTTGTCTTTATATCTCTTCAATGTTGATTTTCAATTTTTCAGTTCAATGTACAAGCCACAGATCAAGGGAGCTCACCCAGATCAGCTTCATTACCAGCCACAGTAACAATCAATGTGATTCGTAATCAGTTCCCTCCTGTCTTTATAAACACTCCTTATGCCACCAGTCTGCCATTCACTGTCCCTGCTGGCTCCAGTGTATACAATGTTAATGCTACAGATGCTGACACAAGGGTAGGTCTTAAATGAAATTAACATTAAATTATACATTTATTATCAAGTCAATTTTTGTTTGGAATACTTGAAGGTAATATATGTTATCTTTATCTTCTTTAGAGTCCGTTCAATTCAATCAGTTATTCTATTATTGGAGATGACAGAGCACCTAGTTTGTTCAGTATTAACCCATCATCTGGTGTTATTGCCACATCTTCTCAGAATCTTTTCTCGGACTCCAACACATTGTACACTGTAAGTTATAATAAACTTGTAATCAGAGTTGCAATTAATAAACTTGTAACATGTAAATTGAATAAAATACTGTATTAGAATTGTTTTCATATAAATGATAGTTACATATATTAAGTTGTCTTAAGAGAGATCAAAGCATATTTCCTGAGTAGCTTGAGCTTAAAATTGAGTAATATTAAACAGGTCCGAGTTCTAGCACAAGATGGTGGCTCCCCACAAAGAAGTGCTACCTCCACAGTTCTGATCACTGTGACCAGAAATCTGAATGCTCCTGAGCTTCTCCAACAGAACTACACCGTCAGTATCTTTGAAACCCAGAACCTTGGAGAATCCATTGTACAGATTCAGGCCAGAGACAACGATATAAGTGTGAGTCTTTAGTTAAGGGTTTTCTATGTATTGCAGATTGAGACATTGTAACTCTGAACTAGTATATGTTTGATAATTTGAATTTCTTAAACAACCTTTTAAACACCCTTTTCAGGCTCCGTACAACACCTTGACCTACAGTCTGGTGGATTCTTTGAACACAGGGTCTGTACTGACCAGGGAATACTTTGACATTAACCCCAGTGCTGGCTGGATCTACGTCAAAAAGTCCCTAACTCTTACACCAAACAACAACTTTGTGGTAATTATTTACATTTTGATCCTTGCACTGAAATTTTTGCTGATATGAAGCAATATTTCTATTTTACATACGAACTGAACACCTTTATTTTTGTGCTGTTGTACTAAATTAACTTACATTTAGGCTGTTGTGTCAGTTAATGACAATGGAACCCCCCAGAGATCTGCATCTACCTTCTCCTATGTGACAATCAATGTTCTACGTAACCAGTTCACTCCCTACTTCATCAATGAGCCCTACAGGGTTGATCTGGGAAGTAACATTGGAATCGCTACCAGCATCATTGATGTAACTGCCAGAGACAATGACAGTCCAGTGAGTTTATCTTGTTGCAAACTTGAAAAAAAAAAATCCAAAAAATGATGAACAGATACCAGTACTAGTAAAGACACTGAGAATTAAACAGATGTTTCATAAATACATGTATAGCAAATATCTAAAAATATTACTTTTCATAGATAATTATTAAACTTCATTGATTATTGTTTTTATGACTTAATTCTTTTTTTTAGACTACACCATTTGGACAAATCACATATGACATTATTGGAGATGATTCTGCACCAAGCTACTTCTCCATTAATGCTGCCTCTGGAAGAATAAGCATTGCAAGGTCCCTTACAGAACAAAACGTAGAGGAATATAGGGTAAATAATAGTGCTTGAGATTTAACTACTTATTATTGTTAATATAAATGTAAGTATTTTTGGACTGAATGTAAGTATTTTTGGACTAAATTGTCCTAATATTTTTTTTTTAATTGTCAGGATTATAAATCTATTCTGCTTACAGTTCTGTTTATGGTTTAATCATTTTGAATATTTCTGTAGATCCGTGTCCGTGCCAGAGACGGTGGTGTACCATTCAGGTTCAACACCTCGGTGGTGATTGTGACAATGCGACAGAACTTCCAGGCCCCCACCTGGCGAGTTCCTAACTACAGCCAGACTGTCGTGGAGAGTCTGAGTCTGGGAACAGTCATTCTGACCGTTAACGCCACTGATGCTGACCCACTGGTAAGTGCATATGTACTGGTAATCCATTGAACAGCTAAGAGTGCACCACATTTAAGCGAGTTATCAGCAAGAAGAATATTATATCCATTAACTGACTACAATAAATTCTTTAGAAATCAAAAAAAACTTTCTTTGAACATGGAAAAAAAACATCATTTCACAAACTGGTTTAGGAAGCAAAATGCAAAAGAAAAAAAAGTATTATTCTATAAGTACCATTTTAAGTTTTTTTTTTAAATTGGTTTTTATACACTATTCCATGTGCATTGTGCTGTACCCTGTTTTTCCATATTTTAGCCCCCACACAACACAGTCCGATACTTTATCACCGCTGATGCTGAGGATCTGGAGTGTTTCTTGGTGAACGAAGTCACGGGAGACCTGGCTCTGAGACGATCACTTCTGTATGACCCCTGCAGGGCCCAAGTCTTCAATGTAAGTTCATATTGCATTGAAAAAAAAAAATCATTTTGAACTGTGCTTTCTCTGTCAAACTACTGATGATGCTTTAAAAATAGAAAACATGTAAAGTTATAAATTATTTTTTTTTTAAATTGTGGAAATGTAAATATTAATGATCAAAAATGCTAATTTTGCTTGTAGATGAGGGTAACAGCTAGAGATTTAGGAACCCCTCAGTTGTCTAGCATCCCTATTGAGGTGTCCATTTTTGTGGTGAGGAACAACAATCCTCCAGTGTTTTTGAATCTGCCCTACACAACACAAATAGAGGAGACCTCTAACATTGGACGCTTAGTATACAGAGTAACCACTACAGACGCTGATGTCCAGGTATGCTGTATTTCTGTCATACTGTTGTGATTTGTTATGAATTTATTGTTTCATACTGCCCCTCATATACATATACTTAAATTCATTTTGCTAAAATTCATACAGTGTATTTGCCCCTTTGTTTCTAAAAGGTTTTCATTTCTCTTACATGTAAATGCTAAATTTCATGGATGAAATTACAGGTGCCCTTTAATGTGGTTAAATATCAAATCATTGGAGATGACTCGGCCAGCACTTTCTTCAATATTGATGCAAACTTTGGAAATGTGACCTTGAAATCCAGTGTGAACTTTGACACCACATCAAATTACAAGGTATGAAAAAGGTTAAAAAATATGTATTTAAAAAACTTAAACATGTACAGAAGTGAATGAAAATAGTTTAAAGTGTTTGTTTTTTTTAGATACGACACATGAACAATTTTTTTTTTTCAGAAAGATAAATGTATTTGCTAAAATCTTCAGTTAATATTCTTAGCTACATGTAGTTTGAAAATTTTCCTGCATATCAACATTTTTTTTTTATATTTACATGTATCTTGTAAATTCATTTTGCTAATTTTGTGAGGAAATCACAAACACATTGTTATACTGCCTATTAACTCTGACTGTCCCTTCCACCTGTGTAGATCCGAGTGCTTGCCTATGATGGAGGATTACCCTCTCTCTCAGCCACAGCCACCATTGATGTTCTTGTACAGAGAAACCTCTTCTCTCCTGTGTTCTCTCCCCTGAGTTATGAAGTCACGATAAACGAGAATGCTGCCCTTGGTGTTCCTTTTATCTATGTGAACGCCACTGATGCTGATGCAAGGGTAAGTTATTTCAATTATCATAATGACAGCTAAGTAATTTCAAATGCGAAGAACTTTTTATGCCCCCCTTTGAAGAAGGGAGGGCATATTGCTTTGCTGCTGTCTGTCGGTCGGTCTGTCAGTTGGTCCACTTAGTTTCCGTTCATTCTCTTCACAACCCTTGCACATACTGAAATGAAATTTGGTATACACATATATCACATGAATATCTAGGTCAAGTTCTGTTTTGGGTAGGATCGCACCATTTTTGACAGAGTTATGCCCTTGGACTTAGAAAAATTTCAATTATTTGCAGTTTCCGGTCATTTTCTTCACAACCATTGCACATACTGAAATGAAATTTAGCGTACAGATTTATCAGAGGTTTATCTAGGCCAAGTTCTGTTCTGGGTACGATCGCACCATTTTTGACAGAGTTATGCCCCTTGGACTTAGAAAAATTCCAATTATTTGCAGTTTTCGTTCATTTTCTTTGTAGAGGTTGCACATACTGAGATGAAATTTGGTATACAGATTTATCAGATAAATATCTAGGTCAAGTTTTGTTTTGGGTACAATTGCACCATTTTTGATAGAGCTATGCCCTTTTGGATTTAGAAAAATTCCAATTTGGGGGGAGGGGGGCATAAGTGTTTTACAAACATCTCTTGTTAAAATAAGATTTTCATTTTGATGAAGATGTGCATCTCTCTAATTTCTTTGTTTTTATCTGTCAGAGTCCCCATAATGTGGTTAGATATTCCGCCACTGGAAGCATTGCAGCCCTGGAGTTCTTCCAGATCAACTCTATTGATGGAGGCGTCTCTGTTAAGAAGGCCCTCACAACCATCTCAAACAGGAACATTAACCAGTACACTGTAAGTCAACAAATTCTGCTATATGTTTCACAAAGAAATTAAGAGAGCGTATTCAGATGTATAGTATTGTCTTTTATTTTGATGTTATAGATGACAGTACAAGCCACTGACCAGGGAGTCCCTAACCGAGTCAGCTCCCAGCAGGCCACTGTCCGTATCAACATCCTGAGGAACTTGAATTGTCCAGTGTTTAACAACCTTCCATCCAACATTACCATCAGTCAGAGCACTGGTATAGGGAGCAGGATCTACAATGTGTCGGCTAATGACCTCGACACTGATGTATGTACTCAGCACTACAAATAATGGGGAGGGCATAAATATTAAATGTTTCTATTATATCAAAGGAGAAAGGTTTATTTTTGTCTCTTGACTAATTTCCATTCAAATTTTCTTAATGCTCATTGATATCATACAAAATGAACATAGTTAATGCATATTTCAGCTTCGTACAGATTCCATTAATAGCAAAATCATTCTGCAAATTGATGATATTCCTTATGTTGTTTTTCCTTACAGCCCTCTTTCAGAGCCATTACTTATGACCTCATTGGAGATGACAATGCCCCAGTCTACTTCAGAATTGATCCCAATCAGGGTTTCGTGACACTCCAGACTGGTCTGTTCTCAGACTCTGGTGTTCAGTACAAAGTGAGTTCATTCCATCAATTACATTAAATGACTGTACTTTTTAACTTTGGGTTAGCTATCCATATCGGCAAGTGAAGTACTGAATTTTTCTTAAAAATTTAAACATTATTTTAAGAAACTAAAAGCAAATGTCATATTTTCAGCTGAGAGTACGAGCACGAGATGGTGGCTCCCCACCCTGTGAGACCTACAATGTACTGACCGTGTCTGTCCGTAGGAATGAGTTCGCACCACAGTGGATACCATCAGCCGTGTACACCACCACCATCCTGGAGACCCACAACATACTGCAGCCTGTCTACACAGTGACAGCCGTGGATCAAGACACCTCGGTAAGTATTTAATATTTAACACTGTCAGGATAGATTTAGTACTGTGTGTGTAGCTTTCAACTCCAGATCTATGAATGCAACAGTGTTTTATCAGCAGGGCTTAGCATTAATCCATTAATGTTTATTTTTCAGTCCCCTAACAACATTATAAGATATCAGATTGTGGCTCAGACTCTAAACAGCGATTTGTTTACCGTCAACGATCAAACTGGTCAGGTTTATCTACGAACAAATGTCCTCGGCAACAACGTAAACCAGTATAATGTAAGTTGATTTTCTTCTCGTATTGTGTCAGTTTTGCATACATGTAAAATCAAAATGTATAAAGAAAGCATTGTTACAGAGGTAGTTTGTAAATAAAAAAGGCAAATTAAGTGTTCAAAACAATATAGAAGCTTTTTGTAACTATTGAAATGTACATTGTACATGCATGTGTGCTTTTCAAGTAATTCAATATAACTTCAAAATACCTGTTGTAGGTGAGTCTCTTGGCCCGAGATCAAGGTTTCCCATCACTGAGCAGTGTTCAGGCTCTGCTGATTGTGAACATCCTCCGTAACCAGAATCCACCAATATTCATCAACGAGCCGTACAGCACGACAATCAGTCAGAACCAGGGGACCTTCCAATCCATCATCACGGTCACTGCCACTGACGCGGACACAACAGTACGTCAACTTAACTGTGTTATCTTAATGGGGAAATTTACAGAGATGTGCGCTTTGATTATTAATTATTAGAAAAATTGTGTTATATTATGTTGTTTCTTTTCAGAATCCATTTAATCAGTTGGAATACAGTATTATTGGTGATGATGCGGCTCCAACTTATTTCACCATTAACAATGCTGGTGTGATCAATCTAAGGCAGTCCATTCCATCCATCAACACTGATGTGTATAATGTAAGTAATCCATTTGATGTCTTTCTGATAAGTAACAGTATTTTCCAAAAATCCACACAAATATTTACAGTTTCAATATCTAAAACTTAAGTAAAAGGTATGAAAGCAAAAGAAACAAAGAATTTTTCTGAAGATGTATAAGATTAAAGAATTGTCTTATTCTTTGACCAACAGATCCGTGTCCTTGTCCAAGATGGCGGTAATCCTCGCCTCTCTGATGTTACTACAGTCACAGTGTATGTGAACCGTAACTTGTTTGCTCCCTCTTTCGCCCCAACTCAGTATTCTCGGACCATCCTTGACACTCAGGCAGTGGGTGTCCCCATTGTCAAGGTCACTGCTCTGGATGCTGACACAACTGTAAGTTGTTTTGATGTGGAAAATGCCATATCAATTGAATTTGTTGTAGAATGATTTCTAACAGTACTTGAGATTAATTTGATCCTATTTTTCTAGTCTCCCCATAATGTTGTGAGGTATTACTTGGGAGCAGAGGACACCACTACTACCTACTTCTTGGTCGACTCCATCACTGGAGATGTTATGCTCCGTCGTTCTGTGTACAACATCACACTGGGAAATCAAAATCTTAACTCCTTCAGTGTAAGTCTTATTATCATGCTTAAGAATTTTAAGTAAATGTTTATTTTTTTAGTGAATTTGATAATGATAAGTACTGCATCATTTTTATTTCATATTTTATTTTAATTTTATCCTTTTTTTCAACAGTTCAAGGTGTATGCCAATGACCTTGGAACTCCCAGGAGGAACTCCTCTAATGCTGCGGATGTGTTTATTAACGTCATCAGAAACAACTTCCCACCCCAGTTTATCAACACTCCTTACTCCACCAACATAGCGGAGACTGTCAGCGGAGGTGCCTCCATTTTCCAGACCTCAGCCATTGACCAAGATACAAATGTAAGTGAAAAAAAAATATGAATAAGTGAAAATTATTGTTAAGATATGATAATTTGTTATTTCAATCTCTGATTCTATGGCAGAATGCTTTGAACACAATATGTTTTCATAAACTTGAAGGTGATTTTTGGGATATGTCAATTACAGTCTCCTATGAAAATTTTAATAGAGAAGTTTTAGTAAAGGCAAAAGAATGGGTCCCAGTAGATACCTACTATAAAATAGAGTGAGGAAAAAAACAGGTGTTTGAAATAATTGTATCAAATTAACTACAAAATCGTAGAGAATTCAGTATTATAATTCTATCATGATTTTTTATCTCCTACAGGCGCCATTTAACACCATCACTTACTCTCTGATTGGAGATGACAGTACCCCCACCTTTTTCACCGTGGAGCCAAACACTGGTTTGATCCGACTGAAGACGAACTTGGACCTGACCACTGACCGTGTGTCTACCTATGTAGCCAGAGTTGTGGCCAGTGATGGAGGATTCCCTTCACGCAGTGCTACAGCCACTGTCCTGATCAATGTCCTGAGAAATCTCTTCTCCCCCGTGTTCTCCAATGTTAACTTTATCCAGGTCTCCATTCTGGAAACTGTTCCTGTTGGAACCTTCATCACAGACCTTAATGCTACTGATGCAGACAACTCGGTAAGAATTTCTTTTTGTCTGTAAAAGTTAAGCAGTAATAGTCATGTTTTTTTTACTTGTATATTTGTTGAACATGTAAATGACACACACATATGAGAATTTTGCAACAACAAAAAAGAACAGGAAAATATTATAAAAACTGTTTTCTACTTTCATGAAGATTAAAAACATGACTTTCTGTTAAGTATGAAAAAAAAAGTCATGTTATTTCTATTTGTTTTGTAGAGTCCAGAGAATGTTGTGAGATGTAGAATTGTGGGAGATGGCACTGCACCCAGTCTCTTCTTCATCAACTTTGAAACCTGTGTCATCACACTTTCTGCCTCAGTTCAAAATACTGGAGTGAATTTCTACAGGGTAAAGATTCTTTTAGGATATCTTACCAAACACAAATATAAATTCATATATTATATAAATGTATTAATCAAAAGAGTTTAATACCTTTGAAATATTTGAGCTACTTTCATGATTTTTTAAAAAGAGATTTATTCTCAAAAATAACAGGATATGAAGTTGAATTATAACTGAATTTATTCAATACTATGTTTGCCTTTAGGGCTCATGCTACAAACTAAGAATAAATATACAAAGTACAATAGATGGAAATGGAATACGTCAACAACAATATAAAAGCTTCGCATTACTCTGTGAAATGAAAAATAATGCAGGCTGAGGACAAGTAGGCTTGTCTATGTGTCGCCATGTTCATTAGCACCTGATGAGAAGTATGTAGCAGGTTGGTTACCTGAGTAAGATGCAGGCTGAGGGCAAATGTTGCCTGTATGAACATGAACACTAGCACCTGAGAAATCAGAGTAATTCTAACATTAAAAGTATATGCTCGTATGTAAATAAAACTAGTTCAATGAGTATTCCATAACCAATAAAGCATGGTTCAATTCAAAAATTTTTCCATGCTTGGGAAAAAATCAATGGTATAACCAGTATTTCTAAATAGAATGCTAACACCCACAATCTTACTTTTAGATCCGTGTTGAAGCTTATGATCAGGGAACTCCCCAGAGAAGCACATTTACTTACGTGGAGGTCAATGTGATCAGATCCCAGGGCACCCTGGCATTTACTCTGCCCTCATATGCTACTGTCATCAGCGAGAATCTGGACGTCAACCGCAATGTCATCACCACCTTAGCACAACCAGGGGTAAGAATCGGTTATTTTTATGTGTACCTTATATTTTGAATATTTAATAAGTCTTGTAGTTTATAATTTATATAATTTATTTTTCAAGCATTTAAAAACAATGATATAAGCCTAATAAACGAGTGCAACATAGATTGCACCAAATGAAACAGTTAATGAAATTGTTGACATGAATATGCAGTATTTAATTCCAAACAAGTTGTGAGAACTCAATGAAAATTCTTTTTTTTTTATTAGATACATTTTCCTTTCAGACACCAACATACAGTGTACTTGGCGTAAACCCTGCACCAACCTACTTCTCAATTAACCAGAATACTGGTGCCATTTCAGTGATCCGAGATCTCAAGACAGACCCAGCAAGACTGCAGTTCTACCAGGTAAAACACTTCATAGTTAACCAGGATATTGTAGTGGGCCTTCAGTCATCCAAACTCTGGATATACCCAGTTTCTTTAAGATAATAAAAGTTCTCATTGAAGTTATAATAAATTATATTGGAATCTGATGCATATACCTGTGCATTTTTATTTGTGGCCACAACATTGTGCCCTACTGACTTCTTTAGAAAAACTGCATTTTTCTCAAAGGTTCATATCTATATAATACGAATAAATGCTTGATGTTAGTCTAGCCCTGTATGTTTTTTCATTAGCTTGCTATCCGAGCTGTGTCCCAGGACAGACTCTCTACAGCTGAGGCCACTGTCAACATCACAGTCAACAGGAATGAGAATGGACCTGTGTTTACCTCCAGTATTTATGAACAAACTATTGTGGACACAACTCCAATTGGAAATTCAGTGCTACAAGTAACAGCAAGTGATCTGGATCAGGTTAATAGCTTTATTGTATTATTTACTTACTTGTATTGAGTAACATCTAACAATTATATTTCTGATCCAAGTTCAAAATAAAGGAACTGGATTTTAGATCAAAAGATAGTTTACATCTATCTTTCCTCACTTACAGGATGTTTTGGAGTACAGAATCACCACTGTGTCAAATGTCACCGATTTCTTCTACCTGAACCCAAGGACCGGAGTTATCTCCCTGAAGACGTACCTGCTGTCCACCCTACAGAATCAATACACTGTATGTAACATAATGAATTCAACTGTTACTGATATTGTCTTTGTCTAAACCATGGTCAATCTGTAATATAAAACTTTCAGTTCCATTCCTCATTCAGATTAGTTTTGTCTTTGGTACCAAGTATGATTATCTCTCCCTAGTTTACTGTGCTGGCCACAGATCAACGTATCCCAGAGAGGACAGCCACAGCAGAAGTAAGGATCAACATTCTACGAGACAGGTTCCCTCCCATCTTCGTGAATGAGCCGTACGGAACATCAGTTTCAGAGAATACTGTGAATGGTACATCAGTATACAGGGTCACAGCCACTGATCAAGATCTCAGGGTTAGTACACATAGGAATTCATGTTCATTCATTTGCTTTAGAAATTTATAATTATACAGAACTTGATGTTGTGTTAAACTCGTTAATGAATCTTTTTCTTGTAATGACAGGGACAGATATATTATGAAGTGATAGGCTTCAGTGTTGCTCCAGCATTCTTCAGAGTTGGACTCCTGACTGGTATTGTCACTGTGTACGATGCAGTCGGATTGAAAGTAGATCCTGGACTTCAGTATACAGTGAGTATTATATTAATATCTTGTGCTTCTTAAACATACATTTATACATCTTTTACGTATATTTATATATGTTTTTCTCCCTCTCAATTCTTAATTTAAAAAATCCTGACTTTTCAGCTACGTGTAATTGCCTATGACTCCGTCTACCCATCAAACCGTGACACATCAGATGTCCTGATTAGTGTCACTAGAAACGAGAGAGCTCCAATTTTCTCCCTGCCTTCCTACACTCAGACCATCCCAGACACATTCTCACTGGGTCAGATGATCTTAGATGTCACAGCCACAGATGCTGATGGTGACATTGTCAAGTATGAAATTACTGGTGGTACAAGAGCTCTGGAGTTCTACTACATCAACCCAGATACTGGATCCATTTCTCTAAAGAAACCCCTGACAGAGGGATCCCAAAATCAAGACACGGTAAGTTTTCATTCCTTATTTAAAATTGCTCTGGATTAGCTTTCTGTGGTTGGAGAATTGGCAGCAATTTAAAAAGTATGTATTGGAAAATCTCCCCTAATTATTAAGATTTAAAATTGCATTGAGCAAGTCAATTCCATAACATATTCTCTCTGATTTTATGAAAACATTGGAAGAGATGCACATGTATTTGGTTTGAATTGTGAAAGGAGGTAATTAAATGCAAGAAATAAAAAGCAGAATTGTTTTTAATATCTATAGCTTAACCTGAGAGCTAGAGATCAGAGAAACCCAGAGAGATTTGGAAATGCTATTGCCATTATCAACATTCAGAGAGATCAGTTTCCTCCAGTTTTCTTTAATCAGCCATACATCACTACAGTACAGAGGAACATTGGTGTGAATGCCTCTGTTCTACAGACTACTGCTACAGACAGCGACTTAAGGGTACGTGAGTGTAATGATGTCACATTAAACCACCTGCTTCTCTCTAGATACATTTTTTTTCCATGAAATAAGTTTAGTTCACATTTCACATTATAAGTTACACCACTTTAATACTGTATGGACACAAAATTATTTCAAAGAAATGCTAAAATATGTTTTGTTTTTTTTTAAAACCAGGGAGCTATAAGGTATGAAGTAACTGGTAATTACCCTGCCCCAACCTTCTTTGATGTCAATCCCACGACTGGTATGATTTTCCTGACGAGATCAGTGGCTCTGGATGGACTGCTATCAAACACATACTTTGTCAAACTGATTGCGTATGACACGGTGTATCCTAACATCCAAGCCACAGCGACGGCCACCATTAACGTCAACAGAAACCCCAATCCACCCATCTTTAATCCTAGTACTTACAGGGTCACTATATCTGAGAGTCATGCCCTGGGAAGTGCTGTTGTTGATGTCAACGCAACTGATGCTGATCTTGTATGTATCACCTGCAACACCATTCATAAAAGAAAGTTTATGCCCATTCAGTTCATGATTATAATGTATTAATTTCATATCGATATAATATTCATGTTTGAAGACTTGAAATATTGTTTCGATTTTTTTCCCAAATATCATAAAGACTTGCCAGGTTAATTTGCTTTCTTTTTAACTTTTCAGGATGTCCTTGCCTATTCTATTGTTGGTAATGCAGATGATTTCAGCTATTTCTACATTAACCCAGAATCTGGTCTTATATCCCTGAAGCGCACACTGACGGAGGCTGTAGGAAATCAATTTGATGTACGACATTGTTTTTCAAATCTTTTTACTCCTGTTAAATGAATTTTGAAATAATGATATCACATGCTTAATTTTGTCATGTTTGTTTATGTTTATTGTAGTTCAACACCATTGCTCGCGATCAGAGTAACCCTGAGAGAACAGCCACAGCTTTTGTTGTTATTGACATTCTGAGAGACAACTCCCCACCCATCTTTGTCAGAGAGCCATACGTGGTGACTAATTTACCAGAGACGAGGGCCGTGGGTAGCTCCATCTATACCGTCACTGCTACAGATAACGACCTGAAGGTCAGTACCAGTATTTGTAGAGACCATTCGTAATTAACTGTTAAGAAAAGAGAAACCTGAGCTTATGAAAAAAGTTTCCCCAGTCACTGTAGATATACTTTAACTTGGTTCAAAAAGCAATTTTTAATTTTGGTATATGGGACATTTTTTGACAGGGAGAGATTGTGTACAGTGTTATTGGAGACCTGCAGACTCCATTCTACTTTGATGTGAACTCCAGAACTGGTATTGTCACCATCAAGAACAGCCTGGTTCAGGATAACGCCCAGTCCTACGTTGTACGTATCATCTAGAATTCCTTCACAATGTTACATTTTTTATTAGTTAATTGTTATGATTCTTTTTTAGACATAACTCATTGTTATTTTAAAAACACTATTCTATTACACAGTTGAGAGTAACAGCATATGACAGTCTATCTCCATCCCGAGTGGCCACTTCCACTGTTGCTATCAATGTGATTAAGAACCCCAGTGGCCCAGTGTTCACTCTGCCAGCTTACGAGGTCACCATCCCAGAAACTTACTCCCTGGGTACCACAGTCGTCAATGTGACAGCCATTGATAGCGATGGGGTAAGTTAACAATTCACATCAGGTTACCGTGCTTGTAGTTTTGGTATTCAAAATTTATTATTTAACAATTGTATGTGATTTGATTACAAGTAACAATATTTTTTCAGGATGCTGTGAGATATTCTTTGCTGGATAACTTAAATGGCAACAACCCACTGGAATACTTCTTTATCATTTCTGACACTGGATTAATTTATCTGTCTCAACCGTTGACAAACAATCCAAATCAGATCGATAGGTACCAGGTATGTACTGGTGCAATTAAGTCAGCAGAAAACACTGGGAATTAGTAAACTCTAATTTTAAATCAGAAATTCTCATTAAAAAAATGATCCTCAGAATGACAACCTTTTCATTGTTTATAGATGACTGCTGTTGCCACAGACCAGAGAACTAACCCTAGGACAGCCACTGCTCGGGTGACAGTCAATGTGCTGAGAAATCGCTTCAGGCCCGTGTTTACTAACACACCCTATGGATTCAGTCACTCAGAAAATAACGTGGTGGGCACCAGTCTGTACAGAGTGACCGCTGTGGACAATGACTTGGTTGGCAGGATAAATTACGATGTCATTGGGGATGGCATTGCTCCTTACTACTACAATGTGAATTCTCAGACTGGAGAGGTCACTGTCAGAAACGCTCTTACCACTGATAAACTCAATGTCAACTACATCGTAAGTGTCATTTCAGTTGTCAGTTTCGTATAATATTTTTTGTAAAGATATTAAAAGGTTATCATTTCAAAGATTTTTTCTTACATGTTATGCATCAAGCAGTCTTTTATTAGGTTTATTAACAAAATATCAATGATGAATTTTCAGACTTTAGACTAAGATACTTAGCATAGAAACATTAACCTTTTTTGTATGTAATAGTTTGCTTTTATTTTGCAGCTGAGAGTGCGAGCCTATGATACGGCCTACCCATCTGAGACGGCCACAGCTACCATTAACATTGGAGTGTCAAGGAACGAGAATGCTCCAGTCTTCACTCAGAACACTTACCGAGTCACCATTAATGAGACTGTGGGAGTCGGCACTTGTATCTTGGATGTTAATGCTGTGGATGCTGATGGGGTATGTGTATTACTGTATTTGTCCTACTAGGCACCTCAGCCTGTTCAAGCAACCACATATTTGTTTCCATGTGAAGAGAATAAGTGTGTGTTTTCCTGACTTCATAAAATGAAATGCAACATTAAGGAAATACAATTCTTTTACTAAACTTATAGGAAATTAAATATAAAGTAGTTGCTTGATATGCAATGATGAAAAATGTTTTCTATTAAGGAGCCTCAATCTCGAGAAAGAGCAAATTCATCTGTGATAATCTTTTGATATTTGAAAGATTTCCTTTTCTAAACAGATTCAAATCGGTACCTCGAATTACCGAAATGCCCCTGATTTACCAAAATGCCCCTGGAAATTACCGAAATGCCCCTTGAAACTACCGAAATGCCCCTTTAAAACTCAAATACGTTGGTCTTTATGAAAGGTAGTGAGGTAATTATACATATTTAAAAAAAATTAATTAAAAAATTATTTACAAATGTTTTTATTTTCTTTCAAAAGGTTCGTTTATCTAATATCTAAGAGAGATAACTCTAGTAGTATTTGTATTCATATTAGCAGAATTATTTTTTTCTTGATGTTGTCGATTTACATGCTGAATAATTTGAATTAATTAATTAAAATTTTTAAGTTTAATATGCTATAAGCATTTGATAGCTTTGTTTATTTGGTGTATAAATTTTACAAAGCTGAGCCCCAGGGGTTAAGTCTCCCACTGCGTACCGTTATCCATTCAAAAATTTGCCGACATTGCTATTTAAGAGAAAGAGTACGACTTTTTAAAGCACTGGACAGGTAAGTTTTTTTTTTATTTTGTAACTGGTAGTAACCCCTAAAAATGTATAAGAAAAAAAAAAAAAAACATTCATTTTAACAATATTTTTAGCAGTTTAAGTTTCCATAATCCGTTTCTGATTCACACAATATTAATATTTTATCACAGTCAGTAGTTAAGTTTGTCGTTTCCTGTATACTTTGGCCGACCTTGTCTATTGCTTTTTATTTATTTACAACTTTTGATTACCCAGAAGTCGAATTTTAAAAATCTCTCTTTTTTAAACCTTGCGTTTATTATACTTATATGAGATGTAAATAAAACTGTGTATACTTACTTGTATTTCTGCCATGTTTCCTCTTCTTCCTTTTCAATACTTAACAACACATACGGTATAAAATTTGTTCAACAAAATGAGGGGAGCGGGAGAGAGAGAAAGAGAGAGAGAGAGAGAAAGAAGAGGGATAATAAAATAACGGACAGTATTTTTACTAACATGCTTCCCGCTGAGACAATGTTGCAAGAGTTATCGCTCTTAGAGGTCACAATATTTGAGCCAATTAAACACATTTTTTTTAACATTTGTGTTAAAAATACATAGTTTCGTTAATAAAATTTATCATAAATTATCATAAAATGACTATTAGAATATAATTCAAGGGGCATTTCGGTAGTTTTAGGGGGCATTTCGGTAATTCCCAGGGGCATTTCGGTAAATCAGGGGCATTTCGGTAATTCGGGTTACCCGATTCAAATGTATTGTTCCTGTTTAATTTGTTCAGAAAAAGTATTAGCAAAGTCTACATTCTTTGTGCTTGGAAAAACTCGTAAATGACCATGTTTTTGTAGGACCGAGTGGTCTACAGCTCAAGTGGAGAGAACTCTACCTTATTTTACTTCTTCATCTCAGTTGACACTGGTCTTATTTGTGTACGTCAGCCTCTGTTTGGACCAACACAAACAGAATACAGGGTAAGAAAAAAATTTTCTAAAAAGTTTTTAGTTTTTGAGAAAGTTTAGTGAAATTGTTGCCAGGTTGGAAGTTTTAATTGGGTGCTTAATGCAAAATAAAGGATATTTTTGAATGAAATGATGATTTTGCATCAAACATTCGAGAGGTAACAACCTAATACTGGTACATGTATTGAAAAAGTGTATATTGAGGATTGAGATGCAAAATCTTCGGCTTGGATTAATGGTTGTCTATCGATTCCTCAGTTCATATACATATTTTTTTTATTTGCATGTGCCAATTTATCTGCTTTGATAACTTTTGTTACAAGTGTTTAAAATTGCTGAGGATGTCTTATTTTAAAAAAAAATCTTCAAACTTCCCGCAGTAGAAATCAATGTAAGATGGTTTTATTTTTCACAGATGAGATTGGTTGCTAGTGACCAGTCCACCCCAGAAAGGTTTGGCCTGGCTGATGCATTCATCACAATTGTCAGGGATCAGGGACCCCCCTTCTTCATTAACCAGCCATATCAGACTACTATCAACGAACTGGATGCCGTGGGTCGTCAGACTTTTGTAGTGACAGCAAGGGACAATGACTTGATTGTAAGTGTCTGTAGATAAAGAGGCTTTGCAATACGATGGAATGCAGCTGGGAAATTTTCATGCAAATTTGTTAACTGTATTTTCTGCATTTGAGAGAAAATTATGGCAAAGTACTGTACATGTCATAAAATGTTAACTTTTTATTGTAGGGTTCTATCAGGTATGAAATGATTGGAGACTATCCCACCCAAAGCTTTTTCCGCATTGATCCATTCACTGGAAATATTACCAACTCTGTCAGCCTGAGGAGTGACAACTTGAGATCCCAACAATATGTGGTCAGTTTTTTCAATCAAAGGAAAAAAATACTGATTTATTACTAAAAGTTGCTATTGCTATTGTTTCTTTTTTGCTTTGCAAAACTCATCTATGTGCTTTTTTATTCTTGTAAGGTACATAATTATGAGGAAAGAAAAAATAACTTTTATTTCGTTAAATGTATTGTAGGCTCGCATCATTGCATATGACACAGCCAGACCAACTGCTAGTGCGGTGGCCACTGTGAACATCTTTGTCATCCGTAACCCTAACTCCCCCCAGTTCCTGTTACCTTCCTACTCTACAACAATCAACGAGAACCAGGCCATTGGACAGTTTATCCTGAATGTGACAGCAGTAGATGCTGATGTCCAGGTTAGTTTAGAGTTAAAAAAGAAGTTCTAAGATTACTGTTCTGTTCATTATGTTCTATTGTATTCACTGAGTATGTGTTGTTTTGCAGGACACCATCTCCTACTCCATCATAGGCCAGCAGTCTTCTCCAATCAGTACAAACAAACTGTACTTCTTCATTGATCAGACCAGTGGTAATATCTGGCTCAGAGAAACCCTCCTCTCCACATCATTTACTCGATTTGTGGTAAGTTCAGGATTAGCCTGATCAAAAGATGATTTTTTTAAAAAAGGAAGTCTGTTTTTTGCTTTTTGGTATGAAATTATATAGTTTTACAAGAAATTTTTATTCAATGTTAAACACCTGGAATTGAAGAAATCTACAGCTATAATGTACAACTGTAAGTGAAAAGATTTACACACCCCAAGTCAAATGAAATAATGTAAACCCACAGCTTGAATTTAACACAAATTTTAAATGACAATGAATGTCATTCCTTCCACAGCTCCAGCTGCGCGCCTGTGATAATGGCTTCCCCCAGAGGTGTGCCAACAACACCGCCTTCATTACCGTCAACAGAAATCAGTTCCCGCCGGTCTTCATCAACTCCCCCTACTTCCAGAGGATTGAGGAGGACAGAGCTGTGGGCAGTAGTGTGCTGACCGTCTCGGCCACAGATCAGGATCTGATCGGGGCTATCGTGTATGAAGTAGTCTTACCAGGATCTCCGTATTTCTTGGTGAATCCCCAATCTGGTTTGGTGACCTTAGCATCATCAGTAAAATTGGACACAAGTGTGCAATATAGGGTATGTTGGGATATCTGAACAACTTTCTAGTCTATCATTGATGTGTTGATCATAATAAATTGTGAAGTAGGAAGTAATGGGTATCTTACTCTGGCATATTTTTCGTGAAGTGTTAACACACTTTTTCCATGACTGAAAAGGAATTTTTAGGCAAAAATGATAATGATGTAGATTTTCTGCTATCATTGGGCAATAAATCTATATTGTAAAATTTTATAGTTCCAAGTGGCAGCCTATGATAACCAGGACCCGAGCCGTAGAACCACTAGTCAGGTGACTGTAGAGATCACCAGGAACCCCAGTGGTCCTAACTTCCTCAGCGCCCAGTATGAGACCACTATTGCTGAAACCTACCCACTGGGAGAAGGGGTCATAAATGCAACTGCTGTGGACCAAGATGGGGTATATATTTTATGATGCTTTGAGTTGAGGTATCAACATATGATATGTTGATATAGTTGCAGCTTGAAACAAAATACATGTACGTCATAAGGAATGCATTTACATGTTGGTATGATTCTTTTTAGGATCGCTTGAGATACTCCATTCTAACAGATGATATTTCTAAACAATACTTCTACATCAATCCAGACACAGGAGTTATCTCTCTTAGGAGGGTACTGACTGACAACAACATTGCCAGGTTTACTGTAAGTAATACAAGCTCAGAAACAAAAGATGTGTAATAAAGTATGTTACAACCAGATTTTCGGTGTATGAAAAATCTCAGTTTTTGTGATATGAATTTTGAAGATCCTTCTATTAAGTCACTGTTTCTGTTTCACATTTGTGAGAAGATCATGTTATTACATTTTTAGGAAATTTGTAACTAATGATTTTATAAGCTGTATACTGTTTTAGATGAGACTTCAAGCCTCTGACCAGCGTGTGCCTGAGAGAATAGCCACCATCCAGGCTTTTGTGAATGTTCGACGAGACAACCAACCCCCCTTCTTTGTTAACACTCCCTATGTTAGATCAATCCGTGAGAATCAGATCGTCAATACCACCCTCCTTACTGTCACAGCTACAGATACTGATCTAGTGGTGAGTACAGAAATAAATATACAGTAAAACTCAGTTATAACGAAGTCAATGGGACCTGTGAAATTACTTTGCTATATCCGAAATTCGTTATATCCGTATAAGAAAATTGTTAAATTTATATAGCTGGGGATGCGAGATAACCTCGTTATATCCGTGAATTCGCAATATCCATGTTCTTACTAAAGGAGTTTTACTGTACTTACATTTGAAACATCTTGAAAGTTTTCTTTGCTTGAAGCTTCCCATTAATTAAGGATGAACAAAAAATTGATGCATGTTATAATGAAATAACTGCTTATGAGTATTTTTCAGTGCTTTAATTTTCAATTTTTTTTAATGCAGGGTTCAATTAGATATGAATCTATTGGCATCTTCCCAGCTCAGACCTTCTTTGAAGTTAACACTGTCTCAGGAGCTATCAATATTATTCGTTCTGTTCGGGACGACGTCATTCTGAGATCTTCATACACTGTAAGTACTTGTGCGTTCTTTATCCATTGACTTATTCCATTCTGAAATTTAGGACTGTCTTTTCTTTCAAGTGTTTTAATTGAAATCGGACCATTTTCTTTTCAGTTACGTCTCATTGCCTATGACACAGCTTACCCGACAAATCGCGCCACTTCTGATGTGATCATCACCATCATACGAGATGAGTTTGGCCCAGTCTTTACACCCTCGGCAACCTATGAAATAACTATCCCGGAGACGACCAGTATCGGTAGTCAGGTGATCACCGTTCTGGCGGTGGATCAGGACGCTAACGATGTCATCACGTATCAGCTGGTGAACTCCACGTCTAACGGGACAGAGTACTTCTACCTGGATAGGGATAATGGAGCTATAACCCTCAGGAGGAGTCTGCAGGGAACATTCATCAATGCTTACACAGTGAGTGGGCATTATGAGATTTTCAGGTTTTAGCAAAGTACTACTTTATGAATCTCTCAATTTCTTCTTGTTTAGCAGTAATAATTATTCTATCACTATTATGAAATCATTTTCAGGTTTATATTATCCTTTATAAGCCTTGTAGTTACATTTAGATGAAACAATTGAATGTTTATTACTTTCATTTTAATTACTTTCTTCTGTTTGGTTAACTTTATGTTCCTTTAACTGAGGAAATTTATCTTCTTTAGCTGACAGTCCGTGCTACAGACAACAGAATTCGTTCTGCCTTGGCAACTGTTCGTATCTTCATAACCAGACAAGTCAACCAACCCCCAGTCTTTGTCAACACACCATATGAAACATCAATGGAATACAACCGTGCAATCAACTCCTCAGTCTACACAGTGACTGCTGTTGATGCAGATTTACAGGTAAATTTCATATAAGAATTCAGGTTTTCTTCCTATTTCATACTTTATAGGGTATTGGACTTATTTACCTGAATTTTTAATTGTTTTTTCAGGGCGCCATTCGATATGAAGTGATAGGGTACTTCCCAGCCACTGAATACTTCAGTTTGAATGTGATCACTGGACGCATCACTTTGATAAGAACTGTGGCTAATGACCAGTATTCCTCTCTTCTCTATGTGGTAAGATTTCAGTGTTACTAAACATGTACATAAGCTCTAGGAATCTAATCAACAAAAGTACATTTTCTAGATCCTCTCTGAGATATTATCTAGATGGAAATGCTAATCGAAGCTATTCAACTTATATTTTACTAAACAATATGAAAAGTTGATGTGTTACATTCTAGATGCGTATTGCTGCATATGACACCTTAGACCCAACCCGTAGAACTGAGGCCAATGTTCTGATCAACATTATTCGTAACCCAAGTGCTCCAATCTTCAGCGAACAGTCGTACTTCATTACTGTGGAGGAGTCGGTCAATCTGGGAACCAACATCAGGACAATTACAGCCACCGATGCTGATCTGGACACCGTCTCTTACGAAATCATTAACCAGAACACGGCAGGCAGTAACTACGCCCGGGAATATGTCTTCCTGTCCTCCTTCTCCGGAGATATCATTGTCAAGAAATCTTTTGTGGGAATTGGAACCAGTCAGTTTACATTCACAGCCAGAGCTAGAGATCACAAATATCCCGAGAGGTTCGGTACGGCTTCCGTCACTATCTCTATCGTGAGAGATCAGTTCCGCCCACAGTGTCAGAATTCTAATGCTGTCACCTCCATAACAGAGACCAGAGGTGTCAACGAGACTTTCCCATTCTACACTGTTGGTGTCACTGATGGAGATCTGAAGGTACATGTGTATCTGATATGAATTCTTGTCAGTATTGTCTTGCAACTATTTTACTACATTGGATTATAACACTTACTTTTTATGAATAGGTTTGTTTAATAGGAATCATTATAGACTGGTGTATGTTGTGCAATTTTTGAGTATAATCTGTCCATTTGTAAGGAATAAATTAATTCAATATTTAAAAATAATCTTACAGGGACGCATAATTTACCGAGTAATTGGTGATGGTGCTGCTTTGGCCTACTTTGGAAATATTGACTCAAATGGTGGATTGTACGTAACCAGAAACCTGAAATTGGACAGTCTTACTCAGTACACAGTTCGTGTTGAGGCCTATGACTCAGCCTATCCTAACAACCCCACAGTGTGTACAGTCTCCATCAATGTCATTCGTAACCCTAGCTCACCCATCTTCATCGGAAATTATGAAACAACCATCAATGAGAACTATCCAGTTGGTGATGTTATTTTGACAGTAACAGCTAGAGATGCTGATCTGGTGAGTAAATTTTGGAGCTGAAATACATATAATCCTCAGTGATATGGGTATTTTTAGCCTCTTTAACCATAAGTGAACATTGATATTGCTGAAAATTTTTGCAATCATTATTGGATACATTTCAGCTGATCTTATGAATTAAAAGTGGATTTTTTTTTTAATTTTAGGACACTGTGACCTACAGAATTGTTGCACAGGACTCCAATAATTACTTCTACATTGCTCCAGAGTCTGGTGGAATTTATCTCCGCAGAAGTATTGTTCTGTCCAACACTATCAACAACAGATATGTGGTAGGTATCCTATCAAGTTTTTGATGGGCTGGTTATGAAAAGCTGAAAAACTTTTAAAATCATAAAAACGGGAAATAATACAGAAATTAAGATAATGAAAGTCTAAGATTTTAAAAGTTGGTATTGATTTCTTTGTAGATGACAGTTCAGGCGTCAGACAACCGTCTCCAGCCCAGACTGACCAATGCCACTGTTATTATCAATGTTGTAAGGGGCCAGCCACCATTCTTCATCAATACACCGTACTCCACCTCTGTCAATGAGAGAGTTGCCATTGGAACTTCAGTTTACAGAGTCACCGCTCAGGACAATGATCTCATTGTATGACTTCTACCAACTCCTGTTACAAATTAATGTCAAAGCTTGTTTTAAATGTGTATACTATTATTAATATAAAATCATACTTGATTATTATTTTTAAAAACAAAATGTACATGTATAATTGTAGGGAAACATTCAGTACAACCTGATTGGAGATATTCCAGGCTCCAGCTACTTCCGAGTCAATAGCACAACAGGAACTGTGTTTGTTGCTGTCAATCTCCGACAGGATAGTACTCAATTCTACCAGGTTTGGTGATATCATTCTGAATTATTATATTTCAAAATTATTATATTTCAAAATCTTGCATTTGTACCTGTATGCTGAAATATGAAGTTCTTGACATTTTTGATAATTTTCTGTTCACTGTTTTACAAATAAAGATAGATGCAATAGTTTTGATAAATCATGAAAACTAGAAAAAAAATATTTCATTGTTTTACAGCATATGTGATTAAAAATTTTTTTTTTAATTTTTCACAGTTGAGAGTGACTGCATTTGACACTGCTGTCCAGTCACAAATAGCAGAGGCTCTAGTCAGTATCAACATGATCAGGAATGAGAATCCACCCATCTTTATCAATGAGCCTTACACGACCACTGTCCCAGAAAGTCTGGGCCTGGGATCTAGTGTGTACAAAATATCAGCCACAGACGCAGATAATGTAAGGGTGGAAATACTTTCACACTTTTAAATCTGAAAAAAGTTTGAAGACTTTCTAAATATGTGAAATTTTATTTGAAGACAACCTTTCAGATTTGAAGAAATATTTATGCGAATACCTGTACAAATGAAATGTAAGTTCTTAATTTGAAATTGTTTAATGAGCTGTTTGGCCATGTATTTTAGGATGTGTTGAGGTACAGCATTGTGGGTGTGACATTTGCCAACCAGCAGATCTTCAATAACACTCTCCTGGACTACTTTTACATCAACCCTGACTCTGGAGTAATCTTCCTAACCAAGTCACTGACTAGCTTTGGATTCGCCACTCTTAACCAGCTACAGGTACATGTGCTTTTCTATCTTTACTTAAAAGCACACAGTTTAGAATTTGATTCTTACCAGAACTTAATCTCAGTATAGGCACATTGACTATTTTGTTTTTCAAATTAAACTATGATTTTTTACAAATCAAGTATTTTCTGCTGTTTAATACTTTAGATTACTGTGAGAGTAACTGACCAGAGAGTGACCCAGGAGAGAATTGATACGTCCACCGTTGTGGTCAATATCCAGAGAGACCAGTTCCCACCCGTCTTCCAGAACACACCTTACAGTATCTCCATCACGGATGGCCAGGCTATCAATTCCACCATCTACACTGTGACAGCAGTGGATGCCGACCTAAGGGTAAGCAGATAGGGGATCTGGTATTCAGCTGATATGGCATGATAACAATTAGTTTTATGGTAAATTATAAGGTTATGTAAAACAAAACTTGTTTGTTACAGGGAAGAATAGTTTATGAAACTGTTGGTGTGTACCCAGCGCAAACCTTCTTTGCTGTTGGTAATGTAGATGGACGTGTCCGAGTCATAGATAACTTGATGAATGACGGATTCTACAGGTCCTCATACACTGTAAGTCTACAGAAATTCAGAATTTACTCATGTCATTTTAGCCAATTGCCATCCCTTTCAATAAATTTTTTTCAGCCAATAAGCTTAAGGATTTTTTAAAAATAAATATTCAAGGTTGCCATATGGATGACAAATGACTTGATTTCTAATACTTGGCTTCCTCTTTTTTTTTAGTTGAGAGTGATTGCTTATGACAATGCCTCTCCAGCCTTGCGAGCCACAGCTGATGTCCTGATATCTGTGGCAAGAAATGTCAATCCACCACTGTTTGATCAGCAAAATTACCAGCAAACCATCCCAGAAACGTTTGCCTTTGGTAGAGGAGTACTCAGTGTCAGAGCAACAGACAGGGACAATGTATGTTCATTTTAGAATAGCATCAATTCCTACAAGATTGTATTATGTAATTATAGGATTTGATTGTTACCCAAAGCTAATAACTACATTTTTTCTTTTCTAGGATGCTATCACCTACTCCATCATTGGAGACACCCAGAATGGAATTTCTCTGTCTTACTTCTTTATTGAGCCAGCCAATGGAACCATCTATCTGAGACAGTCTTTGGAGACTACAAGCATCAACCAGTTCACCGTGAGTTGAATTCTTATTTTTAGAATTAAAAGATTTTGATTATTAGTTGAAATAAAACTTTACAAGAATTCATATATTAAATGTAATATGCACATTTATTTCAGTTCACTGTTCAAGCCACTGACAATGGCCGACCTAGCCGCTCTACCACATCACAGGTGACTGTCTTTGTGACCAGGAACCAGTTCGCCCCCGTCTTTATCCAGACCCCATACGTGACCAGTGTCCAGGAGAACAGTAACAACAACTCTCTGATCTACACTGTAACAGCGGTAGATCAGGACTTACAAGGCAGGATCGTGTACCAGGTCACTGGAACTCTCTCTGCTCCCAGCTTCTTCAGGGTGGATCAGGATGGACGTGTCTACACCAAAGGAAATCTCAGGACTGATGTCTCACTCACCTATGTGGTAAACTGTCTTTTTGTACTTTGCTAAGATAAGATTTTTTCAGAAAAATAAATTTTTGAAAATTCAAAGCAGTATTCAATTACATGTAACTGCAATATCACTTCAGAGGGGGTGAATTTCAGGTTATCTTTTAAAGGCATTATGCAGATATGAAATGTTGTGTTCTACCTTGATAGCTCCGGGTGCTGGCTTATGACAGTGCTGTCCCATCTCAGACCACCACAGCTGATGTCACAATCAATGTCCTCAGAAACATCAACCCACCAATCTTCTCTCAGGACACCTACTCTACTCGTGTCAGTGAGGCCACCAGCATTGGCTCCAGACTCATAGACACTGTGGCTACTGATGCAGATAATGTAAGAAGCTGTATTTAGTGGGTTCTTTTTCAGTTTGATTTAATTTTGAGAAGTAATCAGTGAATGGAGTTAAAGTACTGATAGTTTAGGATTTCGGATTTCCTCTCACAAAATGTAGGCAATGTTAATTTTCAGTTTGCAATTGATTAAAAGCAAGATGTATCTTGGAAATTTTATATTGGTTTATGTGCTGTAGGTTTTAATTGTTTTAATTTCCTTCTTTTTTAATAGGATCGCTTGACCTACACCTTGACAAACACAGAACAGAGATGTATTGATACGTTCTTCATTGACACTGCCAATGGTGATATTTTCCTGAAGAAATCTTTACTGGAAACTTCAGATGTTACATTCACAGTGAGTAACTCCTGCTTGTTAAAGAGCCAATGTTATTTTGTGGTTTAAAAAGGTTGTACATAATTTTGTTTTACCTTATTTCTAAAAATCTAATTTTAATCTGATTTTAATAGTGTACTGTACGAGTGACAGACAATGGCTTCCCCAACCCACAGACAGACACATCCATAGCTATCATTACTGTAGATAGAGACCTGAATGTTCCCGTGTTTACAAGCAATGCTCGATATGCCGTGACAATTGATGAGACGACCAACATCGGAGCTTCCATCCTTAATGTGCAGGCCTCCAGATTAAACTTAGCGGTATGTTAATCAGAGTATAAAAACACTGAAAACTATTCATACATGTTTGAATTATAACTCCATTTATTTATATACTTGTTTACCTTTCATGCTTTAATGTCACAGGGCCGTATTTACTATGAATCAGTTGGAGATTATCCAGCCCAAAGTTTCTTTAGAGTACAGAACACCAGTGGTGCCATTAATGTGGTTCAGGATCTTCGACAGGACAACTTGCGTCTCAATTCCTATGTAGTAAGTGAAGTATTAAGTAATATAAAAAGTGGAAAAATTTAAGTGATGCCATCATTCAGGAGAAATGATTCTTTTATGTTTTTGTTTAATTCCAGCTACGAGTTATTGCCTATGACACTGGTGTTTCTCGATTGAGAGCCACAGCTGAGTGTTTCATTACTGTAAGAAGAAACCTGAATGGCCCTGTCTTCAATCCCGCCACATATGAAGTGACCATCCGAGAGGACTTGGCTGTCAACACATACATCCAGAAACTGAATGTCTCAGATCCAGATGGAGTAAGATATTACTCTAATTTACCCATCTTCAGTAATCATCCAGCGCATATTTAAAATAATGATACCGGGGGTATGAATTTATGAAACTAATGTAACTCTTTTTATTTTTGAAATTTTAGAACCGAGTGACCTGCTCAATGTCTGGAGACCAGAAAGCTTTGAGCTACTTCAGTATTGATTCTCAGACCTGCTTTGTTAGAGTAAACCGACTTCTGACTGAGGACACCACCAGGGATATCAGATATACTGTAAGCATTTGCTTGTATTTACTATAAATTGTATTTTCAAAAAGTGATTTAAGATATTTTGAAACAAAGAGGGAATTGATTCTATTCCTAGGAAGCAGTTAAATTAATGTTTCTTTGTAATAGTACTTGGATATTTCAATGTTTAATGAAAATGCTTTGTTGTCAACAGGTGACAGTGACAGCTACTGACAATGTCAGCCCTAACCCTCAGTTTGCCACCGCCACTGTCTTTGTCAACGTTCTCCGTGACCGCTTCGCTCCTCAGTTCACCAACCTTCCCACCGTGATCTCAGTCCAGGAGTCAGCTGGCATTAACACCACGGTGTTCACTGCTACTGCTACGGACCAGGACCTGAAGGGATTCATTGTGTATGAAATGATTGGCATGTTCCCAGCCCAGAGCTTCTTTGACATCAATCCCACCACAGGACGAGTGTTCCTCAGGAATGGACTATTGTCTGACAGTCTGCAGACCTCGTCATATGTGGTGAGTCTAAAATATTTATAAGATATTGTACCCCTATGATCATGTATGAATATTGTTTAGAAATAAGAGATTTATTGCCTGAAACAATAACAAATCGTGTCAATTTTTTTGTAGGCCCGGTTCAGAGCGTATGATTCTGTATACCCCAATAACAGAGCTCAGGCCGACCTGACCATTTCCGTGACCAGGAACCAGAATGGACCTATCTTCAGCCAAGCCAGATACGAGATTACCATCTCAGAGACATTCCCTCTTGGCAATGAAGTGCTAGTTGTAACAGCTACCGATTCTGATGGGGTAATGAGAATAATTCTATGACTTTTGTATATTTTTGTTGAAGTTTGAAAATTTTATTTAAAATAATCCTTATTTTAAATTCAATTGAATTTCTTAAATTTTAGGATAAAGTCATTTTCTCACACCTTGGATCCACAAATGACCAGAGCTACTTCTATCTGAATCCAGAAACTGGAAGAATTACTCTGAGAAAGTTATTAACTGGAATCAGCCAAAACCAGTTCACAGTAAGAAATTAAATTTGTGCTCGTTCATTGCTTTATAAAGATGTAATTAAGTTAGATAATACTGGTACAGATTATTTAAAGTTGGTTAAAAATATTTGTTTTTCATACAAAGAGTGTGAAGAAATCAGATAAAGTAATTTAAGATGTAAAGGTTCTTTTGATACAAAATTTTTATTTAAGATCTACGTGTAACAATACTTCTACGTTTGTGTTTTAACAGTTTGGAGTGAGGGCCACAGATAACAGACCTTCCACTGTCGCCCGTACTGCGGAGGCCACTGTTGTCATCAGTATCATCAGAGACTCTGGACCTCCACAGTTTATCAGCACGCCATACATCACCTCAGTAGCTATCAACAAGGCTGTCAACACCTCCTTCTTCAATGTTCAGGCCATTGATAATGATCTTAGAGTAAGTCCATTGACAATCTACTAAAAGGGAAATTGAATCTTTCATTTTATTATGTTTTCCACTTTGATCTTGCACCATTCTTGGTAAATAGTTTAAATTTGGGAGAACAAATTTTTGCCTACATTTATGTGATGTTTTTAATTGTAGGGAGTGATTCGCTATAGACTGGATGGCTACAGCCCAGGCACACAGTACTTCTTCCTGGATCAATCCACGGGGGCCATCTTTGTTAGACAACCCCTGACTCAGATCTCCGGCTTGAATATCTTCACCACATTCACTGTGAGTAGAGCTCAATGGGATTCACTATAGACTTTTCTACCAGAGGACTAAGTTGTAAATGAAACGAAGTTTGTATAAATTTATTATAGTAAAGTACAGCTATTGATGTTTTGAACTTGAACTGATATTTCTTTTAATTCAGCTATTGGTCACTGCCTTTGACACTGGTGTACCTGAAATCACAACTTCCACCATCGTAACCATCACCATTACACGTAACCTGAATGCTCCAGTCTTCTCTGCCAATCGATATGAGGAAACTATCTACGATTACGTGGGATTGGGAAGTAATGTATTACAGATCACCGCTACAGATTCCGATGTGACAAGTCCTGAGAATTCAGTCATCTATGACCTTCAGGATAACTCTGGGTACTTCACCATCCATCCATTCAATGGAATGATTACTGTAGATAGAAGACTCACAGAGGACAACTCAAGGAGAACAGTCTATGTGGTTAGTGATTTTATGCTCTATTAATCCATCTTGAGGAAAATTAGAAATAACCTTTCATAAAAATTTGCATATTTTATAAAAAAGTATTTTTGTTATTTTCACTCAACTTGCAATATTTTTTTCATAAATATTCTCCCATGAAATGCCTTTGCACATTTTTCACTATTAACAAGTTATCTTGGTGTCATAGAAGTAACCCTCACACTTAAAAAAGAAAGGTGCATGAAATGAAATGTTTTGATTTTGTCAGTTTGGTGCCACTGCTAGAGATCAGGGAAGTCCAAGCCGAACAGGAACTGCCACTGTCACCATCAACGTAATCCGCAACACAGGACAACCTACATTTGTTACCTCCATTAATTACGACGTCACGGTCAGTGAGAGTACATCTGTACTAACCACCCTGCTACAAGTGAGAGCTGTGGACAGTGATGATGCCAGCACACCGAATGGACAGATCCGTTACAGTATTGTCAGTCCCGCCCTGGCTCTATCATACTTCACTATCAATCCCATCTCTGGTAACATCACATCCAGACTATCTCTTGTCAACGTACCAGATGATATCTACAGAGTAAGTGATATGCTATTGAACTTTTGAAAACTAATACTTTTTTTCAAGTTTTGCCCCAGTTTTTGCAAAAAGTAATCGATGAATTAATAATAAAATTTGTGTGAAGCACTGAAGATTTCATATAACAATTTAAATGTATTGAAATTTAATTGTGCTTGATATTTGTAGTTCACAGTGCAGGCCACAGACTTGGGTATCCCAGCTCTGTCCAGTCAGATTTCTGTTACAATCCGAATCCAGAGGGAAAATCCGCCTTCCTTTGACCAGGAAGAGTACACTGTAACCTTTAACGAGGATTACGCTGTCGGTAACAACATCCTTCAGCTCCAGGCTACAGATCCATTGAACACACAGCTGCAGTACGATATCACTGGAGAGTCCAACTCTCTGATCATGTTCAGGATCAATTCCCAGACAGGACAGATAACTCTGGCACAGTCCTTCCGATCAGATCCAGCCAACTCCTTCTTGATCCGCGTGGAAGCTTTCAGGACGAGCGATCCTACCAAGAGGGCATCCACTAAAGTGAGGGTGTTTGTAACGAGGAATACAGGGGCACCTGCTTTCATTCACGGAAACCTGGAGATAACTATTCTGGAAGATCAGGCTTTAGCCCAGGGAATTGCTGACTTGAATGCCACAGATCCAGATTCTGTAAGCTCATTTCTCTTTTATTCCAATTTCATTTTTTTTTTTTAATTTGGCAACCTTATGTAAAATTTCTTTAAAAAGTTCTTTATGAATTCGAAAAATAATTTGATACTAAATATGTTTAAAAACTTGATGTGTATAAATATTTTGATGTTTTATTCCGATTTGTTAGTAAATGTACATACAAATGTATATGAAAAGACAAATATACAGTGTATAGAGATTTATTAATTTAGGTATGATTTTAAATATTGCTGAGTGGTCAATGCTTGTTCGTTCTTTAACAAGGGTGAAAATGGTCGTATCACATATGTATTGAGAGGAGCTGATTCTGTGCCTTCCTACTCGGATGTGTACTTTTATGTTAATCCAACAAGTGGTGTGTTGTACGTCACAAAACGACTGTCAGAGGACACCCAGCGGCCATCCAGATATGTTCTCTCCGTAACAGCTTTTGACAACGGAATCCCACAACTCAGTGGAAGAGTCAGTGTCACTGTTAATGTCATACGCAATCGCAACGGACCAGTTTTCACTGGAAATGCATATGAGACCACCATTGATGAATCCACTTCCGTTGGTACCAGTATTTTACAAGTCCAAGCCACAGATGCTGATGGAGTAAGTAAACAAAACATTTGATAGGTGATTGGAAGTTTTAGAAATTGAATGACAGTGTTTGCATTTAATTTTTGATTCTGGTATTTATGTATGTGCATTAAAATTATTACATTAATACATGCAACAACTTTCTTTTTACCAGGACCAGGTACGGTACAGCATTATCAGTGGACTTCCGGGATCTCTGTACTTCAGGATTGACGAAGTCTCAGGTGTGATTGGAATATCATCAGCTCTAACACAGACAGGACAGGAACAGTTTGTGGTACAACCTCTTTTTCAATACTGATTTGATTCACATTTCAGAAAATATTGTTATCTACAAATTAGATGGGAATTAATTGAACAGTCTGTTTATTGATATAAAACCTTGTTCTTCAGATGACAGTACAAGCCAGGGATGTTCCCAGTCAGATTGCCTCCTCCAGATTTGCCACAATCCAGGTTACCATCAATGTCCGCCGTAACCCTAACGCTCCCGTCTTCCTACAGAGTCTGTACAACCTGACTATTTCTGAGTACATCAGCGTACAGGACCTGATAGTCACAGTCTCTGCCACGGACGCCGACTCCGCCCTCACCGACAGTGGAAGAATTCGCTACAGAATCATCCAGTCCAGCTACACCCCACCCAACCAGTTTGCTCAGTTTGTTATAAGCGAGTCCTCTGGTGGAATTTATCTGAGCCAGCCACTGACCAGAGATGGTGTTCCCAACTCTTTCCAGTTGATCGTCCAGGCCAGGGATTCAGCGGCCAATCCAAAATCTGCCACGGCTACTGTTTCTATTTTTGTTGTCAGAAATATCTTTACACCAACATTCAGCCCCAACAACTACACTACTCAGATCTACGATGCCTCGGCCATTGGTACTTCACTGTTTACAGTGACAGCAACAGATGCTGATAGAACTAACAGCTACAACAGAGATGTAAGTTGTAGAGAAATGGCTCCATATCAAAAAAATATAATCATAAATTTGTGATTATGAATTTTAGTCAAGTAAACAGTATCAGCAATCAATCAGTCTTAGCATTCACCTAAAAAAAAAACTTTTTTTCAGACCCCTAATGCTGAGTTTGACTATGTAATGGATGCAGACTTTGCCTATGAGAACCAATTCTTTGATGTCACCAAGGATGGTAAAGTTTACGTAAGAAAATCTTTGATCAATGGAGATGGCCGCACTGTGTTCCACTTCCGTGTGGTGGCCTATGACCGCAGCTGGCAACCAAAGGCAGGAAAGACAGACTGTTATGTATCTGTGATCTATTCCTCCCTGAGACCTAGAGGAGTGGGATTCACGCTGGGGCTGTACAATTCGACCGTGTTTGAGAACACCCCATTGCAGACTAACCTACTGACAGCACAGGTGGAGAACCATGACCCAGACACCAACCTTGTCTGCTATATTTACTCTGTGTCACCATCAACATCATTAAGTAAGCTTCTTTATGAACAGAAACTTGACTTGTGGCTATTAACTGTATCTTTCATGAATATGGCTTAGGATCTTCTCACCTTTTTATGAATGAAAGAAGAAATTGATTTACTGTAATATACAGAGTTCTACTTTTTTCCCCCAAATGCCTTGCACAAACCCTAAAAAATTGAATTATAAATTACATTAACATAAACTAAAGATATAATTTAATTTGAAATCTAGGTTTGTTTGATATATCTGTGGTTGGCAATGCCTGCCAGCTGAGAGTGAGTGGTACCATTGATAGAGAAGCCAGTGGACAGTACATTATTGTCATAGGAGTCAGGGAAGAGGCCAGAAGGACAAAACGTCAGGCAGCAAATCAACAAACACCATATGGTAAGGCCAATTAAATTGATGATCCAAATCTTCAACAAAAAGTCACACAACTTTTTTTAACTTTGTTTATACAACTTTATTTGATTCACAGTGTACACTGAAAACTGTCATTGTGTATTTTTTTTGTTTTGTAGTGTACAACACCTTCCAGAATGCGACAGTGATCTTAACAGTCTTAGACAGAAATGATAATGATCCACAGTTCCTTTACCCAGTTTATCCACCCCAACTCACCAACAGAAATTTCTACGTTGGAGCAGTCTCAATCAATGCCCCAGCTGGAAGCAGTGTTCTGTCTATTCATGTAAGCTTTCTTCGATTCCCCGATATATTCTAAAATCAATACTGCAAAAATTCAGCTTTTACATATACTTGTTTATTTGATTTTTGCAGGCTAGAGATATTGATGCTGGTCTTAATGGACAAGTTGTGTATGAAATTTTGGACAATACTGTACCATTTGGCATCAATGCTTCTACTGGTGTCATTTTCTCATTCCGGGAATTTTTCCGTACAACTAACGCAGACCTCAATCCATACACCTTCAACATCCGAGCCTCAGACAGGGCTAGTTCTCTGGAGCAACGGGCCACAGATACCACAGTCTATGTAAGTATACCAGGGATATCCTGACATAACTAGAGAGGGCCAGAAATAGTCATGTTTGCGTCTCATTCCGTTAACCTTAACCAAACATCACAAAATTATTTCACCTAATATTTACATATAATTGATATACCTCGGTATATTTGTTTTATGCTGGAAAATTTTTTTTCACAGTACTAAATAATTGATATACCTCGGTATATTTGTTTTATGCTGGAATTTTTTTTTTCACAGTACATGTACTAAATAAAATTTACTATTTAAGGATAAGTGCAAAGTAGGAATATTAAAGTAGAACGAGCTTAAAAATTTCTTAGTACAAATGCAAATCTAGATCAGTCACTGCATCTCTGTGAAATTAAAAGATAATAGCAAGTTTAGTTTACAAAATTGGTGTATTGAAAATGACCCTGGTATCATGAAGACTTGTAATACATGTACCGACATTACACTGATGAGGGGCTTTTATGTTATTGATAGATTGACCTGATTGAGGACAAGAACAGATTTGTGATGGAATTGAATGTGCCACCAAGAGATGCTGTGAGAGACATTGAAACCACAAGACGAGAAATCCAGAACGCCACACAGAAGATCGTCATTATCGAGTCGATTCAGGCCAGGCGTATTCTACAGAATGGGCAGCTTAGCTATGATGAAAGATACTCTGATGTCATATTTGTGGTTGCTGATCCAAACATTGGATATAATTTAGTGGAAAATACTCAGTTGAATTTGTAAGCACTATATGTTTTTAAAATCAAAATTACCCTATTTTCTTCGCTTGACTTTCAATTGAGAAAAAACAATTAAAAATATTTCTTTCAGTATTTTTCACATGGTAAAATTTATTTGCTAAATTATATAAGAATGTAGAAGAATCCACATAAAAGGAGAATTCTGGTTTAATCTTCTGTTTAAATTATTTTTGTCATAACTTCAGGGTTGGAGCCTCAACATCTAGTGGAACTCTTGGACAGATTAACTCAGCACTTAGCCGTACAGTAGAACTTGTCAGAGCTCCGTTCAGCATTGGTAACATTCAGAGTGTGGCCTCCGGCCTACAGGATCGTGGTAACATCGTACGTGTGATGACTAAATCCTACACCTGGTGGCAGGATGATCCATGGGTGGCTTTCGTTGCTCTGTCCGCCATTGTTATCCTGCTGGCTCTTGTTGGACTCATCATCCTCTTTTACTCCTGGTCAAGGTAAAAATCATTTTAGGAACTGAGGAAAGAACTGAAACAGTACATGTATAATTTGATGCTTATGTTAAATTCATCCTTCTTTGATCAAAGTTCATCTAAGATATAAGAAAGGGTTTTGTTTTGGTTTATGGTTAAAAACTGAGTCATTTTCTGGAGTAGACAGAATATAGAAGACACTGTTGCAATGAGAGTGGGGGAAAATCAGGTATTTTCATGATTGTACATTTGTTTCAGGTACAACAACTATTTGGCTAGCTATAGAGTATACAGGAGAAATTACGAACATCAACCAGACTTCACTAATCCTCCAAGCTTCTTAAAAGAATATGAAACACAGGTAAGCTGCCCAGAAAATCTACAATTTAAACCAACATATATCTTTCACAGACAAAACAGTGAAATGTGCCATTTTTAAGCAATGCATGTGTGATGGAGATATTTCATGTTGTACATGTTTATTTCAAGTTCTGTATTTTTGGAGGATGTGTAGACTCTGATTATTGGGTGGGATGGGGGTTAAAATCATTTCAATTATTACTTTCAGTTGGTTGATGTCACTGTTTTGTCTTTTAGGTGTACATGTACTAACATCCATATTTCTGAATTTAACTTCCCATCACTATACTCCTTTGAATAACAATACAATTTCTTTTCTGTCAGAGTTTGAACATGTATGTCCCTCCTGATGAGACCGGACTTCAGGACCTAGGAGAAATTAACATGAGTTTTGATCGTGATGCTTCCACTCGTAGTCAAGGGGCCAGGGTGGTCGCCCGCAAAAATCCAGTGTACGACAACAGAGAGCAGTACGTTCATTATTAACCAAACTCAGGTAGAAATCAAATTTTTGTCCCAATCTACTTGCACAAGTAGTAGCAGCTTTCTATATATTGTTCCTCTGGTGGTTGTAATCTTCATTGTAGAAGAAAAAGCTTTTTGATATATATTTTTTAAATGTGTTCTTTATATTGGGTGTTTTGATGTTGCACAAAATCAGTTAACCAGAGAAAATTCCATTCATTTTGATTTCTACCTGAGTTTTGCTTTCTTAATGTTTTCAGTAAAGGCATGTCATAATTATGCAACATAAATTTGTCTTTAAACTATGACTTTTTAATGAGCCAGTTAAAATTCTATTATCCTTTTGCTCAAAATGGAATTCAACTTTTTATAGTAGATACGAAGTCGATGTTTTGGTGAGCATTTTTTAGATTTTGAAAAGCATTTGCTTAAAATACAGCTTAAAGTAGAACTTTGTAGATTTCAATACTTTAACGTTGCTGATGTTCCTAAGAAATCAAACCCTTGCCTTTCCAAAATGCTTTCAGTTTTGTCATTATATTTGTTGCACCTACTTCAGCTGTTGTATTTCTTTATGTACTTTAGTTAAACGATAAAAGTGTACTAAATAATTTCTCTTTTTCTAAGTTAAGGGACTCTGACCCTCAGCCAGGAAGGACAACTCTTTAATTTATAATTTAATTCAAAAAGTCCCAAAATGAAGCTAAAATTAAATCTGTTCATGCAACAATTTTTATTATATACCTCTCAATGTGCTTCAAGGTTCTTTGAAGTTCTCAGAAAGGTCAAATTAAAAGTCGAAATTTTTACCCCGTAAAAGCATTTTAAAATTACGTATATCAAGAAATTGATGTTAATTTTAATCTAACTGTAAATGCCAATGTTTATTAATGTGATATGAAATTAGAAGTGATTTAAGGAGCTTTTCAATGACAGGAGAATCTTTATACACTTTGCATTGTAAAAAGATCGAAGTAAATAAAAGAAATTAAAGTACATTATATGTATGAAAATTGTGAAATTTCTTTAAAAGCCTGGATACCTATGATTTTTATTTTTAAAATGTGTTAATTGATCAAATTTGAATTAGAAAATGCATAGCAGGTGTTTTTATTTGCAATTCCTGAAAATATCTTTGAGATTTACTAATTTTATCTATATATAGTATGATTAACTTGAAATTTGAAGTTTGAGAAATTATTATGGGTAAAAACACATTACTTTGAAAATTCAGAGACATTTTTGTGAGCATTTTCAATTAGTCAATGCTTGATTTTCAGAACCTGAGGATCGGAGTACCTTAATTAAATTCTGTCATTGCATTATTTTTTTCTGTAGGTTTACATTTCATAGCTTTTGCTTATTTTGGTGAAATTTACTTATCAAACTTCTAGAATTATTTCCTTTAATTTACAGTGTATATATACCCGGTTTATGATTTTTATTTTTTTTTGTCTATAGTTTAGTTTTTCCTTTCTTTGCAAATTATTGACCTGCATAGTAATAATTTACTCTGATTCAGATTGAAGTACTGCTTACATAGTTATTATAATTTTATTATACCCCCCGCATACACCTTGTCCGGTTCTGTGATTTTTATTTTTTTTCTTTCTTACATTAGAATCTACTACTCCACATTAAGATTGCTCATAACCTTGTGTCATACCTTGACCCAAGGTTTTGGGGAAGTTTCACTGGAAGAAAAATTTCATAATTCGTGTCCGGTCCATTCTTTCTTATGGATAAACTTGGTAGGTTCTCACTTCACACAAAGATTGCCCATATGTGTCATGACCTTGACCCAAGGTCATTTGGGGAAGTTCAAGGTCATTTTCAAAATTCATGTTTGACACATATCTTTTATGGATAAGCTTTAAGTTCTCATTTCATTCATGACCCAAGGGTGTGTCATGACCTTGACCCAAGGTCATTTGTGGAAGTTCAAGGTTACTGGAAGAAAAATTTCATAATTCGTGTCCGGTCTATATCTTTTTATGTAAACTATAGGTTTTTCACATTTTAATGACCCAAGGGTGTGTCATGACCTTGACAAATTTGGGGATTGGGTTTTTGGTAGAAAAATTTAATAATTTGTGTCCGGTCACATATCTTTCTTAAGGATAAAATTTAGGTTTTCATTTCATACAAAGATTACCCATGACCCAAGATTTCATGAAGAAAAATTTAATAATTCGTGTCCGGTCCATATCTTTCTTATTGATAAACTTGGTAGGTGATTGCCCATGACCCAAGGGTGTGTCATGACCTTGACCCAAGGTTATTTGGGGAAGTTCAAGGTTAAGAAAAATTTTATAATTTGTTTGATCATATCTTTATTATACAAAAACTTACTTCTGAAAAACCCAGCGGGGGGTATTTTGTCCCGATTGGACAGTTCTAGTTTTAATTGTCTTTATTTACAAACCATTGGGTTTTTGTACACATGTATCTTAAAAAGATAAAATTTGACAGATTTACATGAAGTTTCTAAAATAAGGTTATTTGAATAAATTTGTTCGAGTTGCAAAAGCTAATTTATATACAAATCTTAGTTGATTGAAAATTTTATTGACATTTAATTAATTCTTACTTTTTCTTTTCTTTCAGAATTAGACTTGTCACTGGTTTTCAAGACACAAGAACCAATTTATAACCAAAGACAGACAACTATTTACCCAAAATATTATTAGTTATAATCTCAAAGTGCTATCCAATCAAATGACTTTATATAGTTTACATTTTTATTAACAATTTTTTTCTGTATACTCTAATCTTTACAAAGTTTTGATACTTTTGTAATAAAGCCTTATAAAATGAAAAAGTAACTTTTAATATTTTCTTTCATGCAAGTTGTTAATACTGCATGAGAAGCAGTGTAAAAAAAAAAAAAAAAACCTTTAAAGTTGTAAATTCAGACTTAATTTCTGCAGCATTACCAATTTTGGACTTTTAGTCTAATTGGTGTTTACCTCAGTATAGCAAATGTGCCAAAATTAGGCAAATGACGCTATATATTGAATTGCTAATTACAAATACTTCAAAACCATTTTAATTATACCATTCCACCAATACAATTTGACGAATTTATAGTCTGCATGTACATGTGTATGCTTGGTGTTCAGCTTTGTTCTTTTATGAGTTTTAAGAAATACAAACTGTTCTAATGGTACATCACTACATGTAGCTTCAAGAACTACTGTATACAGGGTTATTTTCGCCCTTTCACACTTGCAAACAATTTTGTCCCGTTTTAAATTCGCCCAGTCATAGTTTTGTTTAAGAAATTATACTGAATTCTTTGAATTCGCCCCGTTTTAAATTCGCCCAAATGATAGTAGGGCGAAAGGGGCGAAAATAAAATGGGGGCGAAAATTTCCCTGTATATAGTATAAAACAAAAGAATGTGTTCAAGTGCTGTTGACATGTACAATGGTGGTGTACAAGGCAACATCAATTCCCTGCTCCGAGAAAAGACATTTCTCAATTCTAAAAGTTCACGAAAAGTTATTTTTCAAAAATTGTTTTATCAATTGTATCTTTTGAACTTTTATTTTATTTAATTACTTGATGATAAATAATTTAATTACTTGATGATAAATAATTTATCTCTCAGTTATGTTTGTAAGCTATATGACAAGCATCACGAAGATAAGATTACAATCCTTTCCAAAGCTCCGGGTTAGGCAAAAAACTAAACATTATCCATTGTCAAATTTCATATAAAATGTTGTTTTTTTTTTAAGCATAAAATTGATTATACATTAATTTTCATCATTAAAACATTATAGAATGGAGATTTGTCCAGTTCATATTCAGAAATATTTTTTTCAAATCTTACAAAAATCCTATTTCCAACTAAAAATATATTCATCAGTCAAATAAAAGAATCAAATGTGTTGAAGTACACATTATTGATATAATTTTTGAAAAAAGTAATTTTTCCATGAACTTTGAAAATTGAGAAATGTCTTGTCCCTGGGCTGAGGGCTGAGGATTGTCGTCACTTTGTATGCATTCTTCAGGAGCTTAATGTCAAAAGATTGATGTTCGATAAATAAGAGGTCCATGGGCCACATCAATGATCTGAGACGCATTTGCCTGTGCTGATCATCAGATTTTTTAGCTCACCCGAGTTTAAAGCTCAGGTGAGCTTTTCTGATCACCCGTTGTCCGTCGCTGTCTTTTCACATTTTCAGCTTCTGAAGAATCTAATCGAAGTTGGTACAAAGCATCCTTGAGTGAAGGGGAATTAAAATTACCGTATAGCGGGGTATCTTAGCTGGGTGCTAATTTTGGCATTTTGATGGTAGCCTGCTAAAATTTTAATCACTAAAATTTTCAATACTCTTTTTAGTGTTCATCTGCAAAGAGTTGAAACCCTGCGTCCAAGAAAATAAATAAGGTCAAAATTATTGGCATACCTTTGAGTGGACAAAACGCCAAATTTCACACCCGCCAAGAAAACCCACTATACGGTATTAAGATGACGGACTAAGTAAACCACTGAGCCAGAAAAGATGAAACTTATGTGGAAGCATCCTGGGGTAGTGTAGATTCTAGATTGTTGAAATCATGACCCCAGGGGTAGGGCGGAGCCACAATAGGGAATTCAATTTTAACATTGAATTACAAATATAAAGGAAAAATCTTTAAAAATCTTCTCAAGAACCACTGGGCCAAAAAAGCTGAAACTTACGAGGAAGCATTCTGGGGTAGTGTAGATTCTAATTTGTTCAAATCATAACCACCTGGGTAGGGTGGGGTGAAATAGATTACAAGAGGAGAAATCTGGTGAACAGCAGAGCCAGTTACTCAGGTGAGCGACTGAGCGTTGTGGCCCATGAGCCTCTTGTTTAATTACCCTCTTTTATAATTTTGGTTTTAAATATTTCAAAATTCAAGAGATACCTCAAAACTTTGGAATGGTTAGATATTTTTGGTCTTGTCACTCTTGAAGATTTCTTTTAATATTAATACATGAACTCTCTTGTAAAATTCCTCGTTCTCACCTTCCACCAGAAGGGTCATGATTTGAACAAATTCACAAAATTTTGTAGCTACTTCCACATAAATATGACCAATTATGGCTTAAATGTTGTAGAAAAAAAAAAGATCCCCCCCCCAACACTTTCCTATCCAAAACTCTGATAACCTGTGACCAAAATATTAATCTAATTTCTCAGGCACTTCCGCATCAGGCCAAAAATATCATATTAATCAATTTTGTTAATATACTGAAATGGGAATTAGTGTTTCATGAACTAACAAATGTTTGGAATAACATTGTTTAAAGTTGAATATATATTATAATTAATGAAACTGTGGAAACTATTAGAAATGATTTGTCGGAGGGTGATCAGAGTGTAAATGCAAAATTAAAATATGTTTCTGAACAAAGTGAGAGCAATTATGAAGATATATCTTTGCTGCGTCAAGAAAACGCTCAATTGCGGAGAGAACTGGAATTACTACGATCGGTTGTAATCCGAATGGACAGGAAAATGTCCGTCATCGAAAATGATGTTACGGATCTTAGATCAAGGTCAATGCGGGATAATATCCTCATTCATAATTATCCTTTCGAACCCAACGAAAACCTAACCACGTCCATGCCAGCTACTTTTAAAGAACTTCTGGGGGTGGATGTCAGCTTTGTAAGGATTCATAGGAATGGGGTGCGTCCAGAATATAATTCCGATCGACCTGTATCCATTACCGCAAAGCTGACTGACCGTAGTAAAATCAACACAATTCTTAATGCCCAAAAGCTAAAGAAAATTGCTAAACAACCATTGCCTTTCTTTATTACAACGCAGCAACCTGCATCTATTGTTTCCGCTCGAAACAAGGTGTTTGATACGGCAGATAGTTTGCGCAGCCAAAACATCACTGTTAAGATTCAAAAGAATCAGGTCATCTTGCCCAACGGCTCCACATATAAAGATGACGTACCATTTCTCACAAATGCAGATGCTTTATTGGTAACACCTGAAGAGACAGAACACCTAGACTCGGTTGAAATAAAAAACTCGGACCCAATCAAAAAGGACGGTTCGGAATTTATGGCTTTCGGTGCTCGAGTTAAAAATGTGGATGATGTGAAGAAGATGTACAGCAAAGTCCTATCCCTATGCAGCAAGTGCTGATAACCGAATTTTGGTGTACAGATTATCTACAGAGAACGGTACCGTTCACGAAAATTATCATGACGATTCAGAACACGGGGCTGGGCGTAAGATGCTGCGCTACATGAAAGAAAACAATATAAACAATGCAGCTTTCGTTATCACAAGGTGGATGGGGGATGCCCATATTGGACCCCAGAGATTTTCAATTATGGAACAAGTGATTAATGAAGTCGCCAATTCTTTAGAAATGTGACTTTTCAAACAGTTTAAGACTGACGGTAACTATAATATCAGGTGACCTTTTTGATCTTGTAAATATGTTCATTTTTCATATATAGGCCTAAGTACGAATATTAATGCCGCTTTCCCTTCAAATTCAATACAACGAAAGTTTTTATTAAGAATATTATTTTTGTTTAATATATAAATGGGTAAAGCCGGATTATAAAAGTAGTTTTCAACTTGGAAAATATATTCATACTTTTCCGGATTTAAATGTTTACCCTTTTTGGTTTACTATTTTTTTCTCGAAGCGGCATATCCGATATGATTTGTAAAATGTCTTTGCCCTATCGACTAAATCTCTAACAAGACGTGCACACCTATCACTCTATGATGCATGTGTCTTTATTGCTAAACCATTCTTTAATCTCCTCTTTTATCTTCTCTTCTATCTTTCGCATGTTTAGAGCAACACTTTTTCTGATGGTGAGTAAATATTTGTCCAAGTTTTTTGCACCAGTTCAATTTCATATTTCATGTCTGGGTTTACAGTAGTTTCAGCAAATTGTCAGGGTCTTCATGATTTTAAAAAGAGAAAGGACGTATTCCAATATTATAAGCAATTTCAATGCAATATTCTATGTCTACAAGACACCCATTTTACAAGTGATATGGAGAATGATATTAGAAATGAATGGGGATACGAGGCTTATTTTAATTCATTTTCGTCAAAGTCAAGAGGTGTTGCTATTTTTTTTAATAATAATTTTGAACATAAGGTTCATAATAGAATAGCTGATGACGCGGGAAATCTTTTGGCTTTAGATTTAACAATTGAAAACAAGCGTCTGAGTTTAATTTCAATATATGGACCAAATGAGGACACACCCTCATTTTATGAAAGATTGTCAAATATTGTAAAGGACTTATCAAATCAAGATGTTATTTTGGTAGGAGATTTTAATCTAGTTTTAGACCCAGAAAAAGATTATTTTAATTATCTTCATATTAATAACCCAAAGGCAAGAAGCAAAGTTCTAGAAATCATCTCTGAGTATGATTTCAGTGATATTTTTAGAGAAATGCATCCTGATGAAACAAGATATACTTGGCGTAAACCTTCCCCTTGTAAACAAGCAAGATTAGATTTCTTTCTCATATCAAATTCTTTTTTAAATAGTGTTCAAGAAAGTAGAATTTTGAATAGTTATAAATCTGATCACTCACCAATATGCCTAAAGATTAAATTGAATGAGTTTACTCATGGAAAAGGTTTGTGGAAATTTAATAACTCACTTCTTAAAGATATTAAATATATTGAAACGGTCAACAAAGTTATTCAGGAAACAAAGGAAAATTATGCATTACCTATCTATTCTAAAGAATATATCAAAGAAATATCAGATTCAGAAATTCAGTTTACTACGGATGAACAGCTTTTCCTTGAAACACTCCTAATGGAAATTAGAGGCAAGACCATTTCTTATTCTAGTTATGTAAAGAAAAAAAGCAATGAGAAAGAAAATCAGTTAATTTCTGAAATCGAAAATTTGGAAAAAGACTACGATAAAAATATTCAAACAATTTATAATAAGAAAAAGGAATTGGAAAATATAAGAGACCATAAACTTATGGGAAATATCATAAGGTCTAGAGTAAAATGGATGAATGAAGGAGAAAAACCTACTAATTACTTTCTAAACCTAGAGAACAGACACTATACAAATAAAATAATCCCTAAATTGATTAAAGATGAATCAATTGATTCAGAAATAACAAATCAGAAAGATATTCTTCTTGAAATCGAAAAATATTATAAAGTACTTTATGAGGCTAATTCTGATATGACAAATGTTGATCTAAATGATGATACTTGGGACATTGCTGCAGAAAAACTTAGTGATACACAAAAGAATAGTCTTGAAGGGGAGATAACTTTAAATGAAGCATTACTAGTTTTGAAAAATATGTCAAATGATAAAAGTCCTGGAAGCGATGGCTTTACAACAGAATTCTTCAAAGTTTTCTGGAAACAGCTGGGAAATTTCATAGTAAGATCAATAAATTATGGTTACCAAAAAGGAGAGCTTTCTGTTACACAAAAACAGGGAATTATCACTTGTATACCTAAAGAAGGAAAAAGTAAATTTTTCATAAAAAATTGGCGCCCAATATCATTATTAAACGTTGTATATAAAATAGGATCTGGCTGTATAGCAAGTAGAATGAAAAATATCTTGAATACAATTATAAGTTCAGACCAGACAGGTTTTGTACCTGGAAGATACATAGGAGAAAATACCAGGTTAATCTATGATCTAATGCATTATACAGAAGAAAAAAATATTCCTGGAATGTTGTTAATGATTGACTTTGAAAAAGCTTTTGACACTGTGTCATGGAATTTTATTGATAAAGCCCTGAAATTCTTTAATTTTGGTCCTTCTTTAAGAAGATGGGTTTCATTATTTCAATGTAATATTGTATCAGCAATTAATCAAGCCGGCCACCTATCTAATTTCTTTAAACTAGGCCGTGGTTGTCGTCAGGGTGATCCAATTTCACCATATATATTTTTACTCTGTGCAGAAATTTTAGCTTTAAAAATAAAAAATAATAAAAATATAAAAGGGATTAAAATTGATGGGGAGGAATACCTAATGTCTCAATATGCAGATGACACATTAGTTATACTAGATGGAACAGAAAAATCCCTAAGAAATTGCATTGAAGAAATAAATCAATTCTATAAATTATCAGGACTTAAAATAAATCTCTCTAAAACACAAATAGTCTGGATAGGAAGCAAAAAATATTCATCTGAAAAACCTCTTAATGAAATGGATTTTCAATGGTCAACACAATTTAAAGTATTGGGTATTTATTTTGATGTTGACTTAAGTAGAGTTCCAAAACTCAACTATGACAAAAAATTGGTCAAAATTAAGAATATAATACTACAGTGGAGTAAAAGACGTACTACCCCCTTGGGTAGGATTTCACTTATAAAATCATTATTAATAGCACAGCTAAACCATCTTTTTATTGCTTTACCTTCACCTTCTGAAAATTTTGTTAAGAATCTAAATAGTGTTCTATTTAATTTTCTTTGGGGATCAAAAGTGGACAAGATAAAAAGAAAACAAATTACTCAAGATTACAAGAGTGGAGGATTGAATATGATTGACTTAAATAACTACATTAAGAGCTTAAAATCATCTTGGATTAAAAAACTACTCAATGGACAGGAGTCTAAATGGAGATCACTTGTTCAAAAAGCTTTTAATATTAAAAAGTTATTTAATACTGGTTCAAATTATATTGAAATAATACTACAAAGTATAACTAATGATTTTTGGAAAGATACTTTAATTGCTTTCAAAAATATAGAAGACAAAATGAAAATAGAATCATGGGAAGATTTTATCTCTCAACCATTATGGTACAATAAAAAACTTAAAATTGACAATAAGCCCATTTTTTACTCCAAATGGTTTATTAATGGTGTAGTTTTTATCTCAGACTTGTTAGATGAAAAGGGAACTTTTCTAGAATTAAAGGATCTACAAGCAAAATTTCATATAGAAACCAACTTTTTAACATATGCAAGTTTACAGAAAGCAGTAAAAAAAGCTATGGCTGTAGAAAAAATAAACAAAGAAAGAGTAAACCCAAGGCCCATCCTACCTTTTTATTTAAAATTATTCTGTCTATGTAAAAAAGGAACAAAAGCTATGTATAATATTCTGAATACAGAACATATACTGCCTGTTTCAAAAGTAAAATGGAGTAAACATTTTGAAATTGAAGATTCCCTATGGGAAATGATATACAAAATTCCTTTTCAATGTACAAAAAGTTCTAAATTGCAATGGCTACAATTCAGAATAAATCAACATATCTTAGTTACAAATAAAATGTTATATAAAATAGGTTTGAAGGATACTAAACTATGTAGCTTCTGTGAGACATGTGAGGAAACAATTTTTCATATTATGTGGGAATGCCAGAAGGTTCAGGAGCTTTTACATAGTTTTACCATTCTTTGTGAAGCTCATAATATAGACTTTCCAAAAGATAGTTGTAATTTCATATTTGGGAATCCAAAACCCAACAATACTGAATTAAATACAATATTTTTATGTATTAAATCATTTATATACAGAACTAAATGTCGGAATGAGGTTTTAAGATTACAAGCGTTACGTGGAGATATTAAAACATTGCTATCTACGATGAAATATAGTGCAACAAAAAGTAATCAAATTAATGAATTTAATGATAAATGGAAAGACTGGCTTCTACTCATGTAAGACCCTGAAACCAGACACCTAAAGATTTCTTGCAATGCTTGGACATACATAGACCACTATTTTATTTCTATGAACATGCTTTTCTGTTCTTCTTTCACCTTTTCTCACCTCTCTCTCTCTCTTTTCTTCTTCTTCTTTCCTCCTCTCAATCTTAATTGTCATTATTATATTTTTTTTGTATTTATTTACTATATGTATTAATGATGTTTTGATGTTAACAAGATATTATAAACATGTATACTGTGACAATTGGTATTAATAAAAAAAAAAAAAAAAAAAAAAAAAAAAAAAAAAAAAAAAAAAAAAAAAAAATTAATGAAACTGTTGAATGAGTGATGAAAAAAAAGACAAACACCTTCTTCAAAATAAAAAAAATTAAAAAACTGTATTGATTTTCAAAATGGTATAAGAAACTTTTTTTTTGCCAAATGTGACTTCACTCTATACCCCTGTCAGTCAGTAATTTGAACTTTGAATCTTACACTTCTTGATGCTTCCATGTTATAATTAGTAATGGCATTGTGTTTTGTATTTTCTTTCTAAACATTTTTAACTCTACTGGTCAGGCGAGGGATTGGGTCATGCAATCCAGGGATCGTCCTAGCCTTGTACGCCCTCTTTATCTATTCTCAATGTAATGTAGCAAACAGCTTTTCTGCTATATGTCAATTATCTCCATATGGGAAATTAATTAATATATTATGAGCAATACAAACAAAAATTCATCTATTTAATAACTTCAAAATTTATTTTATAGGCTATGGTCAACTTCCTGACCAAAACAGAAACTACAAAATAAAACTAATACAACAGAGAATATTGTAATAAAACTTACAAAATGTAGTGAAGACAGATGCAAAATTATAAGAATTCCCTGCAAGACAATAAACACGACTGGTCAATAAATGCCAAATTGTGACAAGTAAAAGCATTTAAATTCGTCATACTTATTTGTACTGCAATGCAAAGGATGATCAATTCCTGCATTAAACCAATTCATTACATACTTGTGGGCTGGTACACTGATTATATGATTTCTTTGTATTTTTTAATAAACAGAGCCAATTTTTACTAAGAAAAATGTGATGTTCTCATTTACATCAAGAACAATCCAAAGAACACTTGAAAATGGACAATCCAACTTAATTACCTCATGCACAAGACAGCGTTTGACACTCTTTCTCAAAGTCTCTTTCTTTTTATATTTCAGCTTATAATTTATACAAGTTTTGTTATTTATTCCTTAACTGTGTATCACCATATTCTTAAAGATATACATGTATAGAGTTCTTTTCATTTTTATCTTCCTTTTATATTTCTGCTTATAACATTCTGCTTAAAACATGCACAGGTTTCTCCTTTTATTCCATAATTATGTATCATCAAATTCTTAAATATATATACCATGATATACATGTATTTCTTTCTTTTATTTCTGCAAGATTGAAGAATGATTTTGAGATCACCGCGGAAAGAAACCTCGCGGAGAATAAAACAGCAACAGCCCAAAATAAAGATACAAAACGGAATACCTCTAAAAAAAAGATCATACAAAACACTGGCAGTGAAAAGAGATATACAAAAGTATACAAATGAAGACTACAAAACTATGATGCTTAAAAAGTTTTACAAATTTCCCCTTAAAACATTTCAGTGAAGAATAAAAAAAAATGTACATGAGAGAACACACTATCTGCTGCCCTATCTTCTTCATGATTCACAACACACAGAAAATGCCCATGTCCTTGCCTTTTTCTTGGCTTAATGAACACAAATAAAAAAGTCAAAAAATTGTACATACAATTGTTCCCATGGAAATGTATAAACGATGCGGTTCTACCTGAAATTTTGTACTTCAATGTGTAAAATCAATAGTTCCTCTGACTAGAAATGGAATTCCCCTGTAAATGTTTACAGGATCTCCATTAGATCTGTTTCTTCCCAGGAATGTTCTTCATTACTTGTTCCTTGGCCTTCATAGCCGACAGAGACTTCACCAGTCCTGTAACAATATTATGTAGTATTAGCCTCTTACATCATATTTTAATATCACCCTTAAATATTATAATGCTTAACAAAATCATATACTTCTAAACATAAGGATTGAAATGACACAGGTATCTTTTGATACCATACACACCATACAGTGGATGTGGTAACATGCATATACATGAATGTATGTATTTTTCATTACAATTAGAATTTAGAAGTATTTTGAAATTTTTTTTTAAGTAATCAAGAATTCACAGCAAAGCAGAATATTTTGTATTATGCAATAGCAATAAGCAGCATAATTCCCAGACATCACATATAGAGAAAGCTGGTTTACAAGAAGCTAGACTTCCTTGCCATTGAAAGCATGGGTAATCAAAGATTACACAGCTCACCTTGACAAATGTTATATTTTAATAAAGCAAACTCACATCCAAAGCAAGTCTGATAGAGTCCATCCCAGCAAGTTTAATCATAATAAGTCAAGTCATTATAGAGTTAATCACTCATTTGGAAAATGTAATAAAGATCCAGCATCAAAACAAGTCTGGGAGTGCCAATCCCTAAATGTATCATCAACAGATCCAAGTTAAATCTAGGTGATGTTTTCTTTTAGTTACTTGGGAATAGAGTAAGTCTAGTAGTGTTCATCCCTAGATGCATTATCCATACACGTATGGACAATGTAGGGCTTATAGTTACTTGGAAATCAGACCTGCTCCACATCCAATAATCAAATAACTTTCTTCAGCTGAAATGGCAGCATCTGAAACCTTGACTGGTATAATGAATCAATCTAGAAGCATCTCCATGCAACTGATTACATTTAATAAGTACTTGAAAAAAAATCTGTTCCTAAAACTTTAACCTGGGATGCAGACACCTATGCAGATGCCAAGGGTATGGTATAAGCCCCCCTCCCCCTCCAACCTTCGTTGAGGTGAGCTAAAAGAAGATAATTTTATTGACAAGCGTATCCTTTCAATACATACAAGTTATTTTGTAAACATGTACAACATCACTGTTTACACATTATTTCACCCTTACTTTGTAATGTATCGACAGCACATACAACAATGGGCAGAAATGAATATTAAAATATACTCCACAAGCTGAATATATTTTGTCCGTCATGCAAGCATTCATCTTTACTGCCAAGCACTACTCTAATTTACAAAAGAAATAATAGTGACTAAATACAAAGGCACTAGCTAGGATTTCTATACCTGAGTTAGGATTTTTGTCAAATGAAATTACACCTTCACTCAAGCTAAATACTAGGTGTACATGTAAGATTTTTATTACTTACCTCCTTTTAAGGTCAATTCAAACTGATAAAAGAACATCAGGTATTAGTGTAATAGAAAAACATGCAGTTATTGATTTCAAAATCAATCATTAACAAAAATAGTTATATTTCGTAACAATGGCTCATTGTCCGTTGAAAATAAAAGATGCGTCTGTGTAATCTGCATATGTACCAAGTCTTACTGAAATCAGACTAGAATTGTGAATATATCATTTGAAATGGTCCAGATTAAATATTATGAACCACATGCACAGATTAAACCAATATAATTATGACCCACATGCATAGATTTCCATGTTTGAATTTGTAACCCAGTGTGATCTAACATTTCTACAAATATACAAAAAAAAACCCACTTACTGTCGACATTAGTTTTATATTTCTCTGAGGTCATTAATCCTTCAGTCAGTGACGACTTTCTTGAGGCCCCATTCTGATCTGTTGTGGGGATTTCACTGCCAGGTCTGGGACTGAGGACTGGAACTTTACTTTGTCCAGGAGAAGCTGCACTGACATTAGCATGTAGTATTGCCTCCAGACTGGCTGGCTGGTTTGTCTGGTGGCTTCCAGTTCCCACCAATCCTACAGGGTTATTTGCTGGCCCATTATGACCAGGTTCTGGATCAACAACAGTATCATTGTCAACAGTTTGTCTAGTTATTTCATCCATTCCCAGATTCTGAGGGATGGAGTCCACATTACACTGATTCTGCAATGAGGGAGACAATTTTTCTCCACTGATTAAGACACTCTCTGTTTTAACAGTTAGCTCTTCCATCATTTGTAAACCATCCTCTGAAATTTCCTGAGTCTCGATATAAACTTCTTCAGAGAGGATCTGGACATCAGGGGACTCCTCTCTGACATCAGTATTTGAGGTAGGGGAACTAGCACTCTGTGACTCGTCCTCTGTCATTTCCTGCTCCACAGCATCACATGTAAGACCTGAATTTGTTTCCACACTTGCTTCGAGGGGTATGTCGGGCATTGGAAGCTGTTCTCCATCTGTCATTTCCTGAGACTGACTATGGGACTCCTGCACAGGTTCAGGGCTGAAGTTTGAAGAACCAAGTTAATAAAATATTCAAGATGGAAACATGTATAAATGCTTCATATGCATGTACAACTCTTCCTTCTTATCAATTTTGCTTTCAAAACAATATCTGCTGTCATTCCTTATTACAATTGTGGACAAATGCTCCTCTCCTTACTTATTGTAAAAAAAAAAAAATCAAAATCTAGTGAATGGTTAATCATTTTCTTTTCTATCAAGAACCTGATAAAGCTAAAAATTCTTTTCTATTTTTGAAGTAGAAACATGAAGAAATTCTTATATTCAATATCTGAATGTACCTTCAATGTACCAGTAAACCAAATCCTAAATGGTGACCCTATCATTTATTCATTATGCCATGTTTCATGGCATTCCCTATACCTTGTATCTAATGCTGGAGACAGCGAGTGATCTTTCATGGTGCGAGTGAGATAACCTGACTTCAGTATGTGACCTGCTGCTAATCTCATCTCAGGTTTTCCACACAGTAAATTGTACAGCAGAGAACCAGTCTCAGGGTCCTACAACACACAAAATAACACCTCTTATGCAGGTTCACACAATTTTTTAAAATTGACACCATGTACTATAAATGTTGATATCCAAAATACAATAATCTGGTAAAATATCCTACCATTCATTTTCAAATAAAACATCGATCACAACTTTTATCACTATTTCCATTTCAAAACTTAGTTACCAGTGAGAGGACAGCCAAGTTTGGAGTTCCATCTCTGGATGCTGGGATTACAGATCTTGGATGATGAAGCTAAAATACAATTCAATACTTCATTTCAAACATGTCTTAGAAAAAAAATATTTCAAACATGCATGTATCGTCCATATAATTAATTAATCTTTGCAACATTTACAGAAATTTATCTTTATGATCAGACTAGCTTCTCTAGACTTACATAGAGGATGAGTAGGCCTAACAGATAGAGGTCGGTTTTAGCGGTGATCTGGACTGGTGCACTCTGATGAGCATTTGAGATCTCTGGAGCCTGGAACATCATTCCATGGCTGGTCATGTAGCCCCTCTTGGTTCTGTCAAACTATTATATCAAATTCAAAACACAGTCATACTTGTTGTGACTTGGTTCATCATAGAAATCCAACATTCCACAGAATGCGTTAAATTTCAAACCCTTCCTCTATCTTAAACCTGTTAACATTACTCTCAATAAAGATCAAGAATTTATTTCTATCTTCTCCCCTTTTTTTCGCCCTCTTACAGCTTATTAGAAAGACCAAGTAAACAGTCCTTACCAATGACCTAGAGAAGTCTGGACAAAGCAGAACAGATGAACCATCCAACTTTACCCCAACATTTTGTGGATTGACTTCACCATGCACAAAACCCTGCTGATGTAGGGTGTTTAATGCAGATGTTACTCCTCTTGTTATTTTCTGTCTTCTCTGAAAAATCAATATTTCCTCAGATGATGTGGAAAAATGCAAACAAGTCTTGAAATAAAGTGCCACGCCACAGCTTGATACGCCCGTCAAAAAATTACAATTATAATTAGGGATGTCAACGAATATTCGAATATTCGAATATTCATTCGATGAGGTGATATTCGAATATAAATTTATGATTCGAATATTCGTTTTTTAAGTATATATGCATTTAAAAGAGAGAAAAATCTGTCAAGTTAAAAAAATCTAAGTTGTCTTGCAGCCAGACAAATAGAATCGAGCATATGATTTGATACAAAATTTAAGTACATTCCTCTTTGATTATCTTTAAGGTGTGAAGAGTGTTTCTATAAGAATCTTTCATTTGATAATTAAATTAGTGGTATAACAGTGTTCAGTAATTACAATTAGTTTTAATTGTTGTATGGACACAGTTGTACACTTATACACACGAATCCCTTGTTCATGTTTATATAATTAAGAATCATTATCAGGAAATTAATTTACTAAGAATAATTGTTTTTGAGTTATCTGTTTTTATTTCAAAACTAGATCAAGATAATTTCCTCCAGTAAGTAACTGGTATGCGTGGTATAAATTTATCAGTGAAGTTTTGAAATTTCAAAATATTTTTGTTTAGAAATATGTTATAGATGTTTACCCTTGATATATTCCATAGAATATTTAGAAAATATACAATTAAGATACTTTAATAACTGTACATTTACAAAACTCTACTTGAAATTTGATTCAAATAAATAATGGCATATTATAAAACGTATATTGGTTGACAGGAGAGTGAAGATATATATGTTATAATTGAAGACGTATTTATTTCATCGAATATTCGAATATATTCGAATACTCCTTTCGAATATTCGAATATCAATTGTTGACAATTTTGACATCTCTAATTATAATGTATCTTAAACAGTTAAAAGTGCAGGAAAATCATGTCAACCTTGATTTTAAGATTTCAATGATTTTTACACACCTTAAAAAAATTTGTTTATCCATCTCCTGTGGTGTATGCATTAATTATAACAAATATTGCATCATTTATAGATTTCTATACCTTGCCAAATGCCTATCATATTAAACAATATCAAATTACACAACTTAATCAATACCTAATTAATTTTGGAAATAAAAGGCTGGCCATCAAATAAACTGACCAACAGTTCCTCTGTCTAATTCCCATAAGACCATGCTCTGAAGAAATGAAAGAGACAAGCAGCTAGCCTTCCTACACTGAACACATTAATTAATCTTTAACTGGATGCTTGTCTACTCATTACTCCCAAAAGATTATTGGATCTGCACTATCTACCATAAAACATTTTTAAAACATACAAAACATCAAATATTTTTTTTTTTAGATTTAATGTCAGACAGTTAATTGTTAATATGCAATTCATATGGACATGCAGATTCCAGCCCTACCCCCATAAAATTAATTTTTAAGTTCGTAATACACTGTATTATGTAATATCAAAAAAGTTTAATATGCAATATCAAATTAGTTTTAATTCTTCTCATCAAATTCATTTTAAAACTTCAGCTAGCCAACTGAAGCTATTTTTAATCCAACAGGCTTACCCATTTGGCCCAATACTCAAGGGATATAGATAGCACCGATGCTCTTAACAGCTACTCCTCACACTAAACTCATTAATTTCTCTCTCTAATTTGACATGCAATTTTCTGTTATCAAAATTTTTCTTGACCAGTGCTTGATAATTAGACTCATGAAGTGGTGGAATTTCTCTAACATACATTATATTTGTTATAGATTGCTGTCAAGTATATGCTAAAAACAATAAGTATTTTCTTGATTTAACATTTTTCTAATAGGGTTAGTGCAATAGTTTTACATTTTTTTGAATGTGTAAATGAATAGAAAAAAAGACATTTTTTTTTTTAAAATTCCATTTAAATTAAAGGTCACAGTGACCTTGAAATAGGTCGCGACACACCTTCTACCTAAGATGCATAAACTGGCCAAGTTTGATGATCCTAAGTCTAATATTTTTCTAGTTATGGACCGGACAGGATTTTTCCATATTTGGCTATAACTTTTTAATTATAGGTCAGAGCGACCTACTTTTTGTGCGCGACACACCTTCTACCCAAGATGTATCAGCTGACAAAGTTTGATAACTCTAGGCCTTATAGTATTAAAGTTATGAGCCGGACACGAGAAAAGCTAACAGACGGACGGACGGACAGACGGACAGACAGACGGACATGAAGCCTATAACATAATACGTCCCGTCTTAAGACGGGCGTATAAAAATTTTTTTAGCCATTTGAGACATTTTTTTTCTTTGAAGAAGGACCACATACCTTGTCATCAAATCCTGGCTCATTCATAAAGGTCTCCAAATCTTGGATTTGTTCCACACTTATAACTACATATCCAATACGCTCATTCTACAACGAAAAACATACACATACATTACTGTACTTCAATCTATCAATGCACATCATTTTTACAATATAAAAATGCCAAGCTACTGTCATTTGTGCAACCCTGAACTTTTACAAGATGGTCTTTTATATTATCATGAAATATCCTCTGCTTCGAACCAACCCTCAAGTCAAGCATTCAAAATTTCTAAATAGAACTGCTACTATTTTAACAAAATCAAGTATGATTCTCCATGAACAGTGTTTGAAAATCACAGTGAAATTAGGTAGACAGCTGGGCTGATAGGGCTGAAACGATACGCCCCCTCCACGATACGATACGTATTGCAATACTTGTGTCACAATTCAATTTTTTCAATACGATACAATTTAAGAACGAAACTATTCATAAGGTTAAAGAAAACGAATTCAGATTTCAAAAACAAAGAGTAAAAGGTAGTGATACAATAGAAATATACTACAGGGGTATGCAATTTAAAAATTCAAGTACTAGCCCACGGGCTAGTGGCAGCAATAAAGTTACAAGCCCCAAGTAAAAAGTTACTAGCCCAAATATAGGCACAAAAATTAAAATAAAACAAATGTTGAGAAAAAAATAATCATTGAAAAAGTCAGGGTACTAAGGTCAATCTTTTGAAAATTAAAATTTTATTCTCACTATTAAAATTAAATCATATAAAATTAATGATTATGACAGAAAATAAAAATGAATTTAAAAAAAAATATCTGAAGATCTTTCCTTTTCTGATTATTTTGCACTAGCTCATTTAGAATGAAAATAAATTCATTTTGTTTTCATATTAAATCCTTAAATACACTAGAAATATATTTCATGTGAATCAAGTTGATCTTTCAGTTGATTGAATGATCGTAAATAATTTAATAATGAGATATCTGCATGTATTTACAATAAACGGAGGAAATTCGGATTAGGAAAAAAACGATCGTTTTTGGAAGTAAATAAGTCAGGAAGTACTGCAAAATGGAGAAAATTATGGAGATTTATTGACAGTAGGAGCATGCTGCCTGGAAAATATTCACTGGTTGGGAATTTGATAGCAAAAAATGAGTAAAATACCGGTTGTACTTTATGTATTACATGCCTAGTTATAATTTTTACTAGCCCGAATTTACTTATTTGTTAATTGCACATCTCTGATACTTGTGGTTCTGTTGATTAAGTACACTTTATTCGTATAAATAATAGCAGAGGCAGCCTACTCTGAAACTTTACCGTCCCAATTTTCTCCCTCGTGTGTGTCAAACTGTTAAAATAAGGTCGAACCCGATCTATTTCAAAGAGTTAACCAAACCCGATTATAAAAAACGTATCGAACCGAAAATCGAGATGGTGAATCGAACATTGAACCGAGCACTTATATCGAACAATATCGATATTTCGGTGAATCGTTTCAGCCCTATGGGCTGACTGTTTATGAAAGTTGTCAGCCCTGCCAGAAATCAACTAACCTGAGAAAACAATTGTCTTTTATTATTTATTTTTAACTTCAGTTTGAAACTATGTGATTTAGGGTCTTAGTTTTTGGTGAAAAAGCAAACTTCAGCTAGTCATAAGCAAATTTATAATGCCAAATTTTAAATTTTCAAGTTTTCAGTAATAAATAAATGGTTCTAATATAAAGGCAAACAGCAGATGGACATGGCAATTCCAATACCCCCCCCCCCCCCAACTATTTGCTTGGGGTGTATTTTTTTATCAAATAGAACAAGTTTGCAAAATTTAAAATGTCATTCTTTTCAAATCCATCTTTACCTTTGTGAAGAACACCGCCTGTATCCCACCAAGAGAATCTGAGTCAGTGGATATGCCACAGTAGGCCATGATCTGAGCAAGGAAATCTTCCTTCCTGAGATGTTCACTGTCTCCGACATGATATTCCTAAAGAGAGTGGAGGATGCAAGATTTAAATAGTGTACCATCAAAATAATTTCATGTACACTGTATATGCATGTACGTGTACCTTTTATATCTAGTCTTGAAAACATTATTATTGAAAGAAATTGAAATTCCCAAAAATAATGTCATGATGAGTGTGTACCTAAGAGAGAGCATCTTATTTCCCTAAATCAATGTTTACCTGTACATAAACTGGGTTGCCACAGAAAGTGCTTGAGTACATCCCTGGTCTCACTGCTGGAGTCAAAGTAAAATGTTCCACTTCCCATCCTGTCTTCACTACGCCACTGTAGTCCTACAAAGCATCAGGTATTTTCACTGAAAATTGTTCTGCATTTGATATTTATTTGTATACAACCACCCAAAATTCAATTAACAAGTACCCTGCATGCCCTTAAAGAGTCTGCATTAAATCATTATCTTTTCTTCCTTCTTTTTCTATGTGTACACCCCAAAAAATTAATTAAAATACTGTAGACGTACTTTTTTCCACGGGGTCATAATTCCGCGGAATCTCCATTTCTGATTAATCCGCGTGTAGAAAATTACGCGGATTATCTAGACTGTCACTATATGCCTTACATTTATATTAAGAACGCGTGGACAAATTTCCGCGGAAAATTTGTGACCGCGTACATAGTGTAAAGTAATACCACGCGGAAAAAAGTACTTCTACAGTAATCTTTATTTGAACATTCCTTTCACATGTACCTATTAGAACTTCTGACAAGAATATAGGAAATACTCTTCTTTAAAATCCTGATCAGATACACTAAAAGTTCTGTGAAGACTTACCAGATACGTTCTAATTCCTGTATCCTGATGCTTGATCAGCAGCTCTGGGAAGTGAGAATCAGATACCTTGGCTAACTCAACCTGTAAATTGTCAAATTGAAAGTCAGTCAATTTTTTCATCCACAAGAATGCTTCAAATTGAAAACTATTTACAATACTGTAAAAACATTTTCAGCTTTGAGCTTGTCATCTTGACATTTCTTAATTACATTCAATCTTTGGTCCATTTCCAATTTCCTTTTAGTTTTACTATTTGTTGTTTTAGTTAAAGAAGCTTGGTAAAGTGTCTATATTGCTTCCTTTCAAAATATAGGCATTATTTCTGCTGTATACAAAGAAATTAAAAGATCAATCCCCCTTTCCTGATTTTTAGCTTAAACTACAAGTACAATAGAAGAAACACTTCTGTATACTAACCACAAGTTGATCATGATTAACTAAGGCTTGATGGAGCTGGTACTGTAATCCCTCAATTTCTGTCTTTAATACTTTCTCCTCCTCATTTTCTCCACTCTGTAAAGATTTGGGATACATTTTACACAATATTGTTTATCTATATAAGATTTCAGACAATGAAACCAGAAGTCTCTGTCGAGACTGAAGCTCTACTGGTTTGTACTTATAGCAAAGGAAGAGAAAAGTACTTAGGCAGTTGGAAATTGAAACTTTTCAACAGCAATAAATAGAATAATGATTCTTGATTAAGTCTCTTTATGTTCTTAGTGTAGTCTACTTGCATGCCACAATATATTATAATTAGACTAAACCTGTACTTGGAGTAGCATTTTGAGAGTATTTAACAAAAATTTCTATTTTTAGTAACCACGGCAACACCATTCATTGAAGTGAAAAAATGACATACAGAATTATGTACCTTAGTATAGTCTACTTGTGTGCCAAGTTGTATTGAAATAAGACCAAAACTGTAGTAGGTGTAGCATTTTGAAAGCATTTCACAGAAATTTCTATTTTTAGTAACCATGGCAACACCGTTCATCGAAATCAAAAACCGATGTACGGAATTATGTATCTTAGTGTAGTCTACTTGTGTGCCAAGTTATATTGAAATCAGACCAAAACTGTAGGAGGAGTAGCATTTTGAAAGAATTTGACAGAAATTTCTATTTTTAGTAACCACGGCAACACCGTTCATCGAAATCAAAAACCGATGTACAGAATTATGTATCTTAGTGTAGTCTACTTGTGTGCCAAGTAATATTGAAATCAGACCAAAACTGTAGGAGGAGTAGCATTTTGAAAGAATTTGACAGAAATTTCTATTTTTAGTAACCACGGCAACACCGTTCATTGAAATCAAAAACCAATATACAGAATTATGTATCTTAGTTTAGTCTACTTGTGTGCCAAGTTATATTGAAATCGGACCAAAACTGTAGGAGGAGTAGCATTTTGAAAGAATTTGACAGAAATTTCTATTTTTAGTAACCACGGCAACACCGTTTATCGAAATCAAAAACCGATGTACTGAATTATGTATCTTAGTGTAGTCTACTTGTGTGCCAAGTTATATTGAAATCAGACCAAAACTGTAGGAGGAGTAGCATTTTGAAAGAATTTGACAGAAATTTCTATTTTTAGTAACCACGGCAACACCGTTCATCGAAATCAAAAACCGATAAACAGAATTATGTATCTTAGTGTAGTTTACTTGTGTGCCAAGTAATATTGAAATCAGACCAAAACTGTAGGAGGAGTAGCATTTTGAAAGAATTTGACAGAAATTTCTATTTTTAGTAACCACGGCAACACCGTTCATCGAAATCAAAAACCAATATACAGAATTATGTATCTTAGTTTAGTCTACTTGTGTGCCAAGTTATATTGAAATCGGACCAAAACTGGAGGAGGAGTAGCATTTTGAAAGAATTTGACAGAAATTTCTATTTTTAGTAACCACGGCAACACCGTTCATCGAAATCAAAAACCGATATACAGAATTATGTATCTTAGTTTAGTCTACTTGTGTGCCAAGTTATATTGAAATCGGACCAAAACTGTAGGAGGAGTAGCATTTTGAAAGAATTTGACAGAAATTTCTATTTTTAGTAACCACGGCAACACCGTTTATCGAAATCAAAAACCGATAAACAGAATTATGTATCTTAGTGTAGTCTACTTGTGTGCCAAGTTATATTGAAATCAGACCAAAACTGTAGGAGGAGTAGCATTTTGAAAAATTGTTTACAGACAGACAGAAGACGGACGGACGACGGACACATTACTTCTGGTCTCTGACCAGTAGAGCTAAAAAACAAGAGGCCCATGGGCCACATCGCTCACCTGAGCACTGTGGCTAGGAAAAAAGTAGCAATTGGTTTATTATTGAAAAGTTTAAATCCAAAAGTAAACCTTTGACCAGTTATGGTTTTGCTATTCTTGAGATGATTTTTAAAGAATTTTCCTATATATTTCTATGTAAAACTTTGGTCAGCCATTGTGGCCCCGCCCTACCCCCAGGGGTCATGATTTGAACAAACGTGAATCTACACTACCTGAGAATGTTTCCCCATAAGTTTCATCTTTCCTGGCACAGTGGTTCTTGAGAAGATTTTTAAAACATACCACCAAATTTTCATTAAATTCCCAATTATCAGGGCTTGGCCCTTCATTTGAACAAACTTGAATCCCTTTTACCCAAGGATGCTTTGTGGCAAGTTTGGTAAAAATTGGCCCAGTGGTTCTTGAGAAGAAGTCAAAAATGTGAAAAGTTTACAGACAGACAGACGGACAGATGGACGCCAGACAAAATGTGATCAGAAAAGCTCACTTGAGCTTTCGGCTCAGGTGAACTAAAAAATAATCATTCTACCACACATCAAACTTGATTTTTTAAAACATTACAGTTTTCCATTCAAGTACACAATTTAAACATATGGTTATATTGGTAAAATGTGAAAATGGACAATAAGTTTAATGTAACATTGAATTTCTGATAAACTTTTCTTTTATAAACTCTCCCCTGATTATACCTCCATGCATTAAAACAAGTACCTCCTCTAAATCCAGTCTGTCCGCCTCCATGTGGCGTAACTTAGACTTAAGGGACCTGATGTTCTTCCTACACTCCTGAATGTCATCAAAGTTCGGCTTGATATCCAGCCAAGGTTCAATCCCAGCCTTCATCTGGGAGAACTCAGCCATAAACTGTCTACAGTTGTCAAGTACTCCTATCTCTCCATGGAGTTCATTTAAGATGGCTGTAAGCACTGTAGCTACCAAACTTGAATCTTGGCTTCGCTCCTGCAAAACAATTTTTTTAAAGCAAAATTTACTCAGAAAAACCAATTTCTTTTTAAATCCAACTTTGTCATTGAGCAAATTTTTTTTTTTCAGAATGCTGACCATATCAGTGATGGCTATTTCCTGTTGAAGTGCCTGCATGTAGGTTTTCAATAAAGTGTTGATCTCCAAATTCACATTTTCATCTGAGTCATCTGCCTCCAAATCCAGCACCTGATAGAGGAGAATTCAGATTTCTTAAAATGCAGATAAGTTCCAGCTGAAACACAGACTTGCTACAAAGTATAGGCTATTTTCTTGACACTGGACAAGAAAAGCACCCCCTTTTAAAAAAGGACCTTTTAGTCTTTTTATCAAATGAAATTTTCTTTCTAAATACCTTCTTTTTTGAATATTTTTCACTTACCCCCTCTAGCTGATGCAGTGCTTTAGTGACTTCTCGCTGACAAATGTTTGTGTTTTCCCGAACATGGCAGAACTCTGCTTCCTTCTTCTTCTGCTCAATTGAAAACAATTTCAAATCAGATCCTTCCTAATATTATGCATTTTTAAACCATGCTTAATTGTAACAAAATGACAACTTTTCAGCAAATGTGGGATGGATCTCATTTACAAATTGTAATTGTACATTGTGTAAAAAATCCAAAATGACCAACCTTCCAATCCCTAAAGCCATGAATCAAGTCCTCTAAACTTGGACAGCCATGAACACTGATGTACATAAATGCTTTGTAGTTACTTGTCACTTTCGCTTCTGCTTTCTGAAAATAGCGACATTTTTTCCATTTTTCTACAAATCTGCACCCATTAATTTTTTTTATACAAAATACATGTATGTGCAAACACATGTATGTGCAAACAAACAAAATGTGCTTAACTCAATAAATAGTGTGTACATTTCTGGAAACAATAGAGATTGTTAATATATGTACTTAATTAAAACTGATCAAAAATAAAATATCATGATCATGAATCAAATTCATTAACTATATGTCAAAGTTTAGGAAATTCTTTAGATGAATCAGGGGCCCGTTTTACAAAAGGACTTACGACTTAAGACCAAGTTTAATTATTCATATAACTTTTTAATTAACATTATATAGAAAATTATTTTAAACTCTTTAAAAAGAATGTGGTAAGATATTTTTACATTGACAATTTCAAAGAGAATTATTAATTTTGCAAAATTTTACAATAATCTGAAGGTTTTGGTCTTAGTCATAAGTTCTTTTGTAAAATGGGCCCCAGAACTCACCGTGACACAGTCATGTCTGACGTCGAGAGGCATGACTTCCAGCTCCTGTACACACTCGGTCAGTTTGTCATACAGGTTCTTCCTGGCCAGGTCTCTGGTCTCCACTAGAGAATCCAACTCACCCTGTGGATAAAAATCATATTTACTGAACTGAAAACCACTGAACACTAAATGAGACAAACTGAATGTCTGTAAAAACTTTTTCAAACGCTTCTTTCAGAAGTTTGAGCCTAAGAAATTACGTAACGATGAACATCTAAAAATACTTATTTTCCCTTACAATGTCTTTGGCATTGCATATTTCCTTCTGTAATGCTCTGTAAGTTGATACAGCAGTGATGACATGTTGTAGTGTGGTCACAGAGGAATTAGTGACTCTTTCTGCTGACAAAGCCAGCTCAATAGCCTCATCCAAACCACTGGCTCGGCCTGTCGGAAACTGTAATCTGGGAATATGAAAGACAATAATACAGCAAAGAAAGTTATTGAACCCTGTACTTTAACATTTAAGATTCATCCTCACTACATACTTCTCAATACTTTTTAATACAGTTCTTAAGAAAATTGTTTATGTGAAATTACTCTTTCAAAATATAGATAAAGAAAAATATTTACCTGAGACTTTTGACTTTCTTTGCCAAGTCAACCACAGAACGAACCTAAAATATACAGAACGAACCTAAAATATACCCCCAAAAAATTTGCTTGTGGACATGTTATCAGTCATTAATTATTTTTGTTCCATTATTTCTTTTTCCAAAATCTGTTTCTAAAAGCTGTAATTTATATTTACCTGAACTTTGCTGGCTGATACTTGCTGCAACTCCAGCTCTTTCCGAGCCAAATCAGTACGAAGTTTGTCAATTTCTCTTTTCTTTTTGTTTACATCATTTTGCAGTGTTTTTTGGATTTCTAAATGGTGAGCAATTTCTTCTGCCCTGCATTAAAAGAAAATTTCTTAATTCCTGTTTGCCAATTTCTTGTCTGAAAGTTATTTTCTACAAGTAATGAAAAATAAAGGGAAATTTTACACATGAAGATGTATGTTTACTGCCAATATTTTTTTTAATTACCTCTGCTGACTTGTGCTATTGTCTATTGGGCTGCCTTTGCTGTAGAAATGGTTCATTGCTGTATTAGGTGAGGTAAAGTTTGTGTTCATCAGAGGTGGGGGTACACTGAAGGAAGGAGGCATATTCATACCCTGTGGAGATTTTCCTGGGTACTGAGATTTCTTGACACTTTGGTTTGCTTTCATTGGACTGGTGTTAGCAGACTTGTTACGATTACCGTATCCTGACTCGTTTGTCATGTAACTGTTTAAGCTGGTATTGCTTCCCATGTTGCTGACATCTCCATTTCCGATATTGCTGCCAGAGGTAACTGAAGTGAGACTGCGTGCTGGACTAATACTTTCCCCTCCCATTCCTCTTACTACCCCCATGGAAGGCCGCTTACTAGCAAATCCTTCATTGACAACTTTGTCATTAATATTTACAGGATCACCTTCAAATGACAAGTAGCCATAGAACCCAGTCCCATCCTGTAATGGTCTTGTCTTAAATGCCAGTAGTTGTTTATTTTCTGTTTGTTTTCTGAGGAAACGAATGCCCTGAAAATATATGCATCTTGTAAACAGAGTTAAATATCGGCTTAATTTGTAAAATAAGACATGCTCCACTATCACTAAGGTTACACATTTGCATCCAAGATCTTCAACACCAACACCAAAAGTATGTCTTAACTCAATCACACACCAACAATATTAAGAAATAGCTTACATTCTGGTCTGTGACATCTTTAGCTTTGGTATTGTGCAGCACCATTTTGTAAGCCAGAGGTTTGTGAGCTGCTACAGTAGGAGGGATCTCCAGGAGCTGGTTGGCATGAATCTCCTCTGTATTTCCATAATCTATATACTGGACCTTGAGCTGCAAAATGAACCAAATTATGGTATGCCAATAGCTCTCCTTCACTACTTCAAAATCTGATTGTCTAGTAGAATTGCTGAACCTGGACTATTTCAATATCTGATTGTCTAGTAGAATCGCTAAACCTGGATTTGTTACATTTTTTCTCAAGTTTTGCATATACAGAATTGTTTGTAAATCTACACAATGTATCAGGTTTATTCAAACCAGAGTTTATAAATAGATTTAAATAAACAAAATATCTTGAAGTATATTTTTCACGATACTTAAGTGTTTTAATTCCAATCAACAAAATTATGTGGATTGCATGTACATATTTGTATATCATTTAATTTTAACAATTTAAGATCAAGTTTACAAGTTTTCATCATATTACTTACTGTTTCACTACCAAATAAATGTTTAACTATACACCGATACCACTCTCCATCTTCCGAGAACATAGCAGCATAAACCTGTCCAACAAATAATTTCTTATTTTAATGACATTTCTTAATGTACACCAAATTTTATACAGGGAGAAAGCCACTCTTCAAACATCAAAGTAACATACTCGTGTTAGAAATACTCATAAAATTGTATGCTTAAGTTACCTTGCCAATCTGTGGTGTGCCTTTGACTTTGGGAGCGGCCGGACAGCAGGCAGTTAACTGCTCCGAGATGTTTGTCATCTGTGCCAAGTTTTCTTCTGTCAACGTCTGAAGCCAAACTGTGACAGGATTCTCTACATAAGTTACCAAAGCCATTTCCTTCTGAAAGGGGATTAAAACGTTAATTCTCAAGTCAGATCTCAGCTAATACATGATATAATAACAAGTTTGCTGTAAGCTTTATTCAGTGTTTACAATAACAATTTTAAAAATGGTTTTCAAAAAACTGTTATCTGGTTTCAGGGAATAAATGTTTTCTCGCATAATCACCAGTGTAAGATTGACTTGTCCGGTGTGAGACAGCAGTGTGAGATTTTTCTGTCTTACACTGTGTATTACTACGCCAAGAACGAGAACGTAAACATTCCGTCATTATATAAAGAAATTGTACCAACATAGAAAAATATAACACATTATTAAACTGTTGTCATTTAACTTATTAATATAAACTTATTTTCATTCAAAATATTGTCGTATTTTCACTTTTTTAATGGCACTATTTTTAGATCGCGGAATGATTCTTCTTTTACACTGTCGGATAGATGAGTTTTTTATTCCCAGTTTTTATCTTTCTGATTAATTTACACGGACTGAAAATTATTTTATCAGTTTACACTACGTGTAAACCATTTTCAGGTACGTTCTCTCCGATGGTGTATTCAGATTTTTAATTAGATGGAAAATTATAAAATATTTCTTTTAGCCCCATCATGGCGACCTCATTGACAGGCCGTTATTTTGGATAAAATAATGCGAGAATAATAATCACTCATTACATACTCGTGTGGGAATAGTGAAATTCCACCTCGGGGGCAAGATTCACGGTCTAGGACTCGTCAAAGCCACGTCCGAGACCGTGAAACATGTCCCCGCGGTGGAATTTCACTATCCCACACTCGTAGTAATGAATGATTCTATTAATCCCAAAAGCCAACCGCATTTATGACATCTTGACACACAGCATGCTTGCTAAACAAACAAGGTTTAAGATGTTGCTTTACCTCTCCTGTAGGACCCCGTCCACCAAAATTGACAGGAGCTGGTTCTGTTTGTGAAAATAAAGAGAAATTAGTTGATCGTCCAAGTAAACAATTGTAAGCACACTAGTAAGAAGAATGTGCTCATATTCAATAATCACCATTTGTAATATTGAGAGCTATAGTTACAAGATATCAAGGCATGCATTGTTATAATAAATTGGACTTGTGCATTTCAAAGTCAATAGCATACTTGATATCGATAGTATCATTCTAACAAGTTTACAGACTAGTCGATTTTCCCTTGGAAAGTAAATGGACTTTTCTAAAGCAAAAGTCTATTCATAACTTAAATTTAGTACTAAATAGGTATCCGACAAGCTAAGCACTTGGACATGGGATTTATTACAGTAATAACTTAATTACATTTCCAATACTTGTGTACCCTATGTAACATATGGGATTCTAGTAACCCTGCTTACAGATTTCCCTACAGATATTTTACTGGATGCTTTAATCAAAGTTGTCAGAATCATAATGAATCAAACTTTATTAACAAGCAAAATGAAGTTTATAATAGCTATTTTATATGGATTCTTATCATAAAAAAAAAGAACATGGAAACAAAGATTCTATCAGACATCAGAACTATGTATGAACATTTTACCATTGTTGATAGGAGCTGCTCTGTCATCATTCTCTCTTTTATATGGAACTCTACAGTGGAAACATTTGAAGTATATAATACATCAGGCAACAAATATCAATAAGCAATTAGGAGTAGCAAATATAAAAGAATTGAAGCACAGAACATGTTATATGTAACTTAATCATTTTATTTCCCATATTCTCCATTCAAATAATCTGAGGGAGAAAAGCTTTGTATACTTTTTCCTGAGCTCCTGTCTCCTCACGATTAGCTTGTTACCACTGATTACAAAGTCATGCATCTCTTTTATTGCCTGCTCGGCGTCTGGCTCACACATAAAGTTAACAAATCTGCAAACAGATGCATACATGTTCAATGCATATAAGCAAATATTCAATGACATTGGATTTTATACCTATTATTGGATTTGGTCCTACAGGCATATCTAGTGTATGAATGTACAAGATTATACAGAGTATACTCACGCAAATCGCTTCTTTGGTGTGCAATTAGCATCCTTAACAAATATGCTCTTTGTTTCTCCAAACTTTGTAAACAATTTACCAACTGATTTCTATAATAAGAAAGTGGTTTTAATGCACAATTAAAAATCCCCCAAAAAGTCAGTCAAAATCGATTTTTAATACCTTAAATTCTCTCATCTAACACTTAAATTTTTAATATTTTGTGTGGAATTCTCAACCATAGATGATTCAATTCCACAAACACATGAATGTAGGTGAAAATGTCACTTTTAAAATACTGTTTGTCCTCTCACAACTCAGTGTAAGAAAATTAATTTGGTATTAGTGGGAAATTTTTTTCCTAAATTATCATTTCAACATCAAAGATGAATTTTCAAAATATATCAAATTTGAAGGAATTTAAAGTTCTTGATAATGGGATGTGATAACTTATGAAGTAAAAAAAAAAAAAATTTTCCTGGAGATTAAAAAAGTTACGAGTAAGTAATGTTCTTAGTCAGTCAGCAGGGAGAGGGCAAAAAAGCAATTTTTAAATATAACCTTAAACTTTTACACTCATCTTGACTAAAGGTTTGTCACAGCCTATCAAAATGGTGCTTGGAGTTGGGTGGACATTTATAGATGAATGTGGGTGGTTTCGCCCCAATTACAGTAAAACTCGTTTAGTACGAACACGGATATAGCGCCTGTCAACGAGACGTGATACGGCTCTTCGGATCAAGTTACTGTTATGATGATAAATTTATTATATACCCATTTATAACTAGCTAAATTTGGCAAAATAAAACTTTAGAGACGAATTCTATAATATTTATCCATTAAACAGAGCGTAATAACAAGGGACTTTTTAACGCACAAGAAAAACTAGTGCTAATTGTAACGGGGACCGTTACAGATGTTCCCCAAACGCTCCCCAACTCCCTTTTGGTGCCATATTCCCTGTAAGCTTCATTAAATAAGACAAACTCGATGCATTTGAGACTTTAACAACGTTTACCCAGAAGTGTACAAAGTTCATTCAAATTTTAGCATTGCACGCGTGTGCATGTGAATTCATGTGCGTAATGACCATATCATCTTGTCTACACAATCTGTATATTTAAATATACTAAATATTAAAGTATTTAATCCAAAAGTATTAAAAAGATACGCTCATTCAAGTGGGTTTTTTTTTGATTTTGCTCATTTCACATGCACGCACGTGCATACATGAGCATGGTAACCATATCTTCTTGTAGATGTCCGTTACATCTATCTATGTTCTAAATCTCACCCCGTTTGGTTGAAAACGAAGGGAGTTATAGCTGTTAAAGTTTCAGCCAATCAGATTGCAGCGCACGAACATGCACGTGTGTGCATGTGCATGGTGACCATATTTTCTTGTAGTAGTCCAGTATATCTATCTATGTTCCAAATCCCATCCTGTTTGGTTGAAAATCAAGGGAGTTATAGCTATTTAAAGTTTAAGCCAATCAGATTGCAGCGCACGTGCATGCACGTGTTTTCATGATAATTGCTATATATCATTTTGTAGGATATCCTAATGCATGGCTATTTTCAAAATTTCAAAGGATTTCGTCAAAAAACAAGAAAGATATTGAGACTTTAGTTTCAGCCAATCAGAACGAAGTGCACGTGCATGCGCGTGAGATCTTGCTATTTTGACCATGTCATATTGTCTATGCTTCTAATATATCCTTATATTATAAGTTTCAAAGCATTTCATCAAAAATTTTAAAAGTTACGCCTATATCAATTAAATCGGTCATTTCACATGTTGCACGTGCACGCTCTTGCAAGCACGTGCGCGCAAAATGACCTTCGTTCCGCAAATCTACATAACATGTCTACTGACCCTAAAAACATTTCACCTTAGTCGGATGTATAGTTTACGAGATCATTCCCGGACAAAAAAGTACCCAGGAAGAAGAAGAAGAAAAATAATAATAATAATAATAAGAAACAGAGTAAAAACAATATGTTCCCCAACTTCGTTTGGGGAACATAATAACGTCATGTTTCTGCGTACTACGTCATCAGTTTCAGAGAGTGGTGATATGGATTCAGAAAACATGTTGGTGATCCGGAAAATCGGATCACGACGTCACGTGATAGCGTAAATTCAACAGTAAAATTGAGTGATACACATTAGGTATATAATAAATATATATTATTATAACAGTAACTTGATCCGAAGGGTCGTATCACGTCGGATATAGCGAATTCACGGATATAGCGAAGTTTTTCTGGGTTCCCGGCAAAATTCTTAACAAATCTTTGTAAAATTTTACGGTTGTAACAAACTCTGATATAACGAATTTACGGATATAGCGAACTGATTTTGAGTCCCGTTGAGGTTAAATATAATGAAATTTACATCTTTTATAACGAACTTTCAAAGATTATATAAAAATTGATAAATTGAACTAACTTTATTTCCTTTTAGCATTTGTATATAAAATTCAATTCATAAGAAAACCTAAGGTATCGAAGATATGTTTTGTAATATTTGCTTTACTAAATAGTTGGTAGTAATACTTCAAGGAAAACATGCATAATGCGAATTCGCCATAATGGTTACATGAATTCGTTATACGGATATAACGAATTATGGATATAGCGAATTAAATTCACGGGTCCCCAGTACTTCGCTATAACCGAGTTTTACTGTACCTGTTCGCACTGAGTGGTTTGTTTATTTAAGCAGAAGTCCTTTGAACAATGTGTGTTTAGAATAATGAGCACTTTACTTAAATTCTATAAAATTCTATAAGTTGCCAATCAACATGATCAAAACCAATAATTATTTTTGATGTCTTGACAACTTGCAGATGATACAAATTTTTCTTGACAAAATTCCTTAACATTGGAAAATTACAACTTCATCTATGTTTAAATTGTAAAAAAAAAAAGTTATATTTTGATTGGCTTCAATTTTATTCCAATAATCTCTGAAATTTTGAACAAAGATGATTCAGCATGTTCAGAAACGTATGATACACATGTATGTATGTGTGTGTAGTTAAAATCCTTCCCGTAGCAGAGAAGTCTAAACACATATAAAGAACATTCAATTTTGTGATTAATTTGTCAGGGGTTCAAAATTTTTTTTGTCATGGTCAAGTCCAGGACTTAGAGTAAATTTTTGGCAAGTCCGAGGAAAAAATTTCAGAGTCCATATTTACCTCTACATCCTTAAATTTATGTTACTTATAATTTATTTTCATTTGTTGCATTGAATGAATAAAGACTATACATGTATGTATTAATATATGTTTTATTTTTCCTCCATAAACTTTCATATAGAGATACATGAGTATTTCAACACAATACCAGACTGATAGATTACTGGTACATTACAATAACTTTTACAAATACTCACTACTGAATAAACCTTCTGTTACAATAAATAGAAATTAGAATGTGCTGTTAGTCACAGCTAAAAACCGAAATTTAATTAACTCATTGCTGTTTGACATATAGGAGGAAACGTGAAATTGCGTAAAAGCAAGAGTCTAACTGCAACGGAAAATAAAAAGACGGATTGTATTTTTGAAACGTTTGTAATGTTTTATGGGTATTTTAATGCCTACAAACCCACATTTTTACTTAATACATTTGAGAATTTGCTTTATTTTTAGCTTAACGATCATTTTTTTAACTTATAAAAAAAGATAAACAAGAAACGTTTTAGCCAAGTCCCAGGACTTTGGCAAATTCTAAATGCCAAGTCCGGATCCGGAATTTGTTAGTCCGGGACGTCGGGCTTGAGGAATTTTGAACCCCTGATTTGTCATAGCAAACTGTCGCAATCAACATAATGATTTAGAAATTGAACACCCTTAAATAAGGATAAAAAGTATAATCAGGGCGAAACCACATGGCATGAACATGTAATCGCAGTGAACCCACCCATTATCTCATAGATGATACGAATGGGAAAAAATCATATAAGCAGGTCCAGCACAATACCCCGATAAAGGTACATAGCTTGATAAAGCTATATAGTTTTATCAAGGTATTTAAAATACCTTGATCATCATCAAGGTATTTCATGTAATGAAAATTCAAAAAAATTCTTTAAAAATTAAATACTGAAAGTCGAATTCTGAGTTTTTGTCAGTGTGTCTACTCGTGCATGAAAAACACTCTGGTATCAACAAGAAAGCATAAAATAACATCTCCTCACACGAAACATTTTATACTGATCTGTTTGTGTTTGAGTACTTTACATGCATGGGTGAGTTTACTGACAACAACTCAGAACTTGACTTTCAGTAATTAATTTTTAAAAACTATATACCTTTATCGGGGTATTGTGCTGGACCTGATAAGACATCCGTTTGATGGGCTAGATGTGCCAAACCATGAAATAATTCAATTAATACAATTATACTGTAACATACAATAATTGATGAAACATACTTTAAATAAAGATTTGAACTGTCAATGAAAAATAATTTATTTCTCAACAAATGTAATTCGGATGTAAACAACTGAGGAAATTCGAAATATGGCTCTTGTACACCTGTACTGAATATTAATCAACTTATTTCTATGCATCATGCACATTGTGTTTTGTCAACATAATGCGTTATGCTTTATGTCAATATTTTAGTTCTCGATAAAATCATTTTCGGCGCCCAAGATCCACTGCATACGCGGGATCTGTCAAACATAAACCCTTAATCAATCGAATGTTACCATACTCTAGCAAATGGTGCATAAAATGTTTCATGACTCAATCGCTATAATACATACTTCGTCTGCATCCAGCGGCAAATTACCGACAAATACATCGTAAGTTTGCACCTTCTTCCCAGATGAAGATGCCATCTTTTCTGCAGAGTAGCTCGAGCACGTGGTTCAAACAAAACCCGCGAAAGAGCGCCCTCTGAGGTAGGGGCAGTAACTCAATGTTAAGTGCGCGGATCTGGCGGGAGGGTAGTCACAGGAACAAAAAAGTTTTATTTTCCAGGTGGAATGCCTCACCAAAAATTTTATTCAATGAACGCTTTTATACAAATCTTTTGAAATATAGTCTCAGTATAAAATTTATATTAACTTTTAATAATAATATTTTTTTTATGGATCTTTTTTTTATTTGCAAATAGGTGTGTCAGCGTAAAAATATGCACAACATAAATATCTAATGAAACATGTCAAGAGGAGTACATGTAATAGATACATTTGAATTATTATTTTTTTTTAGTAAAAATAATCTAATATGTTTTACGGTGTGACCGTTGGGGCGAGCGCAGTTGTACCATCAAAAACACTCTAAAAATTGATCAGTCTGACTAAAGCCAGCCCCTACTATATCACTTCGTGCCAGCCCCTACTATATCACTTCGAAGTGATATAGTAGGGGCTGGCTTTAGTCAGACTGAAAATTGATCAGCCACTTCAAACATCAAGCCGCACGAGACATCTCGACTAGCTGTGACGTCACACGACGTCACAGAGCTCGTCGGAGCTTACGGAGACTGACGAGCGTCTGTTTGAAACTATAAGACCTAGTGCAATTTTGGTTGAAAAACATTGTAGAGTTATTTTTTGTTTCTTTGAAAGATTTCTACAAACTGATCTAGCCTTTTATACTTTACGTTATTATTGATATTTATTTATTTATTTGCGCAAAGGACATTGGGTAGTGCAGGAATTCTGGGAATGTTTCACAGAGAAATTTGGCTGACGTATGTACAGATTTCAATCCGAATTTCCTCTGTTCTTACACGTTAGTCTATTGAGCTCGCTTTGCATAGTCGTACCCCCCTCCCCCCCGCACACAACTGCTTCCATCAAAAACACTTGAGATCGTCAAGCCGCGCGAGACATCTCGACTAGCTGTGACGTCATACGACGTCACGAAGCTCGTCGGAGCTTACGGAGACAGCCGAGCGTCTGTTTGAAACTATAGAACTAGTGCAATTTGGGTCGAAAAACATTGCAGAGTTATTTCTTGTTTCTTTGAAAGATTTCTACAAACTGAAAGCCTGATATATACATTACGTTATTATTTATTTATTTATTCGGCAATATTCGCGCAAAGGACATTGGGTAGTGCAGGAATTCTGGGAATGTTGCACAGAGAAATTTGGCTGACGTATGTACAGATTTCAATCCGAATTTCCTCTGTTCTTACACGTTAGTCTATTGTGCTCGCTGCGCGCGCTATAAAGTTATAATTTGTTAATATTTTTATACCTATACGAGTAAAATGCACAAGAAACAAGTTACCCATAGAAAAAAATTAAGAATCAAATATGTTACATTATGTTACATTAAAAGTTAAAATCTAAAGTTTAAACATATATAATATATAACTAAAATCGCACGAAATAGGCACTAAGTAAACTAAGGTTTGACCTTGAAGTCTTTCCTAATTTTCAACAATTTTATAATTGCTGATACTGGGTAACTCTTGAACATTTTTTTTTGGGGGGGGGGGTTAAAAACTATAAGATAGACAGTAAAATTTGTGCTGATTTTGATCAGGATCGGTTTAATTGTCAAGAAAATTAGCAACTTTTCTAAGTTTCGTAATTTTATTTCTATTTCTTTTTAAAATGTGATTCAGGAACACAACTTTCCCCTTTGTGGCTTTTTTTCAAAGATTTTAACGATATGTTTAAAAATATCAGTAAACAAGCAAATTCAAAGAATCGCGATTTCCCGTTTTCGGTGTCTTAGTCAGTGGTGCATGGTAGGCTGGGATGCAGTTATTGTGCTGTAAGTCTTCTTTGTGTGTCATTCAAAGTTTTAGATCAAGGTCATGAAATCAAAAAGAATATACAGTTGTATTTAATTTTTTGGAGGGTGTTATCACATGTAATATACATGTAAAATATGACTGGCTCATCTTCTCTCATTCAAAATTAATTATTTTACTTATGCACAAAAAATGAAAAGACTGTAGAATAAACTCGAAAGTCGAGATTCTGAGGTCAAAAACCAGAGTACATTTGGAAAGGCCTTGAGCCAGGTAATGCGCATGTCAAATACCGAGTATATATGTTCTTTGTTCTGCCATTCAAAAGTTATCTGCTATGTTTTAAAACATAGTCAAAGTCATGGGGTTAAAAATAAAAGTGTATTTAGATAGGTCTTCTCACAGGAAATGTACACGTCAAATATAATTTTCCAGTCGTCTCTCCTTCAAAAGTTAACACTTAGCAGTAATGATATATTTGAAAAGTATACCAAAATTGAAGCTCATGGTTACAGGGTCAAATATCAAAGCTCATTCGGAAATTTCTTTCACAGGTGATGCACTTGTCAAATACGGACGGCCTTTCTTCTGTCATTCAAAAGTTATCACATGTACAAATGTTCACATTTTTAAAACCAGATCAAACTTAAAGGTCAAGATTATCTGTTTAGAAATTTAGAAATTTTATATTTTTGGAAGGGTTTTGTGACAGGTAATGCATATGTGAAATATAAAATCCATATGTTTTCTTCTTCAAAAGTTATGACCAAGAGAAAGTTTTTGCGGTAGACAAGACTGATAGACGGACAGATTGGCAGACGAATGAATTTACCCCCCCCCCTCCTCGCTTTTGCGAATATTTTCATAAATAATTTTTGTGAAAAAATTAAATTTCCTATCTGGGGCAATTTAATGAAAATTTAATCACAATTAATGTAGTTTATTACCTGCAGTGTAAAACCAAAAAAAAAAGAAAAAAATCCAAGTATGAAGCAGCGATTTTTTTAAATTTAAGATCTGGAGATCGAAGGTCCACAGAAATGTTTTTAACTGGGGGAAAAGTCCAGTAATAACTTTCTAATATAACAACTGTGCAATTCGTCACACTGTGAATTCCGATGATACTCCCCACCCCACCCACCCCATCCTCATTTTACTATTTTCCATGGGATTTTTAACTCTGTGCAATCCGACATCCTGTCTTTTCCGACACAAAAGTTGTCTACTAATGCATGCCTATGGTGGCATATTTCTGCCCCTTGTGTGCAAGTTATTTTTCTATTAAATATGTCGACGGATTAACTATGACATGCACAATCAAATAAATATTATAAAAAATCTTCAAAAATCTCAAATATCGCATTTGCTACATAAAAAAGCTTAACTGGCATGCAACTTATTTATGTTGACATGCAACTGTATTTACATGCAACTTCATCTTTCGTGCAACTTATTTATGTTAACTTGCATTATTTATGAATATGCAACTTATTTATGTAAACATGAATGGACATGCAACTTATAAGTTGCATGTCAACATATTCATCTCGCATGTCAACATACCTAAGTTGCATGTCGACATGAATAAGTTTTTGTTTTCATATGTAATTATATGACATGTCAACATAAATAAGTTGCATGTTAACATATCTAAGTTGCATGTCAACATATTTATCTTGCATGTTTACATAAATAAGTAGCATCTAGGATGTTTGATGTCACATGCGGGCAATATTTGAGATTTTTGAAGATTTTTTATAATATTTATTTGATTGCCATTTTCTTGCATGTCAACATATTTATGTTGCATGTTGACATAGCTATCTTGCATGTCAACATATCTATCTTGCATGGCATATTTGAAGTTTGCACACAAGGGGCAGAAATAAAAAAAGACAACTTTCACTTTATTTGTTAAAAAAGCTTAACTGGCCGGGTGTATTTAAAATTCTCTTTCGTGCTGGATGAATATAGGAAGGGGGTCTTACTCTAAGTTTGACAAGTTTTTGTTTTCAATGTAATTATATGACAGAGTTCGACCATACGACAAATACTGGGGAGGGAGAGGACAAGTGGCTTTTAAGTTTTAAAAAAAATCTGAACTAAATTTAAAGCAAATATTACAGTAAGGGGGGTAAAACAATCGACCTGCTGAATCATTCCAATTGCAGAAAAAAAGGAGATCGGAGATCTATAGAATGCACAGTTTATAAAATATATACGGAGGGTTCTCAAGATTGTATTTTATATTGCCTTATAAATTTCATAGCAATTTCTATAGTGCTATGCAAATAATGACTTTCTGTGTTGCGTACCAGGCCATACTAAACATTTCCAGCCTAATTTTTCCATAAAATATACATCTTCTAAATGAAAACCATCCATCCTTCTGTATTCAATAATCCAGAATTGAAAAAAGAATTAGATATATTACATGATCAGTATGATTGGTCCCTGCTGACAAAGCAGCTAGCAACATTGTCTTTGTAAGGCTCGTTATATAAAAATGTATTTTACAGGAACTGGGATTTATTTCTAGTGGTAACCCTACTTATACTCATAGTTCCCTTTCTAAGTCTTCAAAATCATATGCCAAAGTTGAATATTTTTAATATTCAAAACAATCATAATGAAATTGAATTACATATCTATCACGCACGTAGCAACGGATGGGGGGGGGGCACTTTTCTTCCCAACATTCCAACTTTACTTGTACTATTGAAAATGTACATTGAAAGGCTGGTTGCCCCCCCCCCCCTCCACTTTGAACTACCGGAAAGTGATATAAAGGAGATCTAGTATTGTATGCCAAAATTGGCCTCTTACCCCCCCCCCCCCCCCCCGAAATAGGATTTTCGAGTCTGGGCAATGTTCCTTTTTTTCTCTGGCTGCCCCCCTTTCAAAGACATTTAAATAAGAACTTTCAAAAACGACGCTACGTTACTGTCTATATTAAATTCCGAAACTTCATAAAATTTCTTACAAACAAAGAGCGGGTTCCAGCAAATGCTCTTTCTTTACCCCCACTAAGATATAAACAGTAGTGAAGGAGAAACTTCAAGAGAACTGTGCAACAATATATTCGAGAAATGGTGTAAATCAGGTGTGGATACTTAAAAATTTCCAAGGAACTTTTGAAGTCACAAATTTTTAGCAAAATCAACATTAT